ACATTTGAAACATGAGATGACCTTTAGGAATCAGTTTTCCATATAAGATTATATGTATACGCATATGTAAAATATTCAAAGCATATCTTTATGGAAGTTCGTAGTGGCCTAGTGAACCAACTATGACACCCGAAAACCATTAGTACTCACTATTCTGCAATTCGCTGTGGCTTTAAGGTCATAAGTTGATTAACCCTAAACCTTTCCATACAGAAATATTAGGTATTGGAAATTAGTTGGGCGTCCATTACAGACTATCATTACAAATATTGTTACGAACTAGGAGTAAATGTTCCTCACTCGTTCCACAAATATCGTAACTAATAACAATAATAATAATAGTAATTCGTGTTCCTGATGTAAGTACCGAAATTTAACTAATCTTCTGTGATTCACAGATATGCATATAGTTCAAAAACAACCACACAATCAAACCAGTGAGTAAATCCTCAAATGTCAAGTGACTTTGATGAAAAAGCTTTTCTGTTACATTTTGAAGGATTTCATGTGTTAACACTGAATACCCAATATCATTTATGTAATTATGTCATTCATCCAAACATACTATACTTTTCACTGTTTATGATATAAGAATAAACTTCCTCCCAGAATATTCATTTAACCAAAACAGTTCACGTGAATAGATGTGATTCAGCACGATTTATTCCAAGCTTATGGCTTTCTGACAGAATATAAGTTGAAAATATTGGTTTATTCTGTTTCCCACTTATGCGTGGGGATCAGTATTATTCGGTCTTACATTAATACTGACTCACCGATTACTAAGATAAACTTTAACTGAAAGTCCAGTCGACATTCAACTTATAGCTAAAGCTGTTTCTGATCAAGTTTCAGATATGGGCTTGAAAGCAGAAGGTGGAGTTAATTTTACGTATTACTTCTGAACAGATTTTCGCTTTTGTCGACATTTCATTGATTTAAACTATGGCTAACTTGTAAAATGCTCCATTCAGTGGTACGACCTTGTCACATTCTATCTGAAAATCCAGTTATCACCACAATGTGCTTAGGCTAAAAACAGATAAAGGCTTGTAGCACTTCAGAGTGAAATCAGTTCATTAGGTCTCTCACTATTTTTCTGAGCCACGTAGGGAAATATAAACTTCCCTGATCGAGGCCACCTGACAACCGAAATCAGTGGAAGGAAACTCTAAGTGATGTGGCTCAGATCTAAATTCATCGATGCAGAAGTAATCACTGATTATCTTAATCATTAGTTTCATATCGCATTCTGTCACTGTCTATCCCATCCTTCCCCAGCTATGAATGTCTACTACTTTTGATCACATCTTGTCTCACTGATTCTGTTTGAACTTATCACCTTGAATATTGATGTACTGATGTTAGAATTAGAAACCTGAACCATTATGCTGTAATTCCAAGTCCTAAATTAGTATTAGGAGACTGACTGACTGTCCCAAAACTGATAAGTCATCTTTAAAATATGGAGATACTGGATCAGCATGCTCTAAGAAGTCTTGACAGTGAGATTTTTCTTTTCTTTAATGCAATCACTGAACTGCAGAATCTACGATCTAGTTTGGCATTATTTCAGTATAGATTTTGAATTGTATTTTAAGAACCGTAGGGAATATCAGTTCTGGAAAGGGATTTAAAAGATATACCCACACCCGTATTATTACTATGGTTATGCAATGCTAACATTGTATCACTTCCCGCGTATTAAGAAACTTAAGGGGAAATTTAACCATTTTAGTCTCTCTCCATAAAGGAGATTGTGAAATCTTTGACCGATGAAGAGCCTTTTCCTTCAACATCCCTAAATGATTCCCCTTTTTGGCAAAAATATGAACCTATAGTTACTGGGATCGAGTCCCAGTGAAACAACACCATTCACTGGAGTGCACGTGCATCCAGCTGACGAATTCCAAATAAGATGAAACGTGCGTTTTCAATTCCAGTGCTAGTCACCATGATGAATACAACATGCATAGTCACCGTTTAGGGGAAATAATTTGAACAGAACTTTGTGTAAGTTGAGTGTAATAAACTGAAATTGTCGTTGTCAGATTGTTTTCTGTCTATGTGAAGCAGTCAAAGTACTCGGCAAAAAAGTTGATTTTTCTCAAAATTGCGGTCATTACGTTGTGAAATTTTAACCTGTATAGTAATCAAAACTACTCACTACATATTTCAGCCTTTATTGCTCGATAGTATTTGCTTGAAATCATTATTCCTTTTACATTTTCAACGTTAGAAGTTAAGAGCATAACTTTTAGAACTTTTTCTTTCAGCTTTATTATTTTTTGGTAAAAATTGTTAACAAACCCTTACTTAAGATAGTCACTCCAATAAGGAATACTCAGACCTTTCGGCAATGTTATGTAAAGTTTTGTCTATGCATCTGAGTTTACTTGAATACATTATACTGTCGTAATCCACAAATACTTATAGCCTAAACTTGAATAAAATTCAATGTTATTAATAGGTCTTCAGAATTTTTCTTAGAGAAGGAATGATTGGTCTTAATCTGTTCTTCCAAGGTTATCAAAGTGTCGAAATTATAATCATGATTTGCTAAACACCGAACAGCTTTGAAAATTATATTGATGGCTTACTTAGGACTAGCTAAAGTTGGTGTGGATTTAATAAAATAACAAAATAGGCCTCAAAAATCTAATCAAGAGTGGATAAAGAAATCCACAAAGTTTAGTTTACTCATTATATATTCATAAAGTACGGCTTCTTAAGTTATTTTTAGAGGATTAAACTAGTGTTTTTGTCATAAAAATTGTACGTTCTCTTTAGATTCTCACAGTTAATTAATTTATGAACATTCTTTAAGCAATTTTTGTGAATTATGTCATAGTATTTTAAAGTTTGTGGAGATTTTATTTTTAAGGTTGTGTTCATCACGAACCCTGACCAGTGGGGTTAGCCAGTTGAGAGTGAAGGGAATGTCATCTGAAGACCTCGGTGGATAGTCACTTTAGCTGTCAAACAAGAAGGTCCTGGGTTTGATTCGTAGCGCGGTGGTTGGTGCGCACTTTCGAAGAGTTCTATACTGGAACGAAACAACTGTCTACCGTCCCCAGATTTTCAATAATTCCCCCAACTGACCTCAGTAGGCGGTGAATACAACCCTAGATTTTTCTTTAGAGTTCATTATTCATATCACGTATAGAAGTTTTTTAAACTTTGAAACTAACCACTTGTATATATTCCATAAAATGATCAAGAGAATAATTAAAATGTTTGCATGTATTCATAGACGTCACTGAAAATCAGTAAAATAATCCCTTCTCTAATACACTTTAAAAATTAATTCATGTTGATATACAGACATACCTCCACTATATTTTTTTTACTTTTGTCGCATTCCTCTTAAAATTTTGCTTCACTATTTTGCGTGAAGGAAAACTTAATAACTTTTGTTGATTTGGCGGGTTTGGGGGATTATTTGGTTTCATCATGAACGATCATCACTTAGAAAACCATTGAAAACTTTGGAGTACTGGATAACTATTCCTTTCTGTTGCGATCCTCCTCAGCAGTCTTCATCCCCAACCCTTCCAGGGATTGTGACGACCAAGCTACCAACCAGACACTGGGTTGGAATGCAAATGACCATATTTTACAGTTCTACAATCATCCAGTAACATCACTTAGTATCTGTCTTCACATCCAATTCGGCTGACACCCACAGTTTAGGGCTCCTCAGTGGAATTTCAGGAGGTCCATCTGGCATCCACTAACTGATAAACACTGGAAATTAATTCACTCGTTTGTTCGCAAGGGCTTATTGATTAATTGATTTCAAGTCAAATATGAGGACAGATAATGCACGATGGTTGCGTTATATCGCAAATATACAGATATAGGAAAATATAAGCCACTAGATTTCAATCTTATGGTTGAATTGTAACTTGTTGACCATGGAACATGACGATATTGCGCTTGATCCCTTTTAAGTTCTTGGGTGCGGACTCCTAAAGATCCCCATAATAGAAATAAACAGTTATCTCTCCTATATTTTTTAGTTTTTAATAGTTGTCCGTTATCGATATCATCTTGAAAACTGTTTAATCCACTCTTCTTTGATGTATGTTCATTCTTTCTTGGAAAGATTGAGTCATAAAATAATCGAAAACTTCGATTTTGAGATCTTACACAAGACAAATTGTCATCTAACTTCTTTTTGAAGTGGATTTTCTGCAGGTTTATTCAAGAGTATTCATACTTTTTTGGCAATTATAGATTGTTATGAGAATCGATTCTAACTAACGGATGAGACCGAAAGTTATCCCCAGGTGTTATCGTGCTCACCATAGGCTATTGGGTTGTTTGTGAAAATACAAACGCGACCTGTGTTGTGTATGAATATTTTAACTATTTGCAAAGGTTTTACAATATCATTTTTCATTCAATTGTGTTTCAAGAGTGTATTCATATGCAAAGTGTTGGCGGGATTTCCATTTCTTAGGCTGAAAGTAAGCACAATTATTTAGAATAAATGATGCCCACAGATCACAGTGAGTTCGTTGAGTCTTCGAATTACATCCGAATGGATTTGTGATGGCAGTTTCACTTCAGAATATTTCCATGCAGAATACATAGAATATATATTTTCTGACAGAATGCTATATCACAAGGGGATAACACTTTTAATCTCACCCATAAATTGAGCTGACGTATACAATATTACTGTCAAATAACTCCGAAGTGGAATGTCTTTTAAAATAAATAAAGTTTTAAGGTCAATAATACCTGTCTGATATTCCTCTTTTCATTTGTTCGGTACCTTATAACGTATTAGAACCCACTGAGTTGGATCATATACACCAAATATAAGCACTAAGTTTGAACAGCATAGTTTACAGTGAACCAACGATAATTGTGGTTGAATGAATAATATTTCGAATGATATTAATTTCATTTGAAACTCTATGCTTTTATTTATTTCTGATATAATAAACTGCTATTTTTGTCTCCTCCCTGCATAAAACTAATCAACTTAGAAGGACATCAGTCTGCTAATCAGAGTAATCTTGATGAAGACGATTTAAACGATGATTCAAATGAACTAAAGAAACCGATTATCCTAGATCCAGACGATAAATTCCTTGGTATATCTACAAATCCTGATTTATATGAAGCCCAAAGTGTCAACTGTATTGAAGATATACCTGAATCACCACAACAAGGTCCAGTACCTAGTCTGTCAGACCTTATAAAAAATCGCATTTTTCTAACTGATTTTGATCCAGAATCACACTGGCTCGAGATACATGATAAAGTTGTTGAAAATGAATTTGCCAGTGGTGAACACAGTCTACTCATTTGTTATATGGCGCATAAAGGTGAATTAAAATTAGAGTTTGAAGTGCCAAGATTTTGGTGTAGTGAAATTAATTACTTCATTTTCACATCAAGTGTGGATGGAGAAAAAGTAACTGTTGACAATTTTGATTTAAGAGTACAATTTGGTAGTATCTCTGGTCCAGCTATTCAACGTTTATTGAGTCTTATGTCATCAGTATTTGCACCAAATCTTTTTGCGAATACATCATGGCCAGAAAGTATACACAATGATTTTGCTTTACATTTACAACGTTTCATGTCATCGTTAACTGATGCCAGATGGAAATTAGAAAATAAAACTGTTTTATATATGCCTACAGAAGGTTTAAATTTATCACCAGAGGTTGCAGCTAAAAACAAAGAACTAGTTAATCGATTTGAAATGATTATTATTCATTGGACAAGACAAATTAAAACTGTATTAAGTTCTCAAAATACAACAGATGAAGTTGAAGGTACTGGTCCATTGGATGAAATTGAATTTTGGCGCAATCGTTGTGAAGATTTAACAGGGATTAGTTTACAGTTGGATAAACCAACAATTAAGCATATTACAGATATTTCAACGCTTGCAAAATCAACCTACACCGCAGCTTTTCTAAAGTTAGCTGATGAAATCAAAGCTAATACACAACAAGCACAGAATAATCTGAAATTCTTAGATACAATTAAAGAAATCTGTCATCATTTAGCTGAATCACATCCGACTGAAATTCCAAATAAACTACCACGTCTCATCAATATGATACGCATGATATGGACTAACTCAAAGCATTATAACAATAAAGAAGCTATAACAGGATTATTTCGTAAATTGTCCAATGAGATTATAGCTAGATGTTGCAGTATTATTTCATTAGATGATATATTTAGTGGGAAAATTGTTTCCAGTTCATTAAATTTAAATCACTGTATTGATTGTTGTGTCCAGTATAAAGAAATTTATGATCGAATACAGTTAATGCATTCACATAATTCAAAAAAACCATGGGATGCACAAAGAAATAGCATATTTGCTCAAGTTGATGCATTCATACAAAGATGTCGAGAACTCTTAGAGGTGAGCTTTCAAATAATTTATATATGTATAAATATATACTACTTGTGAGTAGGCAAATTCACTTACTTAAATATTGTGTTATCCTTGTCGTCAAGACCACCAGGACATACCAGCAGCTTACGAATGCACACATATTACGTGCAAACCTTCCTTTGAATATAAATTTGAAGATATTTTCATGACCATCACAATTCTCTGTTTAATGCTCAACTGCTCCTGTTTCGTTTCCTGAGGTCCGAAACAGATGCTGGGTGTGAGTTGAACAAATTCTTTCATAAGTGTCCTCAGATCCTGCACTCCTCTGTAGTAGTATTAATCGGTGAACAATGTTGAGGTCATGTATAGAGTTACTGATATAATAGTCATCTGTTTATTCGGATGTAAACAGCTACAGAGAATTTCTATCCCATCCTATTTCTATCCTGTAAGCACTCGTATTTATCGTTGTTAAAGATGTACTAATGGCTACTACTCAGTACATTTCAAACTTTCTAATGATCGGATTTTTTCTAAAATTCACTTGGCTGGCTTTAAAAGTAGATGAAATAGCCCTCTCATGCGAAGACGGAGAACATCCAGGATCTCCTAAAAGGAAATGCAAAGAAATCTAAGTATTTTTAACATGTCTTTTGCACTTGTCAGACATAAAATTACGCTTCAGGACTGGTCTGCACTTGCTTCTAATTCAACGATAGGTGAAAAAGTTATGAAGTGCATTTAGTTCTTACTAAAGAAGTGGCATCTGCTATACTGGGTCAGTTGCTGAAGAAACCTTAGCTTGGATTGGGTAAGTTCGTTTGTCACTTGTCAGCATACATCATCTTTGGTGCTAGCAGAATATCAACACAACTATCTAAGAACCCCTATGCTATTGAGCATTTAACCGTTTACGTTGTAATTGTCTAGGCTTTGCTTGCTGATATTCTTGACAACTTTAATCAATGCAACTTTGTTCCTTTAATTAAACATCATTTGACAAGATGTCCTGGCTATGGCTTATCACAGTGCTGTTGCGACTGGATAAGCGAACAAGTAATGTATACACTATTGAAAGATATCAACCAGAAAGGACAAATAGGCAGTTATATCTGTTGATATCCAAAGACGTATTCGTGCATATCTTTCCCCTTTTGAGCACATTTGTTTATGAAATTCTGTAGTCTAGTACTGAATTTACTAACACCTAGAGACAGAGAAACTGACTGATATCAAGTTGACTGGAATGTCTGCTGACTGTTGATGACGTTAAAAACCACTCTTAATAAAAATATATAACCTATCTGAATCTTGGTCAAGATATGACGGAATAGTTTCACGAATATTGATCAGTGAGGGAAAAGTTGACATTAGATATAAATTAAATTTGCGTAAATCTTAAAGTATTTGAAATAAGAAACTTCTGACGTTTCGCACGGAAGTCTGACCAGAGCTTCTTAAGAGGAATAATCAAGATCTACATTGTCATAAATGTACGTTACAGATTAAAAATCACGCAGTTCATCTCACTGTCTAAATAAAAAGTACATAAAATTAGTGATAAATAGCAGTTAATCTTTAGAACCAACCGAAGGAATTATAGACAAATGTATTTATCAAAATAAAGATGTTCTGCTAAAACCAAAGTTTTGCTTTCTTTCTACGATAACAACTGATTGTCATTTTGTAAATGGTTATATATAATTGTTATGATGTTTCTTTATGAACGGTTTTGACAAATTTCGCAACACTTCATTAATATGGTAGGGGAAATGATGTTGGTAAATTTATTATGAGGTTATTGGAAGTTTTAATTTTGAGGTAGTAATTATTACAGACTGACATTATTGGAGAACCATTGAAAACCTTAGATCACTGGACAGCTGCTTCATCGTAGTATGGGATTACTGCTTAGCAGTACGCACCCACGACTCGGCTAGGGATCTAACTCAGGACCTTTAGGTTTCACGGTTAGTGTGCTAATTATTCAGCCTCTGAGTAGGAATTCAATGGTCCACAGTTTCCTACTTCTGTCAATTCGCGATATAGCGGAATTATCATCAAATGCCTTTAGTGAGCATACACCCCAATCCTGACTGGTTGACCGCAAAGGTCACGGCTTTTCACTAGATATTCAGGATATCCATCTGGAAGCATTTAAGTAATGTATTTTAAGGTTTATGGGGGTTTTAATTTTGAGGTAGTATTCATCAATGACTGATGCTGATAAATTTAACCAAAATATATTTACTTTCAAACAATTCATCTTCAGAAATAGAGGTCACTACTTAAATGATGCAAAAATACAACCTGTAGATGAAGTTTAGCAAACCTGGCTGAAGAAAATGGAATATTACTAGAAATTTATGAAATACCAAGAATATGTCACTTAAAAGAAAGCTTATGAAACCAAATTAACAAATATTGTTCATACATTCCAAACAGACGCATACTTCAACTCCTGCATGAAACAATTGGTTCTCCGTTCACTCATGTCCTTATTATAGTTTCCACAATTATTTCCTCTTTTTAAAATTTGTTTATTTATAAGTGATACTGAGAATAAAGGTAGTTGTTGCCCTCATATCCTATAATCTAATTTGATTGGTCTAAGTATTGTCCCTTCCTGCATATCCTTATTGTCTATTTGAATATTTTCCTATTTTAACTTGCATTCCACCTCAGTTAATGCAGCGTGTTGGTAAGAGCTACTGCAGTTTTTGTGAGACTCACATTCAGCTTGGTCATCTTCGATTTATTGCGTCAAGGTTGACACAATCATCAATATGATTAGCAGCAGATTCACACATGCATAAGATTTGATACCCAGTGATTGAAATGTTTTAGAGTTGTGTCACTATCACATTGTTATAACAAGCCAAAAGTAATAGAAAATATCATATTTTTCTCATTTTCTTCATGCTTTTTATTATGACTTTTGTTTCACTGTTTTTTTAAGATATGTGAATGTCAAAAAGATTTTGGTCGCTATGAAGAAGGTAATAAAACAGTAATGCCAATATTTCAAGGGATTCGTGGTTCAGAAATTGAAATTCTCTTGACAACGATTGAACAAATGTTTTCAAAATTGATGTATAATTTATTTGAGAAACGTCATTCTATCCTGGATGTGAAAGCTACATCATGGCACGATGATTATAACCGTTTCAGGAGTGGTATTAAAGATTTAGAGATAATGATGCAAAATGCTATCAACACAGCATTTGAAACTGTAACAACTATTCAACAAGGTGTTGAAATATTGGATATTTTTGCTCATCTTCAAAATCGTGAGGTATATCATCTTATTGCTTGAAGAAAGTTTTGATAAAGTTAACAAAAGTTTCGTTTCTACAACTGAATAAAATACTAACTGTTTCAAATGTACCTGACGGTTAACGTTTAAGGGTCTGTTAGAAACGTTCCAAATTAGTCCCTTTCTAACTTATTGTTTAGGTCTGACTACCACTTAAACCTTAATTCGACTGAAACCATACTTCTCGTTGAAAGGATCAATTTTTCTTAGTCAGTGTTTCTGACTATTTTGACAAGAAAACAATGAAATTTAAGATAAAATTTGTTTGAAACATGGGTAATTTTACTGTCAATTATCTGAAAGCTTCAAGGTCTGAAAATTTAAGTTATGTCAACCAACTTCATTTCGAATGATGAGATAAAGTTTAAGTCCTTCCATAGTTCACATTGTACATAAGACCTGTGAACATCGTCCAGTAAGATACAATATAAATTATGCACTGAAAACCACCTTCAAGGAAATGTGCATGAATACTCAATCTTATTCTAAATATCAGTGCTATTAAAATTGATAATTTTGAATTTAGCAGACATAAAAATTTCAATAAACTAAAACAACGGTTAAATGCCAAAGATAGAATTCGGTTCAATTAAAAAAAGCTTCAAACATTTTTATTTAACATTTACCTATAACTTAAGCATATTTTTCTAATAAACTAGTGAACATAGAGGGTTCAGAAACTGAAGGGCCTAGATGTTTTCAGAAAAATGTCCATTGAAGTGAAATACACATTAGGCCAATATTTCATGTAAGCAGAATTATGAAATTCAAAGTGTATGAATCTCTTAGTTCACAGGAATATTCTAGAAATCGAAATCATAATCAAAAGGCTGAAGACCTGTGAAAGTAAAGTGGCAAGTAATAGTTCTGATTGGTTCAAATGAAATGTATATTGAAAAAAGAAGATAGAATACTTTTCAGGGAATGCTCACTAATTCGCGAAGTGCATTTAAAGCTATGGGAAGACTCGGAGTATCTGTAGTATTCAAACAAGTACCTATAGATTTTATATATATATATATATATATATATATATATATATATATATATACATCACAACCAACACTTCATCTCTTTTTTCATCAACATCACAAAATCATGAGCTATTATTTACCTCATCCCTTTTTCTGTTTGTGCTCTTGAGCATTGCAGCTGCTCATATTCTCATTTTCATTTATTTAGTCTTTCTTCACGTTAAATCTCAAATCTCTTCCGGGATATTAAGTTTATATGCTTTGACAATTACGCTTTTTAATATACTTTAGGTATATATAATAAATTATGTTTAATTAGACAGAAACTATCACTCTCTCAAGCACTAGTTTAGTGAAATGTCAGTTTTTTGAGTGTTACATCTTCCACATCTAGAAGAAAGTAGTCTATTTCCTAGGATTACAGGTACAACTGGCTAGCGATTGTCAATAAAACGCAAAAAGTAGATTCTAAGTTTCATAAATTGTTAGTTATAGCCATCCAGCAATAAAAGCAGTACACTCTAGTGTTGAATTACTTCACTTGTTAGTAAAGATAAAAATGCGTACAATGAGAGTGCCTCATTAATTCGGATAAATAACATAGCGTTGGCAACGATGCAGTAACAGATTGGGGTAAAAATCCTCACTTCACTAGTACGTTCAAACAGATGAGGCTGAGAAGGAGCCTCAAAATATTTCTATTTCTCCACTTTAAAAGTTATTAGCAATAAATTTCGTAAAATATCATTAAACTTATTCATTTACTTTCAAGACCATAAGAAGAACTATTGACAATAAAACACATGAACTGATATCACTTTTTGGAGATACTTTAAATCAAGTTAAGAAGGAAATGACTCAGCGTGTTTACACTGGTACACCTGTACCAACTGAAGCACACTACAGTGGACAAGCTATGTACTGGAAATTTTTACGTCGTCGATTGGAAAAGGATATGTTGGTGAGTTATTGCTACGTTATATCTTGGATTATTCGTATACAATAATGATCAAGAAACAGATATTTAGATTAGTGTACAGTACATGAAATAAAATGAACCAGTGGCAGAAAACCTAATGTTTTCATCGTATGCGCTATTTTGAAACATAGTCATCTATGGAATTATAGAAATCTGAGAGAACCCTTTTAGTTGATGACTGTGCTCATAACATAAACCCACTGGGAAATTCAAATGTTCACGCAAATATTTATACACGGAGGTGCATAAAATAAGTGGAAGATCAATACTTTTATAAAAACACTCTTGAATTCAGTACAAAAGATTCATGACTGTTAGTTTATTATTCTTACGGGAAATTAGTTTATCCAAAGAAATCAAAAACAGACGGGTTACTTGTATGATGACAGAATGCCTCATGCATTAAAATCAATTTTTTGTCATTTGCAACAAAACTCTGCATAATGTGAATATAAGGGTCCTTCATGGACACTTCTATCTTGCTCTCAATTTGAATTTACGCAACCTAATGCTGTACACATATGCGAACAACTAAACAAAATTTCAAACACACAGCTTTTGAACTGTTTCCAGTATTAGAACTCCAAATATTAGTGACGACGTTTGCTTACATCACTCTTGTCAGACTCTGGAGTGTAAAGACTTTCATAACAACAAGTGAAATAACCAATAAGACAGACAGACAAAATCAATGTTGAACCTCGCACGAAAGCGAATCGGCTTAAGTCGTCACACTTCACAACAGTATACAAAGAAAAATTGGGTAGAAAAAGAGTGACATCTGAGAGAATAAAAAATTTTGGAGATATAGGTTGGTGCGAATATTCAGGCTTTAGAAGACGACAAGGAGTGAAACAATATGCGCCACTGTGACCAGTTTTCAGCCGTGTCACCATAATTTTTCAACCACTGGTTTCTATCGTCTAGGGAACCCCGACCAGGTAGTCCACACCTTCCCATACGGCTCAGATCAACAGTCAAGGGCTTCATTGACTTGACTGGTCTTGGTCTGGCCACCCTGCACCCTCTTTCAACTTAATTCCGCTTCCTCCAGCGTGGCATGTTGAGGCAAGCAATGACTCGGCATGCGCAGTACATTTCCAAGCTATCCTAGCTGATGAAGGCTCACAATCCCATTAATCGACTTACTGGTCTCGCTTAGCACTCTTCGATTGACCTCAGTACGGTGCACACGGTGATTCCACCAAACGTAAACAATGCTAAGAAGACATCTGTGATCGAAACCCTCTAATCGCTTCATGTCTTCTTCTTTCAAAAACTGTCTCATAGCCATATAACACCACAGAACGGACTTCATCGCAGTCTACGCGTCTCTTGATGTATAGTCAAATGTCTTGCCAGTGGGAGCCATAAATGATGCAGGATGACAATTGCCAGATGGACCTTCTGTATCCGAGCTGAGATATTGTCATCAACCAGCTGGTTGGGGCTGACGTAACTCCCTAAGTGAGTGAAGTGGTCGATACATTCAACCACTCCACTCCTGATCAGAAAACTAGGAGTGGTTGGAGACCAGTCCTGAAGCATCACCTTACATCTAACAGGTGTGAGCTAAAAGTATCCCAAGCATACTCAGATTTGTGCTGAACGCGTTCAAAAAACCCTGCATTTTGTCAGTGTCTATTTCTGGCAGGACAATATTGGATTGGATCTTGTTTACTACTGGGAGCGTGTGGGTGGTTGAGGCTTTCAGGTCGCCTACACATCAGCATCATCTGCAAACTCCAAATTAACTAGATGCCCTCCAGTGGGTAAGTCAATCCCTGTGAAGTTAGAGACACCTATGATTATGTCCATTAGTACGTCTACAAAGAAATTAAACAGGAATGGTGACATTGAACATCCCTGGTTATCATTGGTTTACATGACACCTCTCTATTAACCAACACTTACGTGGCTGCATGGATCCTAATAGAAGGCTTTGATAAGCCTTAAATACTTGTCTGGTACTCGTTTCTAAGCTAGACACTGCCACAACACATCATGGTCGACTGAGTCACATTCTAGCTTCAGGTCAAGAAATACGGCATGTTAGCCAATGGCCAGTAAGTGCGACTCTGTTCCCGAACCTGTCGGAGGGTAAAAATATGATTTATGCACCCTTGCCTGGGTCTAAAACCTGCCTGATTTTCTTGAGTTTGCCTTTCTCAAGCTCCAGTTAGACGTTGGATAACTATGGATCCTATTATCTTTGGCACGATATTTGTCAAGCTATTTCCCCCACGGTTGTCACAAAAAGCTTTCTCTCCCTTCTTATAGACTTGAATGTTAAGCGAAATAGCCAAAACTGACGGCACCACCTCTGATAACTTTATACTACCTAGTACCTCCGTCATTTTAATTAGCGATCTCCTACGCCCATCCTTGAAAACTTCAAACATTAAACTGTCAGGTCCTGCTGTTTTGAATCGTTTCGGGTTCGATAAAACTTTCCCAACTTAATAAATAGTTGAAAGATCAACATACGGTTCGCATTCAGATATAGGCTTGATGTTGAATAACTGAAGTCTTGCTAGTTGAACTCTAATTTGAAGTGTTCTACCTAACGTTCTAGCCGCCTGTCCTGGTAGGTTATCGACGTCCTATCCTTTTTGTTGGTGTTTTCAGTCACCATCGTTTCCTTCTTGCTGGTATCCTTAACGAACTTAAAAAGTTGCTGGGTGTTACCTATCATTGATACCTTCTCTATCTTCCACGCTTTCATCATCCATGAATGCTGTCGAACGACGCAGAGTTTTGATCAACTTACGTTTAAGTTGCTTTCTATCTTCATTGTGATAGGAAGCAGCCAGCTGGAAACAGTCTTCTGGCACCAGTCATTTCGGATGACATTGTGGAGATCCAATGACGTTTGTTAACTTTCGGATGTGGGATATTGATTGTCTTTACTGTTGTTACTACAGCAAACTAAATATCACTCCATATTTCTTCATGATGACCATTGCTGTTCCGTTCAGATAAACGCTTAGCTATCTCCTCCCTCAACACATCTAATTCATGTTTTCATCCTTCAGTCGACTACAGATATGCTTGCCTGCCATCTATTTTCTACAACCATTAGGAAAGACATACACGAGCCCGTACTAACGCCCGGTTGGAGTCCAAACTTGTACTCCAGAAAGAGTGACAACTCTCCACCGATCCTCTCCAGCAATGGCTTACAACAATGCGATCTATCTCTGTTCCTTGTTGGTTTGAAGTTGGTGGACGCCATATGAAACGGTGTCTCTCTTCATGCCTAAGGCTAGTGTTGGTCAGAAACAGGTGACTATAGAGACAAAATTCGAACAGACGGTCATCGTTGTTGGTCCGTCGGTATGAGTTTCCGTAAATACCTCCAAAATCCCTTTCCAACTGCGTCAGCTTCTCTATATAGGCGTTAAAGGTACCTCCCATTATAACTGTATCTGAACGTTTTGCTTTCTGTAGCAAAGTTGACAGAATTCATCCTTTGTATCATCCGACCTGCAGTCGGTGGGTGCGTAGGGGGGAGTGAGAATAGTCATCGCCTAGCCTTACAATCCTTCCTATTCCTTACAGATTCATTCAGTCGAACAGCACACAGACTTCTGTTGACTGGTATCCAGTTGAAAAGCGCACTTCCTGTCCTACAAATCAATGCTACGCCTACACCGGCAAGTCCAATAGAGCTAGCCGACGGCTCTCTGAATACTTATAAGATGAATTTTAAAGACTCATAACCATGACCAGGTGAGTTCAGTTTCACAACCACACCCAGGTCGTGTATATGTGTCTCAGAGACACAGCACACATTCATGGCTAGAGATTCCAGAGTTTTGGTGAGTGACGCTTGCTATCCAATTTGGCATAAAGTTCGGATGTTGAAAGCTCCAACATAAAATCGATGGCGGGATCTTAGAAGCCTAGGAATAAGGTTTCGATGGCGTTGGTCGTTAACAATGGTTGCAGAATGAGAGGTTGGGTAAGATGTAGAAGGTTTAATGTTAGTATCAGGAGGCGAAAGCAAAGGAAGAGACAGAGTTCAGGAGGATATGTTTGATTGGATCTTGTGTACTACTAGAAGCGTGTGGGTGGTTGACACTTCCCAGCTACCCATGCCAACTAAGTATGCATATAATTACTTACCATTAGCTAAATTTCTCTTCCAAAAAGAAATGGAACAAACCTAAACTCAACTTTGACAGCAAATGAAATGACCAATTAGACTTCTTCATTTTACAGAAATTCTACCTTCCCAGCCGAATTTAAGAAGCCTAGTTGACGATTTTAGTCGTTGGTAAGGTGGACCTTAGAGCCACTCCACGACTCTATAGACGATCCCTTCTAAAGGCTACACTAACAATTAGTGAAATATTCAAGTGGGCCTCGGTATTTTATGAAAAGACTAACTTACTGAACGAAGTAGAGAAATGTAATTGGTTAACTGTGTTGTTATTAGAGTGGCCTCACAGTCATTGGTTTTGAAAATCCGCTGACTGTGTACTCTGGCATTACACTGAAATAATATTATGATAACGGACAGACTAATCATCTGGTTTGACAAGTCATTTCATGCGGTGACTTTAAAGCCACCGTAACAATTGCTGAAATAACCGATGGGGCTGAGATATTTCGGCAGGACAGTCCTTCATAAAATGAAGAAAAGTAATTGGTTCTCGACAGTGGTTAGGGTGACCTTAAAATTGGACTCCTTTATTTCGACTAGAAAGGCAGACTTTTATAATATAGAAAAATCAAATTGGTTACTTCATTTGTTCCAAGAGTTGACTTTACATTCGTCCCATTTTTTTGGAGGACAAATTTAACTCAAGTTAAGCAGTTGTATGCATGCTACTCTACGCTACTGATATATGTATGTATATGATCCCTTATTGTTATCCTCAACATAGGTAAAAACGGCTGTTGCAAAGCGATGAAATTATGCACTTTCTAAAGGAAAATTGAATACCCCTGAGTTTCTAATCTTAGTGTCTGAACTGCATAAATTTTATGTGACAGGTCAATAAAACATTCTATCAAGAATTCAAAGTATGATATTTTAACTTAAAAAGATACTGCAGTAATCTTTCAAATAAATTCACTAAATTTGTTCATCAAAAAATGATTTCAAATCCATTTAAGTAATTTGTCCAGTATATGAGTAAATTACCTTGGATATTTTTGTTTACTAAAAAACTATTTTAGGCATTGAAATATTAAAAGAAAGTCATGAAATGATGTATTGAATAAAGGTATCACTAGTAATATCTTATTTTCATTTTTATAGGCTATAGATCAAGCATTTTTCTTACCTTTAATGGAAACTGATTTAACAGATCACCGCCAGCAGTGCATACAAACCTGTGAAGCATTAGAAGACCTGACTAGAAAAACATATAATGAATTCCAAGTAATAATTGAACCAGTAAGTTTAAAATTGTAGTATATCATCAAGAATAAGGTGAAATCAGTCGCTTTTGTAGTCACTAATATCATGAATTAATACTTATTCGAATATCGAAAGTAATTTCATTTTTTTAAACTCATGAGTATCACTGAGACTAAAAACTGAAATTTCTGCTATTTTCAAATCATTAGTCAAACTCCATCCTGATATCATATAAACTGAATTTTGAACTGCTAATACTGGGGAGACTTTAAGGACTACGCTAGCAACAACCTAAGTAACCAATTAGATTTCTATATTTCGACTCGAAAGGCAGATCTTCCTAAAATAGGAAATTCCAATCGGTTATTTCATTTGTTGCTAGGATCCTTCATAAAGTCAGTCTGAATAAGCAATTACAGTACTATGATTTATAAAAAACTAACGTCCCAACCGAAATGTCAAAACTTGATTGATTATTTCAACAATTACTAGGGTGACCTTAAAGTCAATCCGAATACCAAAGGCTACCCTAACAAATACTGAAATAACCAATTAGGCTTCTTCATCTCAACTGGAAAGGCAGATTTTTATACAATAAAGAAATCTGGTTGGTTATTTTAGCTGTTGCTAAGGTGGCCTTTGAAGTCACGTCAAAGTAACAAGTACTTGCTGAAAGCCCCAAAATTTTGCCTTGACAGACAAACATGACTTTAAAGGCTATCATAACAACATTGGAAATAACCAATAAGATTTCTGTATTTTATGAAAATCTGTCCTCCAAGCCGAAATACTGTGACATGACTGGTTATATCAGCAGTTGCCAGGGTGACTGGACGACTTTAAAATCCATCCCAGCAACTAACAAAATAACCAATCAGGTTCGGCGTTTTCGCTAGGACGATAATTTTTCATGGAATGAAGAAAAGTGATTGATTATTTCATCAGTTGCTGGATGGCCTTTAAAGTGACCGGGTGCTTTTTAAAATGCCCTTAAAGTCACCCCGTTTCGCACTTTTTCTCGAGTGACGTCAAAGGCCATCCTAACGACTGACAAGATAGCCAATTAGACTTTTATATTTTATGAAAAACCACCTTTCTAACCGGAATACCGAAATTTGATTGGCTAATACAGCTGTTGCTAAGGTGGCCTTTAAAGTCGTCCCATTTTCTCTTTCCCGTAGATTGTGTTTTGCACTCATTTAAAGGTTACTCCCTTTCCTTCTAAAGGTGCTGGACTATTTTCAAGACTACCCTAGCAACTGACGATGCAGCCAATTACATGTTTTTATTTTCTGAAAAAGTACTTTCCCAGGAGAAATATCGAATTCTGGTTGGTCATTTCAGCAGTTACTGGGGTGGCCTATAAATTCGCCCGTAAAGAAGTATCCTCTCACCTTTCAAAAAAATCGAAATCAGCGTAAAAATGTGTACCGTAACTCTTTTTCTCGTTTATGAGAAACAGTGAAAGCTCTTAATTTCGATCAGCCTTCCTCTTCTGTTCACGTTCATCAGAAGGTTTTGAAGTTACTGACATTGTTATTTTGAGCCATGAACTAGAATCATCAAGTATATTCAGATGGAATGCAGGCTACAATTTTTTAATACCTAATTGAGGAAGTAACAAAGTTTGATGTTAATGATAATAATCAACCAAGTGTGATTATAGTTAAAGTTGTCAGAACACGTATATCGAACCTATGATTTACTGTTTGCAAAAAGCGTTATTCAGTACTGAAATGGTGGAGAATATTTGTAACTCAAGTGAATGTTCTTAGTTGTATTGTGTTCTCTGAGCTGAATTGTTTAATCGTGGAGCTTTCATCGTTTTGCTAGACGACATCATCAGCACCATCCTAAAGAAGAACTGCTACCCGTGAAACTTTATCAAAAGATGCCTATCCTGTACTTCTTCAACAACTACAAAGTCATCGACAGAAATTAACAAATGCATCATCCTCCCGTACATAAAGAATATATCAGGAGTCACGACAAGATTACTGAGACCTCTTTGAGTTGGTGTGGCTCATAACCCAACAAATTTCCTTCAAACCGTATTATGCAGACCAAAGGATGCAACAACCAAAGAAAACGAATTGAATATCATTTACAAAATCATCTGCAATAACTGTAGTCAACACTACATTGGACAAAGTGTTCACCCTCTTTGCCTTCGTCTACATGAACACCAATTGACTATTAAACGTCACGGTATTTCATCACTCATTTCAATGCACCTAGATAACGCTGTGGACATGAATTCAATTTTGACAATGTAGAAATTTTGGACAGGGGAAACATAAAGCATACCAGAGAATTTCTGGAAGCTTGGCATTCAGATCAGTCAGTCAGTAATCAATAGATGTATAGACACCGACTCATTCTATCAACCAATGAGCAAAATGATAAACGACAGAAAGGTGAGAAGTGAAGCAGAGGAACAGCCAACAGGAAAATCTATGCAGTCAGTCAATGACACAACAATCATAGGAAACAACCAATCACAAACCAGTTCTTCAGGGCAAGTTACTAAATCACTCATGGAGAGATATTGACAGCTCACTTTATACTGAAGTTAGTGCTGATGATGTCGTTTAGCAAGATGATGAAAGCTCCGCGATTATTCAGTACTGATCACATTACTATCCATCTAAGCTTTGTATAGATAAGCTTAAAAAAGCTACATACAGTCCTAATTGCGAAATGAATCGCCACTTTCTTAGTACCGATTAGTACCATTTAAGAATCCAGTATGTATAAATTAACCAAAAAATATCAAACAAACATCTATAAACTTTCAAGTCAGCCTGACAAGCAAGTTATTTGAATTAGCACCACACCTTTGATTCAAAATACCATATCTAACGCTACCGTTCTTCATCATGGAGCGATGCATGGGTTCCCTTTGGGATACAAAAACATTTGATGCACTAAATTACCTGGAAATGAAGTTAATGGTAATTTTTAGTACACAGCCATCATTATTTGAATCTCTTGCCACTCTCATTGGATGAATCTGCAGTCCCGATGCGTCAGAAGAAGAAATTTCTGTTCTAAAGAATATCCTAATTGAAAATGGATTACCACTACGCTTCATAGACAAAAATATAAAGTCTTAACCTCACAAAGAGAACCTTACCGTCACGCCAAAAAAGACACCCTATACAAAACTAAATTTCTAGGGTGATTCTGCCACTGACACTATAAAAAGGAAGATATCAAACGCTCTAAAGAGAACACCCTGTGCATCAACTCTGACACTAGTATCCTCTTGTTGGCCAACGATTGCTAACAAGTCATAGGAGAAACTTTCATATCTGACCACTTCTATGTGTATATATCAATCCACCTGCTCCTGTGGAGCCAGGTATTTAAGTCGCTCGATGCGACTGTTATCCACAAGGGTTCAAGAACACTATCCAGCGTGGTTACAAAGAGGTAATAATGGAGAGATAATGAGTGCTATAACTGAACACACCATGAATACGAATCAACTTATCTCAAGAACCTCCTCGTTCAAGGACGTCTGTCAAGTGAAAAGGAACCTTTCAAACGCTGTATGCATTCGTATTCTCTGCATCGCCGAAGCTCTTACTATTCATGTGTTCTTCTTTGTTCTTTTATATCTATTGGTATATTTCAAATACTTGAATCTTTTCAATGAATTTGCAAGGATGGTGATTTTCAGCTTGATACAAAAGATTTTCATTTTTACAGTCTAAGAGAGATAAGAGATCTACACTGCATCCTATAAAACTTTCAAAGTATTTTCATGAAACTTAAAAATTTATTTTATTCCATTCATTAATTCATTCTAGGATCCATTAAAATGTCTTGAATCATCTGTATTAACCCGTAGTACACTGCAACCTGGCATGCTTGAACCAAATTTCAGTGGAACAGCATTAAAATTATTAAATGAATTACACTATTGGAGTCGACTGGGCTTTGAACTACCACCAAATGCAAATGATGCTTATCGACGAAGATCAGAATTACATTATTTACTTGATATTGTATTAGTTGTTGTTCGAGATTACAATCGTATCTTAAATTCCCTAAACGATGATGAACGTGCCTTATTCCGTGAACGTATAAAAATATTAGATAAGAAATTGGCACCGGGTTTAGTTAAACTACACTGGACTGTAAAAGGTCTAGTTGAAATGTTCGTTAATGATTGTCGTACACAAGCCTATAGATTACAGTTAAAAGTTGATGAATACATGGCAGCAAATGCAGATATTAAAGAGAACTGTGAACAGATAGCACAAACTCTATTGATTAAATTGGAGCCAAATCGTGTTTATGAAAATACAGAATTTGATGACTGTCAGGTGAGTTATTTCATTTATCATTCATACACATAGCCAAACTGGTCTATACATGACAGTTTACATTACCTAGGTCTAAGTGTCACCAAGATAAAGTTAACATAAACAATAAATTAGGCAGGCTAAACTTAGCCTTTTTAAGCAACGTCTATGCTCATCCTACTATTTATGCATTATTTGCCACTTTTCCAAGGGTTAGAGAAGTACAATATAAAAAGACTGTTTTACCTCATGCTTTGCTTGTAGTTTCTGGTCGTTTAAGTAGGAAATACTGATGTAAGCTGGACGTTACCACTAGCACTTCTCTGTTCATTCACTGTTCAACTGTTTATGACAAGTCTTAGTGCAATACCTAAGCTGCCATTGTCTCCTCAAGGAAGATGGCCTTAAGCAATATTTGTTGTCATCAAATATAATTCATAAGAAAGATATGATTGTGTTAAGGATCTTATCCAGCACTGTTACCTGGCATGAACTTGTGCTTATGTTTACTAAAATAAAAAATGAGGAGTTTACTCAATGCACAGACTGGACCAGCATGATCCTATCATAAATGTTTTGTGTCATGTTATTGTTCTTAGCAAATAATTTGGTCAAAATAGATAATTGTGAAAGGTTTTTCAGAGGTGTTATTGTAAATTTTTCACTTGGGACCTGATTCTGACAGCTGCTATGAAGAAATATTAACGAAAATACACAAAATGATAGCTTATAACAGATCCTTGTAGCCAATTTTTCGCTTTCTGCTTGAGTTGTGTTGCTCAAATATGCTTTAACCGGCCATATTTCTAGATCATTGAGTTATCCAGTTAAGCACCAAACAACGTGTACAGTTAATATAAGAGTAAAACTTGTTCACCATAGTAAAATGTAGTTCCGTTTTTATTGATTTTTTAGACTTATCACACAGTGTAACCATATTTTCTACTCGATCACGTTTCGGACATAATTTATTGTCCGTAGTCATACTAAGATAACTACACTCCTTTGTGACACCTCTTATATAGTCCTAATTTTTTTTCCTCCTTTGTGATATGGGTAGTACGATTTTCCATACATCCCGTATATCCCGATAGGTTAGACTTAGGAATTTTGACCTTGTACCATCCATTTGTGTAGTTGTGTGTAGTTGCATGCGTGGCTATGGATGATATTTCTTCTAAATTCCTTACCTTACTAGGATCTACCAATTTTGACTTAGCTAGTTTTTTGTGGTCGGATAGCCTAATTGGCCCTGATCGACTGCTTTGACTTATGTATTTGACCTCAAATTCGTCGCAAGGTACTTGGTAAACTAAGTTATTCTGCTCAATTGAACCAATAGGATCTTTTAACCAAAAAAAGCTTATTTTTAGGTGAGTCTGTAAGTTTTAACGCCACTCTGATCCCATCCTTATTGAGAATCCTACTTTGTGTTCCTAAGGCTTTTTCTTTGTAAGGTAATACTATAGAGATTCCGAATTCTCTCTTCATGATATCGCCGTTATTATTACTTACATTATTATTGCTACTATTCACAACTGTAATGATGCATAGTGGCTAGCAGTGGAATCCATCATTACTATCATTAGAGCACAGGTAATATCGAGGCATTCGCACAGGAGCCCACATGCCAATAGAGACCGGTCGGTTCGGTCCAACCAACGACGGTATGATATAAAAACAATTATACTATTCACAACTGTGTTGCTAATATTAGCCATATTTTTCTCACGATTCGTGAGGAACTTATCAATAAATCTCGGAGGGTAATTGCTGATGAGTAAGATTTCTTTATTGTACCTGATTCCTTGTCTTACATCTTCCGTTTTATTACGTTTTCTTATGGGCTCATTACTTAACCACTTTACTAGGCCAACTTTGACTGACATAGAGTGAGACGATTTGAAGTCTAAGTAACGATTTGAGTGAGAAGTGTTTCTGTAGACACTAGGCACTAGTGGATTGCAGGATAAAACGGAAACAAAATGGGAGTTTAGACATCAGTGTCGAACAGCAAGTTTAGATAAAATTTATTTCGAACACTGATGGTAAGCACTGTTTAACAATAAACACAACTTCGAATTCGCCTCCATGGTATATTCATAGAGTGTATGTATAACTTATTTTCAAGAACGAAACTGAGATGAAGAAAACAAGATAGTTTTCGAAGCAAAGTAGTCTGAAGTTGTGTGGTATCAAAATTTAATTAATCATACTCAAGTTTACAAGTTAGTACTTTTATTCGAAAGAGTTTAAGCACACTGAATAGATTCAGCTTAGCTTCGACTAGAAAATAATATTAAGGATATTAATACTATGCAATTTTTTATCTCATTAAATATACTGTTCTTTTTAATTTAATATCATTTATCTGAAAATTGTTTACAACTTTAGTCTGAACACAGAAGGATAACAAAAGAGAAACTTATTGCTATGCATGAAGAAATTGTACAGAAATTGCGTAAAGTTAGAGAGACATTTGTTTCCGAAAGTGCTGACATCCAACTTTACTGGACAAAGTAAGAGCTACTTAGTTTTCAGTTGTTAAATTTAAATGCTTTTATATTTCTCCCTGGAAACTGCATATTTTAGCCGTTCATAATGCACTTTGCCTTAACTTACACTACATAGCAAAAATCACTAAGATACAGACTGTAATAAAAGAAGTAAACCGAAATGAAACATTTAGCGTATACAGCTGTATTTAAGAATATGAACCTCACAACTCAAGCTGAATAATACAATTTCAAGATTTCGTGTTGAAATTATTAATTATCCATTTCAAATCCATTCCTCTTAGTTGCATTCATCAACCTTTTAGTTTTTTTAAATCTTAACAGAATTATTTATGGTGATTCTCAAGTCAGATATCCATGAACTACATTGTTTAAAACCTATTTTAGTAGATATTTCTACGAAACAATTAGAATATGTAGCTTTTCTGAACTGAAGAATCTGATCATATACATACTTGTCATGCATATTTATGTAACAAAGAAAATATGAGCTTAAAAGAATGGCCAATATTATACAGGATCTCACTGTCAGTTAGGTCGGGAAGAGAAAGATAGTATATTGATTACTAATTATTTCAAGTTGTTATTCATCGTAGACTGACATCAGTTGGAGGAACAAAGTAAACCTGGGAGCACTGGACAGCTGTTTCGTCCTAGTATGGGACTCCTCAGCAGTGCGCACCCACGACCCCACCAGCAGGGATCGAACCCGCGACCTTCAGGTCCCGCGGCCAGCGCGTTACCATTGAGCCACTGGGTCAGAATACAATGCTCCATATTTCCAACTTCTGTTAGCTCACGATATAGCGCAACCGCCACCCAATGTCATCGCTGAGTATTTGTCCTCATGGCCATCAGGCTTTGACTCCACCGGTCACTAATTATTAATAATAATAAGTAAAATAGTAGTAAATTAATGAGTCAATAATAATTAATAATAATAATTACTAAAAACTAATAGTGAAAATAATAACTGAAATTAGAAGTTTTCCTAATGATAGCACTTTTTTCATCTCAGTTTAAGCAACAATAAACTGAGATCACATACAATTGAAACACTGAATCAACTGAAAGTATTGATTTCAGTCTACTTCAGTGAATGCTACAATATAAAGACTGCAAGTTACTCACCGTTTTGCCTACTTTGACAGTAAGATTATCATTTTCACTGAGACTAAATCAGACATCAAGTTTTTTCTATGTGTAATATTCCACTATGCAACAGTGTTCATGATATCCTCTTTTCTTTTACAATGATATAGATATCATCATTACTCAGCCGAGCGAACAGCACATTTCCTTGGTGTTACTTAGAAAAAGGTGTATTTTACTCACTTCAAAGCACATTAGAGATTCAAATAAATGTTATATCAGGAAAGATAAATTAGTTTTAGTAGTGAATAGTGCTAGAGTGATAAGTCTCAAACTAGGAGTTGAATGCTTTCAGTGGGAACTATGTGAAATGCCCGTAATTTGCAATGTCATAATGAAAATTTCGCACAGTGGCAGCGACTGAAAGTATGTGAATTGATCATAAGCCGTTATTAGTCTATTGAACCATATCTTTATTATTGATGGATTGTGGCTAGCAGTGGAATCCAGAATGCACATTTCGTCCAATTTGGGACTCGTTAGCTGGATGTACCTGCTTCCCAGTGAGTGATGTTGTTTCCACCGATCAATTCGGTCCAAACAACGACGGTATCATATAAAAGCAATTATACTGAAAAATCTTTTTGTTTGAATTATCTAAATATGCACTCAAGTGACTCAGTTTTCTTGATCATATTCTAATTTCATGGTGTACACTAGGTTTTTTCGTGTACTACATTAAGTCAATAGTATTCATCAATATTCTTTAACAGTTACAACCGATGATGCATCCTCTAGATGAGTTTTGGTGCAATTACTTCAGTGAAAAGTAGATAAATATCATTCAGTAGGAGTAAATGAAGAAGCACACTGAGCGAGTGGTTATCATGATGTCCCCAAGGGAATCAAAGGCTCTCTACTCCAAGATCATGATAGCAAGATAAAAATAGAAGGAGCGCAAGTCAAAATCACACAATTCTACGCAACACACCTACAAATAATGCAGACGCAGAACAAGAGAGAAAGGAGGAACTCTACAGACAACTGCAATCAGCACTGGACAAGACTCTATCCCAGGTGGCGACATCAAAATTCTAATGGGTGGGGTGACATGAATGCCAAATTGGGAGGGGACAACACAGGAAGAGAACTAACCATGGGTAGAGGAGCACTCAGTGAAATGATGAGTGAGAATGGAGGACTGTTTGCAGATTTCTGTGCATTCAACTATTTGGTGATTGGAGGCAGTGTGTACAAACACGAGAATGTTCTCAAGGCAGGGAAGGACATGGATTTGATTTTGTCAAATGGATACACTAGAAATCAGATCGACTTCATCTCAATATGAAATAAGAGGAGATGCAGCCTACTGGACACAGGATCAGATCAGATTAGATCGGATCATATCAGATGAAGAAGGAGAGCAGATGTATGTTCACATCACTCACCATCTAGTACAAGAAACATAACCACCTTCAAAATCAAGTTGAAAGCCTTCACACAAGTTGGTGATGATAGACCACAGTTGAAGTTGAACACCGAGAACAATAACTGAAGGACGAAACTACAAAGGACATCTTCACGTCAGTCATCAGGACAAAATGGGTGACACTGAGCAACATCCATTAAGGAACCTGAGTGGATGAACACTGGAACTCTTTGAAAGAGACGTGGAAGGAAATCTGCATTACTGTGTTGGGAAGGAAGAGGAAGCAAGACAAGGAAAGGATCGCCACAGATACGATGAATGTGATAGAGGAGAGATAGGAAGGTGGTGAAGCAGAAGATGAACCAGTCCAGTGCAGTGCAGTGCAGTGCAGTGCAGTGCAGGGATGAACAAAGAAAAGAGGAACTAAGCAAAACCTATAAAACACCACACTGGACAAAGAAGTGAAGAAGAGTGCAGAGAAAGACAAGAGATACTACTACAACACACTGGCAAGTGAAGGAGAACAGAATGCAGGTAGGCGAGATAGAGACCTGACAACACTATATCAAATAACCAGATTACTATCTGGGAGGGAAGAGATCAACACAGATGAAACCAATGAAAGATAGTGAATGAAACCTAGCTAACGCCGAAGAGGAGAAGCAAAGGAAATGATGGGATGACCACCTCAAAAAACTCTTGAATCAACTACCACCACCACCACCACCTGCAACGCATCCAGTAATGCCACCAGCAACCGCAGGTATACCAGTGAACATTAACTCTCCGACAGAAGTAGAAGTGAAGTCCTTAATGCCATAAAGTATCAGAAATCAGGGATAACTGGAGCACCAAATGATTTTCCACCAGAAGCACTGAAAACAGGCACACAGACAACAGTGGATTTGCACATACCACTATAGCAGAAGGTTTGGAAGGAAGGAAGGAAGAAAAGTTACATGCCCAGTGATTGGAAGAACAGCTCCCTTGTCACACTCCCAAAGAAGAGTGGGTGACCGAAGTGAATGCACTAACTGGCGTGGAATCATGCTCCCCCCTGTCCACTCCAAACAAAATATTAAGCCGCATCATCCTTGAGAGAGTGAGAAATGCTCTGGATTCAAAATCACAACCAGAACAGGCTGGCTGGCTGGCCGGCTTCACGAAGAACAAATCATGTGTGGATCAAATTGCAGTGCTACACTATGCATCATCATAGAACAGAATATAGAGTGATAATCCACTGTACCTTTATCTGAACTTCATCGACTTTGAAAATGCCTTCGACAGCGTCTACTGAGAAGTAATTTGGCAGGCAGCTGATTCAACACTACGGTTTTAGTGCTACAAACCTTTATCAACCTCATTCAACAGCAGATATATACTATATGATGCTACATGCCAAGTGATTCACAATGGAAAGATCAGTGATGGCTATGAAGTTAAGACAGGAAGGAGTAAGACAAGGTTGCCGCCTGATTGTGGTCGACTGGACTGCAATGGATCATGCAGCAAACTGTGAGGAGCGAGAAAATATGCATTCGTCTGCAGGGCTGATGTAAAGACCCTAGAAGATTTCGATTTCGCCGATGATGATTTATGTCCGACGTCGCGAAAACTGACATGTTTGCAGACTAGGCAGAGAAGATGGGATTTCGGGTGAATGTAGAGAAGACAGAGGGGATGAAGATACCCAACCAACAACAAGAACAATGAAAACAAGCACCAATCACCATCATCAAGAAAAACCGAGAGGAAGTTGTCTCTTTCACCTACCTAAGCAGCATCGTTTCAACTGCGGTCGACGGCGGCACAGTTGAGGATCTTTTAAGCCAGGATCTCAAAAGCAAGACAGGCCTTCATCAATCTGAAAGCAATGTGGAAATCTACTGCACTCAGCATAAAGCTTGAGCAACACCCGGATTGTAAACACTAATGACAGTCAAGTAATTCAGTGCTTCTATGTGATGGTTCAGAAACTTGGCGCGTCATGAAAAGCATTTCCAGCAAACTACAGACATCATAGATCAACAGCTGCCATCTACACCCACTCGAGACTGAAGATCACATCAGGTAGCCAGAATAGTCAGAATAAGCAACAAGGAAGTCGCTTCGGTGGACAACGAACCAACTAACAACCCATGGCCCAACACGTATGCAGAAGAAAGTGTAGATGGATTGGGCAAACATTGAAAGACCGATTGGGGACATCAGGCACCAGGCCAGGCTGTGGAGTGGGACCTGTGTGGGAAACGATGAGTTGAGCGTCTGTGTCAAGTGTGACATGGAGGAGATGGTGTGAGGAAGAAATGAAAGCTTGTGGGCAGTTGGGGAGTCGTGTTGAAAAGAATGCAGGGAATAGAGTGAAAGTGCGACGATGACCACATCATGTCACCTAGCGGTGTGCAGCAGAGAATTCGTGACACTAATCAAACTTGTGATTTCAGTAATATATATGAAATGCTGTAATGAACCATTCCTTCTTTACAGACGCTCCTTTCTTGGCATCAGTATTATGTATTATGTGTTTTCTGATAATAATATTGTGTTCCAAATTTGTTAAATTATCTCACTATGCTGACATTATCTCACAGTCAATGTTCACTTTTGATCATTCACAATTGTTATCAAGTTTCTTTACATATGGTTATGATATGGTAATTTTTCCCTTCAACTAGTAAGACTTTTATTTTAAAAAATCACCAACTAAAATCCCTGAGCGAAACTATTGTCTTGTTCATAAAAATTTTACAAAGCAAGATTGATCATCTTGAGGTGAAAAGTATGGCTTCATAACAGTTCGATTGACACCTCCCTGAATATTTATTTTAGTAAGCAGTTGTGACCAAATCAATTTTATCTAACTAGATTCTAATATCTTTATTCAAACCATTATCTCACTTTTCAAGCAGCCAGTTCATTTGATATAACTTTAAAAATCATGGATAATGAACGTGAGTGAACTTAATTTTAAGTTCATAACATGCATGTAGCGTTAGTGTAAGTCATATCTCACTGGCATGTTTTGTGAACGTCCACATATTGTTAGAATTTTGGAGATAAATATGCGGGTAAATCGGTTTTTTTTTCTCATTCATGAATTCAAATTATTTTTTTATAATTTGTCTGCATTTACCAGGAAAATGTTTCAGGTTCTAGTTTTTCCGGTATTTGATTCGACTTTAAAACTTCAGGTAGGTGGGAGAGGTTTGTACAAACTAATTACGTGAGTAGCAGATAACAGAATTCACTGTTTGATTAAGAATTAAAACTTTTGAACTAATGAATTTATTATTTGATTTAATATTTCAGATATACAGAGAAAATGGATCACTTCTGTGAAGAAGCTTTCAGAATCAATGTTAGATCATCATTAAGTGAATTGCAAAAAGCTATCAATGGTGATGGAAGAAATGATCCTAATCCTTTATTTAAAGTTTCACTGAATTTAGATAATGATGTTTTAATATTCTCTCCAACTCTTGGACAATTAACGCTTGTTGTAGCTTCGTTAGGAAGTAAATTTGCAGAAATCATTTCAGTTATTCCTCGTCTGCCTAATTTACTCAGTGGAACAAAATTTACAAAAGCGGTAAGCTGAAACAAAGCATTTTTTCAAGCTTACTTTCTAAATACTATTTTGACTGCAAGCAACTATTTAGTTACTGTATGAGTTTTAGAAAGTACATCTAGGTGACCGAATACTAAACCTAAATAGATAAATTTTCATAAAGGTGTAGAGCTTGTAGGGAAATGTGTACTCCATTTTATTTCAGAGCTTAAAAAATGCAATTTATCTGGTAATTACGTACAAACAGCCAGTCTAGAAACTTCAATGCTTGCAAATGTTTCATCATATAGCTTAAAACCTAACATAATGACGCAGGTTTATTTACTGTCATCTTTGGAACTTGAATATTTTCATTAACCTTCATATTTTTATTGTCATTTTACATAACTTTTGTCGACTTCTGTATCACTTTTTTATCCACTTCTACTGTGCATGCCGCCATAATGTTGTGCAACTTGAAAGTATGCACTTCTGTTTTGCTTGTCTATATTCTAATTTACTTAAATTGTAGTTAAAAGCTGAATATCTGCTGGTTAGTCAGTGCACTAGAGCATATTCAGTTTCAAGAAAATTTCTATCAGATGACCCAAATTTAAATCAACCCTAGATGAAAGTGCTTATTGTGAGAATGTCACAGCTAGAGGCTAATACACTATACTGATTAATTATTAATGCATTATGTATAACTTCGTGTTTGAGTGCTTGGTGTTGTTAGTGACTGCAAGCAGACAGTACCTTGTGCGCCGAAAGTTTGATTCTAAGGGGAAAAACACCATAATCTCTTAACTGTTCTAGGCCTAGATGATACCATTTGGACTTGAAATTTTGATATTTCGAACACCTCCTTATGTATATGATGAGATGATTCAGGTACTAAGAGTTTGGAGGATAACAATTGATTTTGAGGTTTCAGAGTTGATTTTTGAGATCCAAAAACACTTTTTAGTTAGTCACTCCCTTATGATTATCATCTCAGTTTAATACTTTGTTTAACAATGAAACAAGTGTTGATATCTAAAGCATAGCAATTACTGTATATATGTTTACTTGAGAACTACTCATATCTCCACTCTTAAAAGGCCTGAGAAGATAAAGAACACCATTCTGAATGAACCCCTATGTTAGAAAGTGATAAATGCTTTACTGAGGACAATAGACATTGACCTTTAATAAAACTATTTAGATCCACATTTTTTAAAAACATAATTAGAATGAAATCCGTTGTTTTAACGAAACCGTTTTACAGAATTACTCTTGCAAAGTAAAAACAGCTGAACAAGTTATTTTCTTACCTTAAGAATCTTTAGTAATCAGTACGATTGTCACTTACCTTGCGTAACTTCATGATTTGTAGACTAACAGAGTAAAAGGTGGGAATCGGATTGATGTAATCCGAATGTTTCATACCAACACACTTATTTATAATTACACAATGGTCATGAATGTTTTGGGTTTGACGTCAGTAACAGTTGAGGGTGTATTTTGGACAAAAAAGGTTAACAATCTAAAACTTTTCAGTTTTATTTGTTCCATCTACTTAAATCGATCATCGGTAAGGAATGTTTTTACTTTACCAAACAGTATTGGGTTACGTTTACCTCTATGTATACACTTTTCTACTATTTATATTACCATTATAATTTTTTGGAAATTCGGGATCTTATCAAAAGGAGTCGAATATCCTAAGTTCATTAATTGTTCTGTTAAAGAGCTGAAGATAGATTTCTGTTCCCCCTGCTCAGGCTAATTGAATAGAGTTCGCCGGTATATTAAATAAGCTTGCCCATGGTATGGCCGGTGTACTTAGCTCCACAGGAGCAAGTAAATTGATACACACACTGACATGACCTAGTGCTTCAGCTTACTCTTCGCGTACTCGCGAATGAGTTTTTAACAGGAGAATGCGATTCTAAGGTTAGAGGCAAAGAATGCTCTGTTTATGGATATTGATAGTCTTGTTCTAAGTATATCTACCGCATTAGCACCCTTGAACTCAAGGTTCAACAGTACAATCTTTTTGAAGCAGTATTCACTAGTACTGTGGTGTTCTGAGATCTCTCAGGTTAATTGTCATCTTTTCTTTGATGTATGATGTTGAGAAATTGAAATTCCAAGCTTGGCTTTCTTCTATAGTGAATTCAATAAAGGAGTCAGCACTATTGACGGTTTGAAACAGGTTTTTAAGATTCCTATCCTCGTCATAAATAATGTAGTTATTACCATTTTTTGTAGATATTAAGCTGGCTGATTACTTATGATGAGATTGTGTTTTCTAAGCTTGCCATAAAGTAGTTAGCAAAGAGGGGTCCTAGATGCAATTCAATTCCCATACCGTCTATCCGTTTTCAGATTTCGTTGTTAACTCTGAAGGGCAGGTTGGAAGTATATGTTAGAAAAAGTTCCTCTAAATAGTGATTTGAGATACCAATGTTTAAGCTAAGGAACCGAATGAAGTTATACAGAAAACAAATGGTTTGTGTTAGTAGGACATTTGTAAATAGGGAAATGATATTCAGAGAAATCATCCTCTTTTTTGACAGACTGACATTCCTGAATAAATCAACAAAATGAAATGTGTTAAGCAGTCAATGTTTCAAAATCTTACTCCTCACTGAATCCAGTATCTTAACGAGCCATTTTGCAACTGAATGGTAAAGACAATTAATCATGTCTAGTATTGGGTTGACCATAAAGTCAAGGGATCGAAAAACTTGATAGACTGAGTTGTTCATAGAGTCCAGTGGTAGTCAGTGCCTCTTCTTTCATCTTCTTCAATGTTTCGGACAACTAGTACTCCGTTTCTTCGGTAAGATGTCTTAAAAAATATTTCTATGGTTGGAATTAGCAGATGAAAAGATTTCATTGTTGAAAAATGAACTTTAAGCGTCATGAAGTATAAGCATTGTTTGAAATATTAAGAAGTATGTGTGAATATAAAAGTGTTTAGCTCAGAAATGAAGCTTTCATGAATGCATAGAAGAGAGACAAGATGGGTCAATGGAGTCGGTAATCATAGGTCCCTGGGATCTCATTCAAAAGACAATAGGCACATAGATTTATGATTTTCTGAGGAAAATGATTGTCATACACTTAAAGTTTTACAGTTTTTGTTCAGTCAGTGTCACTCTGAATTAAAAACTATGGCCGAACTTATCAAAAGTTAAGATATGCAAGCTTGTAGAGAACTGATTATCTTCAATCTGTTGATTATTTCCACTTCAGACACATTAAAAAGTTTGTTTTTTTCCCAGGGCCACAATTATGATTTATCAAACAGCTTAAATCTATAAAGAAAGTAAAACAAATACATCAGTTCAATAAAACTTCAGACCACTGGAAAATAAAATGCCAAGGTCGTGTATGTTGACAGTTTCAAAAAACCATAAATTCATTACTGGATGTTACGCCAAAATTAGATGAGAACTTAATTAAAGATGGTACATCTAGTTGAATATCAACAACACCACTGGTATATTTATATGTAACCATTTAATCACAGGATTTGGTGTTATCGTGTCTTTTTTTGGTCTAGAAATTAGAATAGTTCTTTTCATTTGAGTAGTGTCATCTTATCAGTTAGTGTGACCGAATGACGTAATGAGTTTTAATCCTATTTAAAGCATGCAATATCATCTTTCATTCAGAAATCAACTGACAGAGATGCGTTTTTCTTATGGTGTACTATAAAATTCCTCAGATCCTCACAGAAGCCCAAAATCTATAAACCATTCCACAACTAATCGTTTCACTACGAAGTCTGAAGGAAAGGTATGTCAACCTACGTGAAAGTATCATATAGATTGAAGAGGCGAAATCAATATAATACTACCTCCTAGAAAAGTCTAGAAATATTCAAGGCCGTAGTGAGCACCTAAACTGTTGAATTTTGTATGTAATTGAACGTTGCGATACATCTTCTGTTATCTAACAGCCTTTTCTACTTTTTGAGGAAATAAGCAACTGTAAAGGGTGACACCTGAATGTTATTGTCCAAGGGTCCACTCACAGATATAACCAGGAATATATCAGTTTTGAATTAATAGACGTGAGTCAGGTTCAACATTTTAGTCTCCTAATAAATAAAAAACTATTTGAAACAAAAGATCTTATTTTTTCATTAGGTGAAATTAAGTAACTGTTGCTTAAAATGTTTGTTTATTTTCTTCCACTTAATCTAGTCAATAAGTGAGGTAATTGCAACAGATGAAGAAATAAATAAAATACAAGCAAGTATCAAACGTGGAATGCAAGAAATCGGTACAGCTGTTCATGAACCATTGAGTTACTGGGATCAATTTAGAGAAATTTGGGAATTGCCTAAAGATGACTTCATACAAAGATATCGACAATTAAACCCACATGTTACTTCTATTGATGCTGACATATCTAGGTAAAATTAAATCAATCAGTATTCATATTTTAACCTTTACTTTAGCATACTAGTAAATACCCAAGTATATTTATTTTATATACAATAATAGTAGTAGGGTGAGATATCTAGGATAAAAAATCGTACTACTTCACACAGCGCTATTGTTCTGTGTAGTGGTTAGTTTGTTACGTTTTTATCAGACATCCACACAATTCATCAATACGCTGGATGCGATCAGTTTTTCTATTATGACTATAAACAATCGTATTGAAAACCCTTAAGTCCCTTTTTATTCTACTACCTGAAACAGTAGTCTAAAATCCATAAACAATGTCCAGTGAGTAGCTTCTTAATTTGCTACTTATCGTTTTGATTATTTAAGAGATTACCCCAAGCTATATCATTCATGCCGTTCCCAACAGTGTCAATCTAATGGGTTTTTGGATAATGACCCTAATAGGATAGTGTTTGTATGAAAGTCATACTAGCATTGCCTCACCTTATCTAATCAAGACTAGTTCTAAAGCGCTTTTGGTAAGATAACGTTCTCAAAATAGACATTCGTTTCTTACTAACCAATAGCGGTGAAACGTCATATTAATCCGAAAGCATTTATTAACATTTTTAAGACTGCTAATGTTAATTGTCGAAGAAAAGTTGTAGACATCATGCTTTGTCATTTAAATTTTTCCGGTAATTTCGAAAGTAGGGATTGTTTCTGGATAAAAAGCAATAATAATAACATAGGGGTACATGTGCACTCAATAGCTTTTGAGAAGTGGCTCATTAGCTTAGGAACTCGACTTTGAAGCAATGGATCCTGACTTGGGACTACATTCCACCTTCATCGGTCTGAGCAGATGAGTGGTATCCTAATCTCCAAGTTAAATTACACTGTCCGACATCCTTTTATGAATTTCATGTACTTCAATATATGCTAGATCACTTTATGGATACTCCAATTCCAATGTCAGTAATGTTACTGCCATACTTTTCAAACAGTTTTGCATAGTATTGCAATACCATTTGCCCCAAATGGAAGGCGAGAAGTAAGATACTTTAGAAAAGTCTAAATCATATACGATTTTAGTCGACTACTGCGAGCATATTGCTAGCTTTTAAAAGACATAAAAGTATACTTGAACTAGAGTTCAAGTACACCATCTTGATGTATCGCAATTTCTTAGCAGCGCAATGGACATCCCCAGTCTTTATTTGTACCTACACGAGGTTGGTTAACTCGATTATTGGTAGTTGTTTTTTGATTCATAAAGTTTATATAATAATTCATTTAAGGAGATCGTAAAAATCTGTACTCGGGTTTCAGGAAAAACTTACAGCAAAAAGATTGATAACAATTTCTTTGACACAAAAGATGTTTATATATTGTTTGACGCGTGATAATTGATGTTCTTCCAGTTTTATTGCTCTACAAGTTTAGTTTTTGCTAAACAGAGCTTCAACATGAAGTCGGGTATAATCCTTACTTCTATTATATCGTTAGAATGATAATCTGAAATTATTGGCATTTTATAAAAAAATTTCAAAACAAAATCACTCAAAATTTATTGAATAGTCTAATGTAAGTAATTACTATAATGCATTTTAGATACACGGAGGTAACCAACAAAGTTTTGGATGCGGAGACTATGGTTACGACAAGATTTCTGCAACTTGACTTCAGTCTGCTGAAGAATGCGATAGCTGCTCATTGTAAAGATTGGCAGTTACGTTTGATCAATCTACTGCTTTCGATGACAACGGATTCATTGAATGGAGTTTATACGTATATGAATGATGTTAAAGAAAGGTGAGATGTTTAATCTATATAATCAGTGAGAGTGATTTGCCTTTATTGTGTGATAAATCAATGGTCCGAAATTAGTAGATGACTGGTTCAAAATACATTACCTTGGCAAATGTGTATGCCCTGATTTGGAAACAATATTGTTCAGTACTTATTTATTCTATTTTAACTAATGTTGTTATTGCATTCAAGTTGGTGACTAGCAGTGGAATCCAGGATGCACGTTTTTTCCTATTTAGGGTTCGCTAACTGGGTTTACTCGCACTCCAATAAGGGATGTGGCTCCCACTGAGGTTCGAACCCAACCCCTATCGCTCCAAACGCCACTGGAAGTTAATTCTACTGTATTCTACTGCTAGTCATTAAGATAAATAACATCGGGAATAACCGACAGTATCAAGCCATCCACATAGGAGCCAATCTGCCAACAGAGGTCGAACAAAAAAACTATTAGTATCAATAAACAATAAGTGATATCTGTTGCACATGAAGTGACTTTTTTGTCCCAATGGCCTGGTGGCATTTGAAACGAGTGGTACTGGGTTCCAGTTTTCCTGTGGGAACAACATTACTCACTGAGATGCAGGCAAGTGTAGCTGAAGACTCATAAATAGGACGAAGCACGTGTTCTGGGTTCCGGTGCTAGTCATCGAGGAAAAAACAACACTATAAATATCCTGCAATACTGAGGCATCCACATAGGATCCCAGTTGCCCAAAGGGGTTGAACATTTTGACTCTGTATAGCAGTGGGAAATTACAAGTATCAAAAGAAAGTGCTGTCGTTAGTCATTTGAGCACTTGTGAGGATTTTTATTTTTATGGTACTGACCTACTACCGTGCAGTGTTTTACTTAGTTACCTCCGTGTATGTTTGTCATAGATTGTTAGTAATGTAAAGGGTTTATTATTACTTGAAATTAACCATTAGGATGGCAATGAACGTAACCTTGAAAATGTCAGATGAAGTTGAGGATAACTCATTTTGTGATATAAAGTTTAATCAATATAATAAATGTCTTATCAAATGAAATGCAGCCTGCCTTTCAACTATTTGTGTATCATCATGATCTTAAAACTACAGCTAGCCTGAACCTCCATTATATTTATTCCTTTCATCAAGAAGGAAGCCTAAGACGATCTACATTTCTGTTGGAGTACTATTGTCAGACTTCATAATATCAAAGCCTTCGAGTTGTAGAAATTCCCAATAACATGAGGGCTTAAGTTTAATTTTAATATTAACTTACATAATAATTAGTCAAAAATGTTGACATTTGAAATCGGATTCCCAACATGTTATTAACTAATGATAATTAGTACTTATTTTTCATTGTTTAGAAGAAATAAAAATATCTGTTACTTGAAAAATACCCATTTAAAAAAGAGATTATACTTTTTAAAATATGTGCTTGTGAATTTCACCTTGTCATAAGCAATATAAATGCTTAAATTTGTCTATGATGACGGCAACGGCTTGGTCTCTAAATGTTAAGGTAAACAGTAAATTAAAGCCCAGAAGTGGATAAATTTGAACAACAAAATTGCAGTATTAAATCAAATAAAAACCTACTGAAATCTGTTCCATTCACACATCTCACGAAACTATTAGTTAGTTTTCATACTCTCTGTTACACTTAAAGGTCTAATAGGTAAACATAAGTTCTAGACTCTCAGAGCAGGAAACGATCACTAATTGCAGTAAAGTGTCATAGTGTGCGATCATATTACCCGGATCCTAATAGAAGCTCTAAATCCCTGAACTATTTCACAACCAATCATTTTGCTCCAAAGTTTCTAAAAAATGTACATCAACCTACGTGTAAATATCAAATCAGTTGAAGATGAAAAGTCAATAGGATATGCCCTTCTAAAAGGACCTAGAAATATTCAGGGGCTGTGTAAAAAGGTATATATGAACCGTTGTACTTTGTGTACACTTGGAAGTTACAATATACCTTCTATTATCTCAGCCTCATTTCTATTTACCGAGGAACTGAATGACCATGAAGTAGGAAATTTGAAGGTTATTATCCAAGTGTCTACTCTCATATATATAACCAGAATATATCATAAAGTACTAACTGATTATCTATATTTCAATAAGTTGGCGGCAAAAGGTTCTCACCTGCATCTCTAGTTAATTGGTTGTTAGTAGATTAAAAGAAAATTATTACTACACAAACTTTCCAATTTAAAAATTCTGCCACCTAATAACACTTATCAGTGCATTTTCAGTTTTTTCATCGGTACTTATGGAGATCAGAAGACCACGAGATTCTATGATATGACCATCTGAATTCATCAGTTAATTCATCTTTCAGCAAATTAGCTGTCAGGATATGACTTCAATGAATGTTATGGATAAGGATAGCTTACATGTTATTCACTGTATAGTATATATGTTTGTACACACTCACTCTCCATTTATGTTAATTTCCATAGTTGATACATACACTCTAAATACGAAATATTCAGAGGCTTTTAATTCTAGACAGTTCATGTGTTTTAAAAAGCAATAACATTCATTCGCTTCGTATCAGCACACTGATAACAATGAACCTGCTTGTACTTTTTGCGGCGAGTATCATACATGTCACAGAAATATTATAATTAAGATTTAACTAATTAAGCTGAGATCTATTGTATTTAATAAAAAACGGAGACATATAATGCTTCGAAAAAAGATAGCTTTGCTCTACGAAAAAAGTTCTGTGCAAAGAAGATTCTTTCTACCACAGACAAACAAACAAAACAGTGATAAATCTTGCGAAAAACTGTATTGAATAAAGTTTTGCAGCTCGCAACAGAATTTTTATAAAATCACTACCGACTGAAACATTATTATTATTATTATTATTATTATTATTATTATTATTATTAGTCCCTTGGGTTCCTAGTGGAACATAGGGCTTCAGTAGCACGCCTCCAGTGACCTCTGTTCTCTGAGATCTTTTGAACCTGGTCCCACGACAGCCCAGAAGCTCTCATTTCCTCCTCGCACGACCTCCTCCATGTCACCCTCGGACGTCCAACTCGTCGCTTCCCATGGGGATTCCACTCGAGCGACTGGCCTGACGCGTGATGTCCTCAGTCGGCCTTCTCAGTGCATGGCCAATCCATCTCCACTTCTTCCTGCATATTTGTTGCGTGATAGGTTCTTGGTTGGTTCGTTCCCAGAGTTCCTTGTTGCTTATTTTTTCTGGCCATCTGATCTTCAGCAGCGAGCGTAAGCAGTTGTTGATGAATGTCTGTAGTTTATTGGAAATGCCTTTCGTGACGCGCCAAGTCTCTGAGCCATACAAGAGCACTGACTTGACGTTGGTGTTGAAAATCCGTATCTTGTTCCGCATGCTGAGTGCAGAAGATCTCCACACTGGTTTCAGGCTAATGAACGCCTGTCTTGCTTTTCCGATTCTGACTTTGACGTCCTCGTCCGTCCCGCCTGTAGTTGAAACAGTGCTTCCTAGATAAGTGAAGGAGGTTACTTCCTTCAAGTTTCTCCCGTTGACGGTGATTGGAGTTTGTTGTTGTTGTTGATGGTGGTGGTGCGGTATCTTCATCACTTCTGTCTTCTCTATATTCACCTGAAGTCCCGTCTTCGCTGCCTCTTCTATCAACTTGTTAGTTTTTGCCTGCAGATCTTCAAGTTTATGTGACATTAGGCATAAGTCATCGGCGAAATCCAAGTCTTCTAGGTTCTTTTCCGTCGTCCAGTGTATCCCCCTCTTCTCGCTGCCTACTGTTTGCTGCATGATCCAGTCCACCACAATCAAGAATATCATGGGGGATAGTAGGCAACCTTGTTTCACTCCTGTCTTCACTTCAAAGGCATCACTGAGCTTCCCATTGTGGATTACTTGGCATGTGGCATCTTCATATAGTTGTTGAATGAGGCGGATAAAGGTTTGCGGTACTCCGTAGTATTGAAGCAGTTTCCAAATTACTTCTCGGTCGACGCTGTCAAAGGCCTTCTCAAAGTCGATGAAGTTGAGGTATAGAGCTGATTGCCATTCTACGCTCTGTTCTATGATGATACGAAGCGTTGCAATTTGGTCTGCACATGATTTGTACTTCCTGAAGCCTGCCTGTTCCGGTCGTAGTTTTGAATCCAGTGCGTCTTTAAGCCTCTCCAGGATGATGCGGCTTAATATTTTACTTGGGGTGGACAGGAGAGTGATTCCGCGCCAGTTCTTGCAAGCACTGAGGTCTCCCTTCTTCGGCAGTTTGACAAGGTAACCCTTCTTCCAATCGTCAGGTACCTTCTCTTCCTCCACACCTTCTGCAATAGTGGTGTGAGCATGTCCGCTGTTGTCTCTGCATCTGTTCTCAGTGCTTCTGGCGGTATTCCATCTGGTCCTGCTGCTTTCCCGCATTTCAGTAGCTTTATGGCGTTCAGGACTTCCATTTTCGTTGGGGGATTAATGTTCACTTGTAATTCAGCGGCTGCAGGTGGTATTTCTGGACGAAGTGCAGGTGGTGGTGTCGATTCAAGAGCTTCTTGAAGTGGTCGGCCCATCGTTTCCTCTGTTTCTCTTCTTTTGTAATTAAATTTCCTTCTTCATCTTTTATTGGTTTCATCTGTGTTGGTCTCTTCCCTGATAGCAACCTGGTTATTTGATACAATGTCGTCAGGTCTCTCTTACCTGCAGCCTGTTCTGCTTCACTTGCCAGTGTTTCGTAGAAGTGTCTTTTGTCTTTGCGTGCACTCTTCTTCACTTCTTTGTCCAGTGTTTTATACATTGTGCTCAGTTCCTCTTGTCGTTGAGCATCCTTGCACTGGTTTATCTTCTGCTTCACCATCCTCCTCTCCTCTATCAGCTTCCAGGTATCCGTCGAGATCCATTCCTTGTCTTCTTTCTTCTTCCTTCCTAATACTGTTGTGCAGGTTTCTTTCCACATAGCTTTCAAAGACTTCCAGTGTTCTTCCACACAGGTTTCTTCAGGGATGTCCCTCGATGTCTCCCATTTTGTCTTGATGGCTGCTTTGAAGATCTCCTTTGTAGTTTCATCCTTCAGTTTCCGAGTGTTGTACTTGAATTGAGGTCTATCACCAGCTTCCTTGAAGGCTTTTAACTTGATTTGGAAGGTTCCTTGCACTAGATAGTGGTCTGAACCTACATCTGCTCCTCTTCTTGACCTTGTGTTAAGTAGACTGCGTCTCCATTTTCTTGAGATTGAGATAAAGTCGATTTGATTTTTAGTGTGTCCATCTGGTGAAATCCATGTCGCTTTGTGGATATCTTTGTGCCTGAACACACTGCCTCCAATCACCAAATCGTTGAATGCACAGAATTCTGCAAACAATTCTCCATTCTCATTCATTTCACCTAGCGCCTCTCGACCCATGGTTAGTTCTCTTCCCGTGTTGTCCCCTCCCAGTTTGGCATTCATGTCGCCCATCAGAATTTTGATATCGCCAACTGACGTCTTGTCCAGTGTTGATTGAAGTTGTCTGTAGAATTCCTCCTTTTTCTCTTGCTCTGCATTATTTGTAGGTGCATAACATTGTATGATTGTGACCTTTCTTCCTTTTGAGTTGAATCTTGCTGTCATGATCCTGGAGGAGATTGGTTCCCACTGCATGAGAGCCTTCGATGCTCTTGAGGACATCATGATAGCCACTCCCTCAGTGTGCTCGTGGTTGGCGTCTGGGTGACCGGAGTAGATTATTGATTCTCCAGTTGACAGTTTGGAGAGTCCACTCCCATTCCATCTGCTTTCGCAAATCCCAAGCACTTCGATGTTATACCTTCTCATCTCCTTTGCAATCTGGGCTGCCTTACTGGGTTCAAACATCGTGCGGACATTCCATGTCCCCACGTTTACTTTCGCTTTCATCGAGAGAAGACACATCGGCCAATTGGCTTCCCGAAGGCTTTCACCAACTGGCGTCATTTCGCCTCTCCGATTCCAGCGGGGAATAAGTTTGTTTTCATTTTTTATATTTTGTTTGTGCTTTGAAGTTTCTTTAGCGGTTAGATTTGTTTTACGGGGTAGGGTTGCTAGCCCTATGCCCAACCTTCCCTCTTTACCCGGGCTTAGGACCGGCTAGTAACTAGTAAACTAGTTAACCAGGCGAGGTTACCGACTGAAACATAATAACTCTAAACTGAAGGAGATTATACAAGAGAAGCGAGTAAATCAGGAAAAGTAAGGTAATCAAAATTTTTGAAAATATCTTGTGTGAATGCTGTTTAGCTGTTTTGGTCAATTTTATACTATGTTAGCTTGACTTATGGTATTTTTTCCTGACATTTCAAAGAAGCTAACAAGACGTCTACGCCTCTGTATGCTAAACAAAACAAGCCTTTAAGGATTTCATAAACTGACATCAAACTTTAGTTTGGTTGGGACTGACTTTTCAATCCTGCTTCATCTTTTATAGGGATCGTAGATCATTTGACTTTTGTACAGCATTTCTCAACTAACTAAGATGCTGTGGACTATTAACGTTACGAAGCATTTTCCTGATTTTTTTGTAGGCTCTAGATCTTGTTATAGCTATTCTTCTAGCATAACTAGATCTTCTGTTTACTATGTATCGACTAAAGATTCTCCAACAAGAAATTCGACAGATTGTCAAATGTCAAACATGTTATCAGTTAGCTCTACCCTGTGAATAACGGAGGAGGAGGTGGTTGAAAGTATTCCGTCTATATTGCTTAAGTAGCATATATAGTATATAAGGGAACAATCATAATATAACTTTAGAGGTTGAAAATAGGCCTCGATAAGGGAAGTAAAATGTTTGATGCAGCTATAAACATCAACTGGGATCATACATAACACATGCCTATCCACCGTTTACTTCATTAGGTTTTAAGTGAAAGTACGATCAATTTCAGAAATTGCTGACAGGAGTAATGCCAATGTGTTGCATTAACTTATGAAGACTTTGATTGTTGGTCTCTTGGTTTTGTTCTGTCTGACAACTAAAATCGAATAGTGAAGACTCTAACTAATATGAATGATAATGGTCCACAATGAAGCAGATATATGCAAATAACATCCAAACACAAATATTGTTCATTTTGTTCATGGTTTTTTATCTTTTTGTCTCTTACTGTGACCTATACCGTTACTATTTTCTTTCTGCTGCCTTCCTCCTTCTCCGCCACCACTGTGATGTGTTTATATGAGGACTATCTAGTCGATTTATACAAAATTATTGTTTACAGACCAATAGTGTCTGTGAATCTATGTACATTTTCAAAGTTCCTCATTAAAAAAGCTTTTTAAAGTTGCGTATAATTTGAATGAGAATGACTATTGATGAAACTTAACCTTGATTTAGTGATGGGTCACTTCTATTTCCTAATAGTTTGACAAGCCATCCAATTCCTTATAAGCGTCTTACGTTCAATGTTATGGTTGTAAATAAAGTTATCTAGTGAAAACGGATACCTAGAAGCTGACCTTTTTCTGTACGTTTTGATGCGAGTTAATCATTTTTAAATCAGATTCAATAAAAGGGAGAAATAAAATTAGTACAACCTTGTCAAAAATGTAACAGACGACAAACGACATCAAAGTTACAACAGAATCCATATGTCATTTCCTTCAGTTATGTAGCTTTCCTACTGTTTCAGTACTACCATATCACAGAACTCGATCACTTTTCTTCACCTCAGTTACTGACATAAACACTATGGCTAAATTTAGAAACTGAACAAACAACCTACAATCATTTTGAGAAGAAACTTTGTGATATTTTATACACTTCTGTAGTTTGTTTCTTTTCTGGCTTAGTGGCGGTTACTACTTGTTTATTTTTGTACTCAAATTAATGTAATTTCTATTTTATGCCATCCACATAATTATCGTCTTGCTAACGTTCATGATTGATGATCACTTTCTTTCAGAAATTATGACAGGAGCTTCATATATATATATCTTTTCAATATTTATCTGTTTTATTCCAAACTCAAACTTCTAAACAGGCCGAATCGCTTGGTGGTAGGGTCTGTAACTTCAATACTGAATGATGCAGTTTCAAATGGCTGAGGAAACATCACGTCTCCTGATGATGCTAATAATGAGTCACAATTATCACAAAACATTGATACATGTCTTCCTGTCAATTAACTCCTAATATTTTTTATATTTCTTACTACCCTTTAAAAGATTTTGGATTTTAAATTCATCGTGCGCATATTTATAGTGAATTTATTTGTTCCACAGTACACAAAATTCTCGTGGATACATGTTAGTTAAAGAGTAAAATTTGGGCACTTGGGTAGAATATAACTGCACATTAGACTGTTTATTTGATACAAGTGTTACAGTACTACTTAGTGGATGACGTCCCGACCAGAACTTGTTGCTCACATTCATATCAGTTATGATGCGACTTTTAAACTTCCTTTATGAGAGTCGTATGATCCCTTTGATATGAATATGTGTAGTAAATGTTGCTTGAAATGTCATCCAGTAAAAAAATAGCATAACATTGTTTGCTCTATCAAATAAACAATCCAGTTTTGATGTATGTTAATCTTTATTCATTTAATTACTTGACCATTAAATGTATGAGAGTATTCAAAGAGAATGCAGTGAAATACAACGTATATTACAAACTCAGTTATTATCACATTATTCAAATTTGTATACGTAATAACATGTATGGGAAGTTTTTTGTTCATCAAACGTAGCTATTCAACTCAGTTTCGTTAAAAAAATAAACGCTGCTGATTGTATACAGTACAGGTGTTAACATTTTTTAGACATCAGCGAGTATCGAAGCGATTACAACTATTCAGTGATCACATTCATGAAAACTATATATAAGGTCATCGATAAGTAAGAACAGTTCTATCTTAATTAAATTACCTGAAGTAGTATTGTCTTTCTATGTGCTTCACAGTTAGGTGTAATATTATTTTACTGGTTAAACTGCGCATTAAAAACTTCAACTAATCTTTAATTGCTTTTGCTTTAATGATAAGTAATTAATAATGCGTTTATATTATCTGATGTGACTGCGTTGGAGGAGGACATGGATTCTAATAATAAGCGAAACGAGTAATAACGTAACAAGATACTTGCACTGGATACGAGTAATGTAACTGTTCTCCTCCACACCTGATACTTCACTGAGCAGAGAAAATCAGCAGACAAAAGATGGGCTTGCAACTGACTTAAAGAAGACAACTTTACTTGACAAAATACATAGTATTTGTACACAGCTCCTAATCAGAAAATGAAGTCACTAGATCACCAATCAGCTGAAGGGTAAAATTAATGAGTAAAATTAATTTGACCATACATGGATATAAATCAAGATGTGAAACGAAACTATTTCTACCCCAACGGCGAATAACCTTGAATGATGATTTTCATTTTTGGCTACTTCCTATCAATATCGTCAAGAATATCAGTTTACGAAACTATATACGGGTTTCCAATGATCTAACTATGCATGAGTACAAATGTGAACTTACCAGAACTTTGGATATATTTCATAATTGTAGTGTGGTACACCATAAATTTACTGTTTTGACTTTTCTAGAATACTTCGACCACCTCAAAATCTGAATGAACTTGGTGATTCTATTCATTTATTAGAACAAATATTATCTGAACAGAATGAAATACAAGCGAAATTCGCACCATTGGAAGAACAATTTGCAATTTTAGACAAATGTGAAGTTACTTATACGGAAGATGTTTCTAGCCATAGAACTAATTTATCCAGTGATTGGGTACAATTCCAAAGTACATTAGCAGCAGCTGAAGTGGTAAGGTCTTCAGTTTTCAGATATATATATATATATATATATATATATATATATATATATATATATATATATATATATATATATATAATTTAGGACCTGTTTCGAAGTAACCAAATCAGTTCATTCTGCTTGCAGACAGTTTTGTAGAGCTACATTTGGCTTAGATGTACTATCTAGCATCGTGACAATGCCAGATTACACAAGATCTTAACTGTGATACAGTTTTAACTCGCGGACGGAGCTGGCGAACCAAAGACCATCCTTTTTTAATCTGTCTTGACCTAGAATATCTCCCCATGTAGATTTTCGTCCCTATAAAAGCTTTTCGCCAGTGTTGAATCCTTTAATTTATTCCTAAATCTCTAAGATCTAAATCTCTTATTTTTATATGCTGAAACTATACTGTTGTAAAATAGTTGTCAAATAAGACCACTGATTGACGGTCTCAACTACTCATAAATAACAATAAGACAGGATATGAAAAGACAATGTGGTATTTGTACCTTTTATTATGGCATTAATGAAAAATAGTCAATAAGATGATTCAATACGATTTACAACTAGTAACTCGATTTGTCGTACTAATGATATACTTCATCAAATCTAATTATAGGAAAGTAATCAATTTGAATAAAGTATTATTTATTGGTACTTGTTATTTTCGGACTTATACTGGATCGATAAGATAGACCTCTGTTGACATGTTCGTTCCCATAAGAATGCTTCAGTACTACCTAATTACCCGCTATCAAGGAATTTACCCAGTAATGGCTAGAAGTGGAACCTGCTACGCTTGTTTCGTCCCATATGGGGCTGGCCAGATGAACCTACCAGCATCCAAGTGACTGATGTTGTTCCCCACCCAAAACTCGGACCCACTACCTCTCCCTTCGAAAGCCAAAGCACTATTCACTACACCACTGGGGCACGAGAATCACTTGTTATACAACGAGTATCAGTTGCTACTTTTGATACTAGTAATTTCCTGTTGTTATACAAGATTGGATTGTTTGACCTCTTGGATTCTAGTGCCGATCACCAAGACTAAGATAAGATCAATATCCTGGTAGTATGAAGACATCCGTGTTGGAGCCCATCTACAAACAGAGGCTGAGCTGTTCCACTTTATTTTCACATGTATCAGTCCTACATAATTGTTGTGTTATTATTTTATTGTTATTGTCTTATTTAATTTATCCATCACTAGTGAAATGTTACTTTGTTACTAATCCCTGAGCCTGGGCATTACCGTACAGCTTATGAGGAAGAGGTAATAGAAGAGAAATATTTCACCCAATAGTTCTTATATTTCAAATATCTTATAGTAACAAATCGCAGTTTTTCGCGCTAGTTATCCTAAATATTGTCATCTTTCTAAGATTTATCTAATCTTTCTTTCATGCAAAAGATGATTAAAAAGTCGAAAGAGAAATTCAAATTTGGTTTACTTAGTGATACAGAAGATTTTAAACGTGCTGTATCAAATCTTTTACAAGACTTGCAAACAAATGGACCGTATGCAGCTTCTCTTTCACCTCAAAATGCATTAGACACTGTAAACGATTTCCGTGGACAATTGGATAATCTTAAACATCATGAGTTAGAATTACGTCATGGATTGAATTTGTTCAAAATAGAACAACCACCTTGTAAAGAAATTGCACTTGTTGAAAAGGTATTTATCATTTTCATGAATGATGATATATTCATAATATGAAAATAAATGTTGTCCATTTGTATGATGATAACTGCTGTCACACTGAGTGAAAGTCAGTGATTTATGCACGACAAAACGTTTCCAACTGTGGCTTTAAGTATTGCTATTATTAATTTCATAAATTGTCCCTTGAGTTCCCACTGGGATATAGGGCTTCAGTTGCACGTCTCCATTTCACTCTGTTCTCTGCATTCCTTTCAACATGACTCCCCAACTGCCCACAAGCTTTCATTTCTTCCTCACACCATCTCCTCCATGTCACCCTTGACACAGACGCTCAACTCATCGTTTCCCACACAGGTCCCACTCCACAGCCTGGCCTGGTGCCTGATGTCCCCAATCGGTCTTTCAATGTATGCCCAATCCATCTACACTTTCTTCTGCATATGTGTTGGGCGATGGGTTGTTAGTTGGTTCGTTGTCCACCGAAGCGACTTCCTTGTTGCTTATTCTGATTATTCTGGCTACCTGATGTGATCTTCAGTCTCGAGTGGGTGTAGATGGCAGCTGTTGATGTATGATGTCTGTAGTTTGTTGGAAACACTTTTCATGACGCTCCAAGTTTCTGAACCATCACATAGAAGCACTGAATTACTTGACTGACATTAGTGTTTACAATCCGGGTGTTGCTCACGGTTTGTGCTGAGTGCAGTAGATTTCCACATTGGTTTCAGATTGATGAAGGCCTGTCCTGCTTTTGAGATCGCGGCTTAAAAGATCCTCAACTGTGCCGCCGTCGACCGCAGTTGAAACGATGCTGCTTAGGTAGGTGAAAGAGACAACTTCTTTTCGGTTTTTCTTGATGATGGTGATTGGTGCTTGTTTTCATTGTTCTTGTTGTTGGTTGGGTATCTTCATCCTCTCTGTCTTCCCTACATTCACCCGAAATCCCATCGTATCTGTCTCTTCTGTCAACTTGTTAGTTTTCACCGGTAGATCTTCGAGTTTGTGGAATATCAGACACAAATCATCGATAAAATCCAAATCCTCTTAGGACTTTTCTTCGGTCCAGTGTATGCCCCTCTACTCGCTCCCCACAGCTAATTGCATGATACAGTCAACCAGAATCATGAAGATCATCGGTGACAGTATACAACCTTGTCTTACTCCTGTCTTCAATTTGAACGCGCCAAAAAGCTTTCCATTGTGAATCACTTGGCATGTAGCATCATATAGTATATAGCTGCTGTTGAATGAGGTTGATAAAGTTTTTGAATCAGCTGCCTGCCAAATTACTTCTCGGTAGACGCTGCCGAAGGCATTTTCAAAGTCCATGAAGTTCAGATAAAGGTACAGTGGATTATCACTCTATACTCTGTTCTATGATGATGCATAGTGTAGCACTGCGATTTGATCCACACATGATTTGTTCTTCGTGAAGCTGGCCAGCCAGCTAGCCTGTTCTGGTTGTGATTTTGAATCCAGAGCATGTTTTACTCTCTCTAGGATGATGTGGCTTAATATTTTGCTTGGAGTGGAGAGGGGGAGCATGATTCCATGCCAGTTGTTGCATTCACTTAGGCCACCTACTCCTCTTTGGGAGTGTGACAAGGGAGCTCTTCTTCCAATCACTGGGCATGTAACTTTTCTTCCTTCCTTCCTTCCAAACCTTCTGCAATAGTGGTGTGTGCATGTCCACTGTTGTCTGTGTGCCTGTTTTCAGTGCTTCTGGTGGAAAATCATATGGTGCTCCAGTTATCCCTGATTTCTGATATTTTATGGCATTCAGGACTTCGCTTCTGCTTCTGTCGGAAAGTTTGTGTTCACTGGTATACCTGCGGTTGCTGGTGGCATTACTGGACGCGTTGCAGGTGGTGGTGGTAGTTGATTCAGGAGTTTTTTGAAGTGGTCATCCCATCGTTTCCTTTGCTTCTCCTCTTCAGTGGTAACTAAATTTCATTCACTATCATTCATTGGCTTCGTCCACGTTGATATCTAACTTCGCAGATGGTAATCTGGTAATTTGATATAGTGTTGTCAGGTCTCTATCTCGCCTACCTGCATTCTGTTCTCCTTCACTTGCCAGTGTGTCGTAGAAGTGTCTCTTGTCTTTCTCTGCACTCTTCTTCACTTCTTTGTCCAGTGTGGTGTTTTATAGGTTTTGCTTAGTTCCTCTTTTCTTTGTTCATCCCTGCACTGCACTGCACTGCACTGCACTGCACTGCACTGCACTGGACTGGTTCATCTTCTGCTTCACCACCTTCCTATCTCTCCTCTATCACATTCATTGTATTTGTGGCGATCCTTTCCTTGTCTTGCTTCCTCTTCCTTCCCAACACAGTAATGCAGATTTCCTTCCACGTCTCTTTCAAAGAGTTCCAGTGTTCATCCACTCAGGTTCCTTAATGGATGTTGCTCAGTGTCACCCATTTTGTCCTGATGACTGACGTGAAGATGTCCTTTGTAGTTTCGTCCTTCAGTTATTGTTCTCGGTGTTCAACTTCAACTGTGGTCTATCATCACCAACTTGTGTGAAGGCTTTCAACTTGATTTTGAAGGTGGTTATGTTTCTTGTACTAGATGGTGAGTGATGTGAACATACATCTGCTCTCCTTCTTCATCTGATATGATCCGATCTAATCTGATCTGATCCTGTGTCCAGTAGGCTGCATCTCCTCTTATTTCATATTGAGATGAAGTCGATCTGATTTCTAGTGTATCCATTTGACAAAATCAAATCCATGTCCCTCCCTGCCTTGAGAACATTCTCGTGTTTGTACACGCTGCCTCCAATCACCAAATAGTTGAATGCACAGAAATCTGCAAACAGTTCTCCATTCTCACTCGTCATTTCACTGAGTGCTCCTCTACCCATGGTTAGTTCTCTTCCTGTGTTGTCCCCTCCCAATTTGGCATTCATGTCACCCCACCCATTAGAATTTTGATGTCGCCACCTGGGATAGAGTCTTGTCCAGTGCTGATTGCAGTTGTCTGTAGAGTTCCTCCTTCCTCTCTTGTTCTGTGTCTGCATTATTTGTAGGTGTGTTGCGTAGCATTTTATGATTGTGACTTTCCTTCCTTTCGAGTTGAATCATGCTGTCATGACCCTGATCTTGCTGGGAGAGATTGTTTCCCACTGCATGACAGCTGTCGATGCTCATTGGGGATGTCATGATGGCCACTCGAAAACTCAGTGTGCTCGTGGTTGTCGTCTGGGTGACAGTATTGGAGTAGATTATTGACTCCTCTCCAGTTGACAGTTTGGAGAGTCTATTTCCATTCCATCTGCAGATTCCTCGCAGATCTCTAGGACTTCTATGCTTTGCCTTCTCATCTCTTTTGGAATCTGGGCAACCGCGCTAGGATCATACATGGTGCGGACATTCCATATCCCTATTCTTACTTTCGCTTTCATCGAGGGAAGAGGAAACACATCGGCCAATTTGCTCACTGAAGTCTTTCACCAACTGGTGTGGTTTCTCCTCCCTGATTCCAGCGAGGAATAAGTTTATTTTCGTTTTTTATAGTTTCTTTGTGCTTTGAAGTTTGTTGAGCGGTTGGATTGATTTAATGGTGTAGGGTTGCTAGCCTTATGCCCAATCTTCCCTCTTTATCTGGGCTTAGGACCGGCTTGTTACTAGTGGACTCGTGAATTAGGCGAGGTTAGAACTTTATGTAGCAGATGGAAATTATGTTGCTGTTCAGAACTTCAAACATTTATTTTTGTTTATGAAAATGAGAGACAGTCATATGGACTATGACGACTGATAATGGCCAGCAGTGAAATCCAGAATGCACGTTTCGTCCTGTTTGACACTTGTTGGTTTGATGTACCTCCATCCCAGTGAGTAGTTTTGTTCGCACTAAGATACATACGAAAAATGGATGGTGTCAAACACCAGAGCGTTATCGAGTAAACCATTGAGTCACGAGAGCCACTCCGTGTGTGGCAGGAAAGGTTTCTGTGTTATATATATATACTGACAGAAATATACTTTATTTTGCACTCGGTTCTGTATTTTATGTTACTTCAACGACAACTTATTGGTTTTATTTACTAGCAATGAACACTAGTTTCTAATTAGTGTAATAATGAGTAATAATCACTGCTGATGTCAAAAGCTACTCACTCAACATATAAATGAGAAAAGCAGGTTTACTTTTGAAGATTATACATATGAAAAGTGGACATCAGTTAAAGAAGTCTTGAGCACTAGGCCTCAGACTTCGTGGAACTACTTAGAAGTATGTATCCACATCATTTCTTGTAGCAGGCCTTGTAATGAATGACTTAATGTTATCAATCTTATGATATAGTGAAACTTTTATGAGTGTTGTTGTAGTGATGTTTTTCGTTTTCTGAAAAAGTCCATTCTTCATGATAGCTTGAAAAAGATACCTTCTTACCTGTCACTAATAAGATATTCATAAACATGTAAACAAGCTTCTTTTGAAAACGAAAGTATTTTTGAACTTCAGTAGGTGAAAAAACTGTCTCTTCACACTGAATTCTACATATGTTTGTTACCACTTAGTTACAAGATAAAATATTCATCTTTTTCTATCCTCTTTCATAAACTTTTGTCTACTATGATGTCATCGTTATTTCTATCCCTTTTCTAATTGGCATACTGCTTGGAAGTGTTCCAACTTGAACCGATGCCGTTCATCTTTGATTTATCTGTTTATCTATAATTCGTGTGTTGTACTGAAACATATTGAATGATACTTCATTAGGATTTAAGTTGGAATCAAAATCTGGCCTGCTGAATTACTATCGCTTGACCACATTTATACTGCCTGCCCAACTAGAACTTCTCAACCCATTCCAAACCGAGTTGAATTAGAGAGGGGAGAACATCATAGTGACTGCCTAAGACGGCCGTAGTCTGACAAATTGTATTGACAACGGATGATGATTGAAGGTGAAATGAAAGTCTGGTCCACGGTAAGACTCGGACCAACGAACTCCGCATTATTGAATGATCATATACTGGCCTGGATTCAATAATATATGTAACTATAATGGACAGTTTTTTCAGGCCTTCCATAGACAGTCATGTGGCTGCACACCTGTATGACTATAATCCTTTACATAACCAACTTATAAATATGGAAATTTGTTGCTAATCTTTCTACTGAACAATATTTGCCTTGTTTTAGGATTTAGATGTTTTAAATGCTATTTGGACAACAAACTTAGAGTGGGAGAATAATTGGGAAAGTTGGAAGGTTGGACGTTTTTATGATTTGCAAACTAACGATATGGAAAATCTGGCCAACGCTGCGTTTCGAAAATTCACCAAGTGGTCACGTGATCTGAAAGTAGGTGATTACTGTATAAACAATAATGCACATTTATAGTACCGTTAAGTATATCGTTTGTTTTTTTATTGTCACAGCTTAAGTTTGGAATACAACTGGTACCAGGTATCGAAATGAGCAGTCACATATTTACGCAATCAAAAATCAATCGTTAATTATTTGTGTTTCTTTATCAGTTTAAATCATAGGGGGAGAAGTACTGAAACATAAAACAGCAACATTAATAATTAAAAAACACCTACACGGATCTGTAAATTTCGCCAGTCAAAACAGAGTGATCTAAATACTGGACAACTTTTTCACTCATCTGGGGCCGAGCTAATCAACCGTAACAGAGGCGAACTGTTCAGAATAACGGAATCTGATTAAATGACTTGGATAGACCAGCTTAGCTAAAATAGGTTAATCAGTTTGCAAATGATTTACAAACTGTAAGGTACATGTTGGGATTTCTCGCAGCTGGAAAGTTTTCCGACTGCAAGATCACAAGGTTTGATCTTTCACCAGAAATGTCGTGCACTAATCAAGTATACTGCTGAATAATATGAGTGAGGGGAGAAGTAAATCTTAACTACCACCAGCTTTTCTCCTAAGTTATATCTGATATTCTCCAGCTAATGAACTCCATTGCGTTACTTTAAAGGAACAGATGAATAGGTATACACCATTTTAAAAACTGATTACTTCTCGGCTTCTAATAGCTATTTTCAATCTAAAAAATAACAGTAGTCCTTGAATGCAATAGGGTGTATCTCAGTGTAAAAAAGTAACCACTCTGACTAAACACGCATTTCTGAATTCTAGAACAGTTTGCGTTGTTGAGGTAGAGAATTTAAGTAATACTGTGTTGACAGGAGCAAGTGGTCTTAGGGAGCTATTGAGCTTCTCCATAGTTAAGATATCATGTTTAGCAAAGGTATGATGGAACTGCACTCATGTAAGGGGTTTACATCTGACCACTCTCATTATTATTATTATTATTATTATTATTATTATTATTATTGATGCACTACAAACTACATATACAGCTATTTAAAGTATGTTACTGTGAGAAAATCAAAATATGAATAAGCTCCTGATAATGTTGCAAAAGTTCTGTACATGTTGATCATGAGAAATAAACACTGAAAATGATAATCAATCACTCAAATACATTTTCACTCATCTTTATGCTACTGTAAAGTTAAATGTTATTGTCATAATCATTGGAACCATGACGTTTTACTTTTTATGACAGCACAACAAGCGTGCTTCAGAGTTTTTCATAGTGAACAAAGTCGAATGTCATTGAAAAAAGCTGGACAAATGCACAGTGCCTAACATGTATTTTAATAATCGATAGTGGATTAGATTTATTTCAATGTAATTGTAAGTTTTCCGATCACATCTAACGAAAATCGACTGCTTCCTAGAGTGTTGTATTGCCTATAACGTCAAAAGAAAGACCATCGGTAGTCTTCTCATAACGAAATGAACGTAAGACCTTAACTTAAGTAGCAGATATTTTTTTTATAAGATGATTGATATTTAAGTAATAAGGGAACATATCGTTGTATTGTATACAAATAGTGCATTCGATCATCAGATGTTTTTTTTCTGTATGCACTAACCACTGCGTACAACCTCTTAACAGCTTATTATTTGGCATGCGATTTTTTAGATTATATCAGTGACACCATTTTTGTCGTCTAAGATTAGTTTCAAGTAAGTGATGAAGGTAGATAGTGCTACCATATCATTTCCCAACTAATCGTTTGATGTTCTTCTGGTTTATTTTCATACCTTTCTTATCTTGGTGGGTTTTCTTCAGATATTTTTAGTGAGTGTGCCTGTTTGCTCCTTGTACTTGCTTGTTTCTGTATAACTGATAGACGGTCTCAGTTGTTATCTACAAAAAGTTAAACCAGTAAGTGTCGTCGTCTTCTTAAGTATTAGAATTCTTTTTCTACATTCTTCATCTATTTGGCAGCCAGTTATCAGTCCAATTTACATGTATATGATTATGAAGTTAGAAAGCCTTCTTGTATATAATTTATTTTTTAAGAATTTTATTACCCAGATATTGTAGACGACAATAAGGACATTTTGAAGTTGATCTATTATTTAGTTATATAAACCAAATGAAATTCGTTTTCCTATTGATAATTTTAAAACAGGTAAACATTTTCAATTTAAAATATTTTCTGTTACTTATTATTATGTCTACAAAAGGAAAGAAATTGGGAAGTGATTGAAGTTAGTAAAGCACGAGTTGACCAATTTCGTCGTACTATGCCATTAATTACAGATTTACGTAATCCAGCTATGCGTCCAAGACATTGGGATCGTATAAAAGAAGAAATGAATAAAAAATTCGATGTAAGTTCTGATGATTTCACATTGGAACGAATCATTCAATTGGGATTTGAACAATATTCAGACTTAGTCAATGAACTTTCAAGTGCAGCAACTAAAGAGTTAGCAATTGAAAAAGCACTTGACGGTATGGAACGTCTATGGCAAAATAATGAGCTTGATATGATACCCTATAAAGATAAAAATACTTATAAGATTAGATCTACCGATGAAATATTTGAAGCCCTTGAGGATAATCAGGTAAGCAGAAGTAATAACATTCTTCTGTTTTGTCAAAATATAAAGTGTTTTCTGATAATCTCGAATTATTCCTATTTTCTTTCATGAAACTACATATCATTTAGCTAGTTATTCTGTTGAATATATCATAAAGTGAGACAAAAATGTTCATTCGAATGAGCCTAATAGTCTAGAAGAAAGGTTTTTGATTTCAACTCTGTGTTACGGATTCCAGAGTCAGATACAATATGAGTTACCTCAAGATTTTAGACTTAGTTTCCTTATGATTACTAGCAAGCGCAAATGGTATAGTATGTTTAGGAACGGGATAATTTCGGGTATCCTCTAGAAATGCTGTCATGTTTCTACGCATTCATAGCCTGTTATAGGGAAGTCCATTACCTTTACCACGCGGGGATTGTTTCCATAGAAGTGAAAAGCTGAGAACGGATGTCCGATGCACATTACCGGACTGGTAGACACAAAGGCTTCACTTAAAGGAGCTGATAAACCACTGGTGAACGTCACCTATACAATACAGAAAACGTATTAATGGTAGCATATTAAGAAACAGAACAGCGTACGGTGATCAGAGTCGTCTTTGGCACCAAGTTCACACTAACCTATCCTTAAGACTGTAGGTACGTAAAACACTATTTTGGGCAGTTTTACCCTAAGCTTGTGAAACCTGACCTTTCCGAGGTTAAAGTGTCCAAGTACTCTATGTATTTGATCACCGTTGCGACTGTAGGACTGGTAACAATCGGTAGAAACATTACGTAAGTAATTCTGAGGTGAGACGAATTGTTTAGGCTTGATGGAGATTGCCATCCATGAGTAAGGCCATCTTGAGACAACGCCTTGGTGCTTTCAGAAAGGTATTGCTTATTTCATCACAACGGCTTCCATGCCACTCACTGTTCGTTTACCCTGGAACTGGTTGGAAGAAACAAAGAAGTGTTCAGTGTACGATATATTACCATACAATGAGGGATAATTGTGTTGGGTTAATATGTGTAGGTATCTCAGGACTGCTTGGATGACGTCCGAGAGATCATGTAACTCAATCTCTCGAGACAATAGCAGATATGGCCCAAAATTCAAAGTAGTGGCTTTTATGCTGCAGCTTTCTTGTGTCTTCCACTACTAAAAACCAAAATGAAGTTAGTGAGTGCTCCCATAGATGTATTCCTTACACAGGTTCTTTAGTAACTCACTTTTTTGCAATGCTTTCTTTCTTTCTTTTATGCCTTCGTAGTGTTTTTTAGTTATTTTTTATGATGCATCTCCCGGCGCTAGTTCTCTACAACAAGCACAGCATCCCGGTCCACGATCTCTTGTTGACTTATTTCGAACATCTAACAATTCTATTATTTCTGCATTCACCTTTGTTAAACAAATCTTCTAAAGAAAAATCACTGTGTTAGGCTAAGTAGGAATGATATGGGATGGTTTCAAATTGTAGTTAAATGTATCTTATGCATTTTTTATACTAATCGCTCCTCTGTACTAAAAGAGACATCATATTTGCTGTAAGAGGAGTCACTCTTTATCTAACTAACTCTAATGCTCTGATTGGAATTAAAATTGAATAAACTAGCAAGCGCAAGTCTTCAACCACATGACGTAATTAGCTATTGTTTGAGGTTACTTAAAAAACTGTATGTTCTAGACCTGAAGCCACTGGAATAATAAAAATCAATATTCTGAGTTATAGAGTTAAAGAAAAATATCACTATCGATAGTAAGAATCATTGACTAACATTCTAGAAGTTTGTTACTACTCGTGTTACTCTTTTTTCCATGAATATTGATATTTTTTACCGTCTTTTAGTGTAGAAACTATCCAACTCACTATTGTTTCACATTCTACGCTATTTCAGTAAATGAATTATAAACAAAAACAATTTTTTTTAAAATTTGGTCATGTTATCCATCGAATCTCACTGTAATATAAAATAACTTGCTGCCTATCCCGTTAATTAACTCATCCAGGTTCAATTATCTACAATGAAAACATCACGATTTGTTAAACCATTTGAATATCTCGTCGATGTATGGGAGCGTCTACTGTCATTAATCACGGAGACCGTTGAATATTTATTAACTGTACAAAGACAGTATATGTATATGGAAACTATATTTCTTGGTGAAGATATTCGTAAACAACTGCCAAAAGAATCTGCAGAATTTGATATGATTAATAAACAATGGCAATCAATTACAGCATTTTTATATGAAACACGTAATACAAGGACATGTGCAAGTAAACCAGGTCAGTGGCTATGATCGTTAATTTTTTTCATTTTAATGCTAAAAATCAAGTGAATTCTTTTCCTGAAACTATCTCTTAACTATTATAGTCTAAAGAAGCAAGTTAGATGGTTTAGTAAACGCAATTGTAGTGAGATAGATTTTGTTTAGGAATCTTTTAAATTGATAAGCATTTCCACTACTTGATTACGTTTAGCTTTCACCAGCCGTGATGTACAACCCAAGTTGTGGTAGAAGATATGAAAGCTTAAGAGTGAACAGCTCGAAAAAAGTTGGCGTTAAAGGAAGTTAATATCAGGTGATGTAATGTATCACCGAAGCTACATAAGTTTCTCAGTTGCATTTAGATGGATGGATAAAGGAATGCAGAACCACGCAATAAATTGCTCTGGTCCCAGTTCTCAATGTCCACAGGAAAATAAACAAGAAAAGTTTGGTGTAAAGGTGTTATAAAGAAAAATCATAAGGTTACAAATGAACAATAAATGAAAAGGGGTCTGGATCTCAAAATTTGAAGAAACATAGTAGATAAGCACATTTGTGCTTCTGAAGTCAATTTTGAGCTATTCCACTGAGAGTCTTTAATTATTGATTTCAAGTATTAAAAGTACCTCCACCAATTAGCTTTAACTCCGTCTTGCAGCTAAGAATAAACCCTAGTTACTTCATGGGTTCATTTTATTCGTCAACTTTGGCTCATTTAATCTATTCTAAACTAATCCTATCTTGATATAATATTATGCGTAGCTCGACGAGCTCAAAATAACTCTGAGCAACATAAGTTAGTGAAAGTTCATAAATTCATCTACTTTTACTTTTAAACACTTGTTCCAACCTGAAAGTTACTGTTTCTGTGGATTGAATACATACATATATAGGGTGTGAGAACGTAGGTAAAACCTGTTCAGCACTACTCACAAGTCAGAGACTATGGGAACTAACAGTTTAAAATTATTTGTGATATGGCTCAAAATACCACCACAATGACTCAGATGGACGCACTTCTTATTGTCTTTGAGGTTTTTAATCTTTTTCCTAACCTTCCTTTACTCCTTCTTTCCTCACTAGCAGTCTTTTGTCTGCTTTTCGCTTCTTTCTTACATGGTAGTCTAAAGGTGTGACAAGTTGGAATGGTTCACTACTGTACCAGGTTCGACGTTGATTTTCCTGTCTGTCCTGTGGCTTATACCAATTTTCGCTCACTGTTTCACTCCTTCTTTGTTGCTCTGTTTCTTAAGGTGAAACTAATGTATTGGGTTGAATGAAATTCCATTGACTGTATTCATTACATTAACAACGTAATATTCTGACTATTGGATCAAATTCATCTACGTTGGCTAGTGTACCTTTGAATAACAAACATGGCGACAGATTATGTCGTTTTGTGTAAAGATTTTGATTTGGATGAAGAACGTAGTGTTATCACCATCTAAATCCGCATCTCCTAAAAGATGATAGTGAAAATTACTATGCAAAAAAACTGAGAGATAATTTTTATTGTGTGAATCCTTTATTCAGTACTCCAGTTACTCTTTGTAGTCAGGTTCAGAAAATTGGTTGATCATCATTGATTGAGCCACATCAGCCTCAGTAAGGTAATTGCTGGCGAAATCTTTGCATAGATATGGGAAACTTGTTTGACTTTTGTGGAATTACAACTACTATGAAGCAGAACGATTCTTAGGTGCTGAGTGTATTGTGCAGCCGTGTCTTAGTACTACCTTCATGTAGTGGAAGGTGACTGTCAATCCTAAAAAAGTCAGCAAAGTTTCCAGTTGTCTGATCACCGTCAGCCTCGTAAGGTGTGTTTACAATTCGAAGGTCAGGAGTGGAGGTTTAGGCAGAAGAATCAAACTAGTTATCGAAGTAGTTAACCGCTGTTAACGCAGGTAACAGAAACATGTATTACATACATATGAGTAGCTAGACTTTACTGTTACCAAGAGGTTAGCTACAGTGTACTTCTTCGATAGGGAGAGTCCCAATACCCCGTTTCTCTTGTCTCATAACCTTTCATGACTACTGATTCTATCATTTTTATTCTTTCTCTTTCCAACTCAATAACGTCATCACTCAATCAGCTAGTTGGAAATGTGCTAATTAATCTACAGTTGTTTAACGTTTCATATTTTCATGTGTATCTAAAATACAACCATTTGGTTGAAACCTAGCGACCCACCTTTTTCAACCTACAACAAACTACTTCTATCATGTAGTGTAATCGCCCGACACTAGTAGTCTTATTCGACTTAGTTGACCCCAATCACCTACTGAGACCTTGAGGAATCGGCCTGTAGACTATTCGTTATTCAGCTGTAAGGGCAGTTTCGATATAATACTATCATTCGTCATAGAAGCCTAGGTAGTTGTAGAATGTTAGATCCTACCAGAAAAAAATCTTTGAAAACGCCTTATTTACATTCTATAGCATGAGACTCAGTGATAACTTCAGAAAATTTAAATTCGGTAGTTAATCGAACTGGCAACCGACACATGTAATACGAACGACGCAACACCGATTCCGGATGTATGGGAAATTTAAATAACAATTAAATCAAAGTATGAAAAACAGTAGAACTATAAAAACTAGACCAGAAAATTGTAATTACCTTGATATAACTATGAGCAACAAATTCTACTCGAAGCATCATCAGTTACGAATACTGTTTTGCTGTGTAACACATGTAGTATAGAACTATAATACGATAAAGATATAAAATCATTTTATATTCTCCTTCAACAAGAATAAACTCCTAACAGCTAATCTTTTATATAATTACTGAATGATCCAGGTCGATCTTTAACTTCATTCATATGGTCGACAAAGTTTTGAATTAGATTTAAGTGGCATTACCGTATAACCCACGACTAGTCACGAATACACGCCTTCGCCATATCTTCATCTAAATGAACAAAATCTTCTCACGCGTTCCTATTCCCTTTTTCTTCTCACTTTATCACTTCACGTTTGAGTTTAGGAATGCTAATAACTTCTACCATTTATCTACCGCGTTGTCAACTTTTCTTAATGCTAGGATGGATACTACCAATTGGACAGATATGCCCTTTTTCAAGTTCTACGTGGTATTTTTTTTTCTATTATCTATCCTGATGAAATAACAAACTTCTCTTGTATAAGTTTTCACTGTGCGCCTACCTGAAAGAATCCTCTTGAAGACAGTTTCAATTCAATAAAGATTGAAATAACACTATGTAATCAGTTGAATTCATCTCACTTCACATCTTTGCAGAAAAAAGTAAATCAATAAGTGCGAAAATCCCCAATTTTGTCATCTTTCAATACTGCACAGACCTTGACCAATGTGATCCTATTCTTTTAATAAGTTGGATTGGAGACCAGAAGTAATAATGAGTAGCGGCTAGCAGTCGGAATCCAGGATGCACGTTTCATCGTTATTTGGGCTCCTCAGCTGGATGTACCTGCTTCTCAATGAGCGATATTTTTCCACTAAGACTCAAACCCAGCACCAAATGGTTCATATGCTAGAGCGTTATCCACTAAGCCATCCAGTCACGATAGCCATAATCTGTGCGATGGGTATAGTTTTAATGTTCCTTGTATCCAAACAGAGACCAGTCAATTAAGTCCAATCAACGACGGGGAGTTACAATTAATAAAATAAAAACTATACACGTCGTACAAAGGTTGACTGTTGCGACTCAGTGTTCTTTGAAGCTTTTGAAGCGATCGGTAAAGGACTCCAGTCTCAGTGAGGAAAACGTCGTTCACTGGAAACATTAAGCTGATAAGTTCAAAGTAGGATGAATCGGAAGTTCTGGATTCCACTGATAGCCAGCATCCACCATTACTACCAAACTGAAACCATGGACAATATAGAGGCACTGGCACAGGAGCTTATGTGCCAATTGACGGATAACAACAACGACATGGAGATAAGAAGTACCTACTAGTTGTTGTTTTTATCTAAGATTCATCTCTGAAGAATTGATAAAGCTGTTGATACATTCAATGTTGTTTTATTAAAATGTCCAGTTTTCAAAAGTGCTTTTTTGAAGAATCATATTTATGTATTTATAACAAGTAGTACTTGCCTGGAGTCTTCGGAACGACAGGAATTAATGGTGGTAGATTTTTTATAACATTGACGAAAATCGGTCCCAATGGCGCAGATGTATTCACTCCTTGATATCTTCTGAAGCTTGAATATCTGCACGAACCATTATCGTCAAACTGTTTGTCGTCTCACATATCTTTGTCTACTTTGATATCACTCTTTTGTATTCACTAGTCTGAAATACTGTAACTTGAGCTGATGCACTCACGTGCGAGGTTCTACGCTGATCTTGTCTGCCGTTCTATCTCAGAATCCTAAAATATGAAACAACTTTCTTTTTAGGATTTTTTGCAAACTTTAGAAGCATTAGACAAGTTTCTTTCTAATATTTTTAGAAGTAAAAACATTTCGGTCCTCACTAATACTGAATTTTGGACTTAAAAATCTCTAGTAAGAATATTTTGCATAAGCCTTTTTATTGTGATGCAACGGTTGAGGATTAACTTTATGTGGTTAATGACAGACAGGTATCCATTACAACGATCAGCTCACAATAACTGTCTGTTTTATTCTTTTTTTGGTTTACAGGTTTATTAGACCAATTAACTAGACTTGTTCAAAGTTTAGATGAAATACAGCAATCATTAGATATGTATTTGGAGACAAAACGTCAAATATTTCCACGATTCTACTTTATATCGAATGATGATCTATTAGAAGTATTAGGACAAGGCAGAAATCCAGAAGCTGTTATGCCGCATCTAAAGAAATGTTTTGATAATATCAACGTTTTGAGATTAGAAAAGGTAGACACAGAGCATATTATTGATAATAAAGTTTACTGTACCCTGGATTTATTATGACTCATAATAAGCTTTGTTATGTTTCTATTGTAGGAGCAAGATATCTCATCGATCTAGGGAGTTAGCAATTACCGATCTCAGCCGTTTAAGCATGTGTAGACGACCTGTTCGGAACAAAAGCTAACAATAACTATGGGTTTTTGTTGCTTATTCTTGTACGTTTCACCTAGATAGTCTACCTGTACTGATTTCTCTCTACTACCATAACTTCTAGTTATCTGAATCTATGTACTATTGTAAAAATTTGTACCCACTTCTATCTGCCTTCTTTCTGGGTGGTTTTGTGATGATTCTTTTTTATGATCGAAGAACACAGCAGCGTTGCTGTATTCTACACTTCTTCAGCTTTGATTGCGTATGCATCACAGTGTTGAATCAGTGCTTATCAGTTGTAGAGAAGACGTTTTTGACGCATTTTACTTTCTTGCCGACATACAACACCTGAGACATCCGGAGTAAATATAAAGCTCATAAGACCTGCAGTTTACATATATTTACAATGGCCTTCACAATTTCTAGAAGATCGAACCCTAACGATTCCACTTCTTCAACCAATCTGGTATTTATACTTTAACACGTGTGCTTTTACTCGAAACTTAGAAGCAAGACGATTGATTGTGAAAGGTTCTAGGGATATGACACTTTTTATGAAGATCTTGGCAATCTTATTGCATACTACAATACCTCCTTCATGAAATAAAGAGGGGTAGCGCATAGCGTCTTTCGACCGACTGGTAACTTCTTACTAGAATGGGGAAAAAACTTCTTAATGCCCTTGTTTTGAATTTGTTTTGGTGCGGTTTGAAATAACTAACTTTTATCCATTAAAGTTGGAAATAAACGAACCATTTTGCCAACGGTCTGATGATAGGTGTTTCATGATCCTTCCCCTTCTCGCTAAAGAAAAGTACATTGGCAAATATTTGAAAAAACATCTACTATGTCTAATGATGTCACATTCCATTGCTGTAAGGCGTTGCTTTTGCAAAAATGCCCGAAGATCACACCAACCAATTGTGTATAGTTGTTTTTACTATGGTATTTTTAACATTGAAACGATTAAATAAATTTGCCAACCTCAATGAACTAATTTCCATTTGGCTCCGATAACCACCTTCGAAACTTATGCACTCACCAGCAACAACCACATACTTTCTTTTACTCATGGAATTTACCCAATCAATGTGGTCACTTTTCTGGAACTTATCAGTTATTCGACGGTTTCTCAGATTACTCCTCTTTGAGTTATCTAGAGTTTGTGGACATAATCTGCTAAGGATGCGCTGACTCGCTTGAGTAGTTAGTTTTGTCATACTAAATTGGTTCTGGTTGCAAGCAAGTTTCTAAGTGGCAATCCAGTTTGGACCTAGGAAATCAAGGAGTGGCTGACTTGGTTGGTAAGGCACTTTGTAATGAGACACATTGCCATAGTCGCCATCATAGTATACTTCCAGGTTCTCTGCTGTTTAGTAGATATGATCTCTGAAGTGCAGCTGGCTTTCAAATGATTCTGGTATCCGTTTGCTCATATGGATATAAATTGTCTTTGTTATGGTAATCTACCACCATACAAAGTAACTATCGCATTTGACTTGTGGGAAGAGGTTTTGAACCTGCCTCAGTATGGGCGTATTTATTGACCTGGTACTCCTTTAAAACCCTTTGAACACGTAATGAAAGGTTTAGTTCGAGGAGGGCTGGGTCTCATTAAGCGTGAAACATCATGTTTTAAACTCCCAACAAGTACTTCTTGGTTTTCATTACCATTACCGGATCTAATTGTAGTACTGTTTGTTCCTTCGTCATGCGTAATAAGTGGTTACTATCACCCTCACCCATCAACACAATATTATCTACATAACTGAACTTCTCAAACTCATTTTCATCTTCAATATATCCATTATTTAAGCAGTTACCAAGAGCCTGTTTTAAAATCTGAGGACATGGATGTAGAAGCTGTCTGAATGTAACACAGCATTTCATTAAATTTTTTCAATACTCCCAACCGTTACCGCTTCCATTGTTTCTTCATAAAGTAGCATAAAAGCCTGAAAGTCTTCGTTAGAAAAAGTTGCCACTTGAACAATAACCTTCAATATAGTTTAATGTAGATGAATTATTACGAGACTTCTTTATTTTAAATGAAAAATCTTGTAGAAATCGGAAGTCGATTCAGTAAGAGTCAATAGCTTGAGTGTTATGTAAAGGATTTATGAGGAAAATATACACATTTTCCACATATATCCCATTTTACAAACGAGAGGCAGGAGAGTTAAATATTTTGCGATCAATTAATCATATTCATGTAGTTGAGGTTTAAAAAGGAGCCAAAGTTTGTATTTCTTTCATGAAGAACATCTCTTTAAGAACAACACGATTTCCCCGAAGAATAATAATAATGTGTTTGAATATTTCCACTGAGTCACAACAGAAAATGTACCTCAACAAAAAACCTTCTAACGGGGATGTACAGTCTCAGTTTTATATATTTCCTTCATCTCGAACTGTATATTATTTACAGTACAGAATTCTCACTATGTGGTATTTATAAGGTAGTATTCATCACGGATTTATTTCAGTTGAAAAACTATTGAAAACTTGACAGCAATGGACAGCTATTTAGTCGTAGCATGAGACTCCTCAGCAGTACGTACCCATGAGTGGGCTAGGGATCGGCCTCAAAACCTTCAGGTTTTACATGGGGAAGAATGACATCATCCAATCTGCCCTAATTCAAATTTCACTGGCATAAATTATTAGAACTCATGAGCATTATGCGTAAGTAAATGTAAAGAGACCTTGTATCCACATCCATGTACCATGTTCATTGAATATTGAAAGTTCCTATTTTTTTCTAAAGCATCGAAATGACTGAAACAGTCGAATTAAAAATAATACCAATACCTCCTACTGGTACTAACCACTTCCGGCCTAAAATGTGAGAGAATGATAGAATAGTGAGTAACCTGGTATCTTTTCAGTAGCTGTTGCATAGTTTTAACTCAACTGTTCTAACTCTTTAACTTTATGCAATTTAGAAGCTTGTCGGGATTTTATTGATTTTACGTTGATATTCATCATGGACTGACATCAGTTAGAGAAACATTAGAAACCTGGAAGCACTGGATAGTTGCTTCGTCACAGTATGGGGCCCCTCAGTAGTGGACATCGTGACTTCACCAGGGATAAAACTCAAGACTTCCACGTCCCGCGTCCAGCACGTTACCATAGAGTCACTGAGTCGGAACCCCAATGATCCGTATTTCCTATGTTGTGAACTGACAGAAGTAGGAGATACAGAACGTTGAATTCTGACTCACTGACGCAATAGTTACGTGCTGGCAGCGTAGCCTGAAGGTCTAGGGTTCTATCCCTAGTTGGGACATTGGTGCGCGCTGCTTGGGAGCCCCGTGCTAGGACGAATCTGTTACCTAGTGCTCTCAGGTTTACAACGTATTTTATCTTTACATTCAACATCCCACTACAATTTTATTCACAGACTTCTCAGCACCTTCATTTCTATTTTTTTACTTAAATAACATTGAAAAAGGATCTAGAAGAGTGAAACTCACTATTTCGTTTCATTTTATTTCCCTTCATTTTTATTCGATGTCAGATAAACTTAATACATGCCCTTCTATTTTATGTATATATTTTACAAGGATACCGTTGATCACATGAGTGATTCATTGTAATATGTGACTCTGAAACAGAATAGAAGGGTCAATAAATACACTCGAACTTTATTTTAGAGTATGTGTGACCTTAGCACTCAGACCGTTTCCATCCAACAGTAGTCGGCATATCTAAGCCCGTCAACAATCGTCGTTTAGTTGTTTCTTATCGGTGAAATCCTTACAGAAGTGATACCGCATACTTATTTGTATGATAAAGCGCATTTACTGAACAACAGAACCAATTTATGAGTATTTTAAATTTAATTTGTAATAAGATCACCTGACAGCTCAAGACATGGCAATCTGGTGCCATTAAGACTGAGAAGAACATTTCTACAGGTGATACTGAAAGTGTTAGTGGACCTAGAAAGTCTACCATATCAGGGAGTTTTGGTGGTGTCACGTCTACTGTTGCAGTTACTACTACCAATACACCTGGAAATAATGATATTGCTCCTGGTCACATATCAAATCTTAATTCGTCTATTTTTAATGAATCAAACGTTAGCATGATAGGTAATGAACATGATGTAGATTTACAGAATATAATAATTGCCTTTGTAAAAGGTGTAAAAATGACAGTGAACTAAATGGTTCTGTGGATACAGAAAAAATACTAAAGATAGTTTTGTGATATCCAAGAATGGTGTATTGAATCAAGAAATAAATCATGTAATGCATTCTGAATCACTGCTAATAAAAAGTAAAAATAAGGAAAATACTGAAGTGAATACTGGTAATTCACCACTAACCAGTAATTCTAAACAATCAGCTTAACAAACAGCACCAACTTCCTCAGCCCAGTTGGCTCAATCTTCAGATGCATAGTCTTCAGCTAAGCACTGTATCCACCACCAAACCTAAACATACATCGGTGGGATTACAAATGTTTAAAAGAACAGTGATACCGTTACTTGTTTTCAGTAATTCCAAATGTTAACCTTGTTGTTGCTGTCACTACTTTTATCGTTTTCCTTTATTTTCGGTTATTCCAATGGTTTCTACAGTTATCTTACTACTCATATAGCGAACTTCAGTATGGATAAACGATTCCTTGGATAAAGATTAGGGAATTTTATCAATGAATATTTTCATATCTAGGTGTTACTCATCTCGTACTAACATCAGTTAAAGAGCCATTTAAACCTGAGAGTGCTGGACAGCTGTTTCATCCAAGTATAGGACTCCTCAGCAGTACGCACCAACGACCTCACCAGGGATCAGACTCAGGACCTCTGAGTCTCATGACGAGCACAGTAACCACTTAACCACTGGGTCAGGGACAAGTGGTTCACAGTTTCCTCATCAGCGACATTCTTCGAGATGGATATCACGAAGTTTGAATAAGAAGCTGTGACCTGTCAGGTCAACTACTTGGAAGTGAAGTGCACTCCAAATGAAGACCTCAGGGGATAGTCACGCTATATCGGTAATCTACAGGATTAGGAAAAAGAGGACCACTGAACCAGTGGCTGAATGGTTAGCGCGTTCTCTGCGAGGCCTGAGGGTCCTGATTTCGACCCCTTGTGAGGTCGTGGGTGCGTCCTGCTGAGAAGTCCCATGCTAGGACGAAACAACTGTCCAGTGCTGCCAGATTTTTAATGGTTCCCCAACTAATGTCAGCTGGTAATGAATACTATCTTGAACTAAATAAATCCCCAGAAAAACTCAAACTATATATATATATATTGACTGAAACCTAAAAAGCAAGTACAAAAAGACATGAACTCAGATTGTGAATAAGCAATGCTAAGATAAAACATAAATACTGCGAAGTCCGTAATAACTATTTCCCTCCAATTCACTGAATTTTCTGTTGTATTGGATTTATGTCAATAAAAATATACGTACAGCTGAGATGGTTGGTAATATATTCTCAAGTAGTCTGCTAGACTTCGAATTCAGAGCACTAAAATAAACACTGTTATAAGTACGTTACTGAAATATGTACTAACGATAATCTCAACGTGGATCATAATCCCATCACATTTAACTCTAAATAACTGAGAATGAAATCTTGTGGTTTATGAAATGTCTTTATTTTAGACAAAACAACTTCTTTACGTCGTCGGAAGAGAACTATACATTATTTTATGAATTAGATTGTCAATTTGTAGTATACTGGTTCATTTTAATCTGCCGTATCCAATTGGTCAAAACTATTGAGCCGTGTGAGCTTAGCCTGTCTGGGTTCACAGCTGATGAGCTCTAACTTTATAAAGGGAAATTACCATGTAATGTTTAAATCACTTTGACCTGTTTAGCAAAATTTACTGTTCAGTGTAATTGATTTCAAATAGCTCATAGAGTTCAGTAGTATGTACATTTTTAAATCAGTAATAACGTATCCAATGATTTAAATGTTTTGATAACATTTGCTCCATAAATCTATATAGAAGAATAGTGTAAGATGACAAAAGGTAGCTACTTACTGTGATTTCTGTTGTAAATTTTCTTCTTTTCTTACCCAGACAAGTTTAGTCGCGTTTGATGCTGTATCAATGTTTTCGTTAGATGGGGAAGAAGTACAGTTTAAAAATAAAGTCCGTATTGATGGTCCTGTAGAATCATGGCTATGTGATATTGAAGATCAAATGTATAAAACGTTAAGAGATATGTTAAAGGAGTGTAGACTGGCTTTGAAGAAGGCAGCTAGTAAACGTGATAAATTTATTAAAGAATGGCCAGGACAATTATGTATCACATCTAGCCAAATTCAGTGGACAGCTGATGTGACAAGAGCTTTACAATTAGTAAGTATTATTATTATTGTTAGTTTATACAGATTAATGTGATTTATTTTTTCTTCGGATAATTAAGCACTTATGTTTTGATAAAAGTTAAAATAAATGAAATAGTTTCTCACTTCGAATAAAGGATATTCTTGTGGTTGTGCTTTGAAATGTTTCAAATTTACTTTGTTAAAATAGCATTAATTCAAGACCAAAGCTTGAAAGATGAATAAAATTGAGTTCAAAATTGAGGTTTCACACTGAATTTCAGAAGACGTTCCAGAATAATTGACACACCATATAAACAATGTAACAGAGATCTTGCTTACCAGCTGCAGTTGACTTTCATTTCAGTTAACAAGTATTTCAGAATAATGGAAACCGAAACAGAGCTTGGGTTGATATTCAGTTGGATAACCATTGAAAACCTAGGAGCATATACTCATAGACCATTCGCTTGAAAGAATTAGTATGGGTGACTGTGATTTCGCAACGCACAAATTATGAGGCAAGAAGCCAGGTGATGTTTTGCTACCTTGAGGTCCTCGGTACGATCAATGGACATCCAACTAATAATACTTGGTCATTATCAGGTACATTTTTTACAACTCATATTGCATCATTTACAAGAAAACTGGTAAATCATAACGAAACTTGTCATAGTTTCATCTTCTCCAAAAGTGCTTTTCATTAGTCGTCTGTATGGTTTATTCATGAGGTTTTTAATACTTTTCTAGACATAATCATAAATCCACAGTTAAAATGGAAGATGACTATGATGACTGTTTACAAACTAGCTTCTCATCTGACAATGAAAGGAAATTAACCGTATTCAACATTAATTGAAGTCGACCACTTTACTGACCAGGTCTTTAGTCTTTCTTGAAACTGTTGTTCATTCAGTTTCCATTTTAGTTGACCATGTCACACTTCTCGATCAGTATTGAAAAGATCCGAAAGATGTCAGCTGTCGATTTTGTATCACTGAAAACTGTAAAGTATCTAATTACAGTTAACAATGGTCATCTTTATAAAGTTTGACAGCTTCATACTGGGCAAAAAGAGGTTTTAGCGGAAAAAATTATCTTTTTGACGATTCATTTTCACAGCTGTGCATTCGTAAATGTAGAAGTAAAATGATAGAATGTTCCAGACAAGTTACCGAGCAAAGGTCAAACTTAATCGATAGGTGCTTGTATGGAATGAAATGATATTACGTAACACAAGACATGGTCTGAATGGTTTTTATGAAATGCAGTGAACAGTAGGACTTGGTATTTAATTTCAGCCGTGGTAAGAAGTGCTTTTAGATGTTTCTTTTGGATACACAATTGAGTTTTAAAGCTGTGAATTCTCAAAGCTGCGGCTGTATATAAGTGTCGAATCCTCACCACTTTCGAAGGGTTTGGTTGAAATTTTTAAAGAACTCTGAATGAGGTTTTCAGAGCAGCCAGATACCCAGAGCCTAAGAGATATTCAACGATGGAGCTGTACTCACCCTTTAGTAACCAGCCTGGGTAATGTTCTTGAGTGCGTTTTTCATGCTAGCATATAGTACGGCCGACTTACCCAACGCCATAGGAGCAAATGAACTTATCTTTCACGCACTGACGAATCGGCTGTTGACATGAGAACATAATATGGAGGTTTCCAGCATGGACTACGATAAACGTTGACGTAGGATGTCTGTGGCAATATCGTCTTTCAATCTGAGATTTATCAAAAGTATTTTCTTCGAAGTTGTCTGTATACTTTTTTTACATAGTCTTCTCTGATTTCATATATGTATAAGGTAAAGTTAATATGCAAAACTTTTGCTGTAACTCACCTCATTCTTACTTCAGCTTAAGATTTCAAATTGACTGTTACTTTTCTACACGTCATATACCACAGAGAAGGATCAGTAGCTACTTATTAATAATTGTTTAACATGAAGTCAGAAGTGGGTTTCAATGACTATAATAATAACAGTGATAATAATAATTCATTCCATACAAAATCGTCCACAGATTTCGTATTACTGAGGATGTGTACTATTGCAGCATAAATTCACTTCTTTACAACATTTCCAACAGTAATAATTGTCGTAATTCAATTCTGTAAATAATGACTGCAATAATGATAATGATACTTGAGTGATTAGAAGAAAGAAATATTTTTATTTATTTACCATTACAAAGTATATAAGTTCGTTTTTTTCCCACAAGACTTGGGCTAAATAAAGCACAGTTAAGTTTTTTTGTATTCAGCCGGATGGGTATAAAACTGTTTGTCTTCTCTTATAAATTACGAAGAAAAAGTTACGAGTAAAGAGGATTCTCAATGTTTCACTGTTAACTATACCTAGTTGACTGCCTAAATTTAACTCACTATCAACTTCAGTATCAATCAGTTGAATCAGAGACATATCCAGAATGAATAAACTGTCAAAGTAAAGAGTGAATTCTGTTAGACAACTTCACCTCCTGTATGTAATTTGTTGAACGAAAAGCATTTTAAGGTCAACAAGTTATTGGATGACCAACACAGTTCAGAAGAAAAACTTCAATGGGGATAGGAAACATTGTATTCATTTTCTACGATAGTATCGTTAATATTTTAATGGTCATGGGATTCAAACAGCCCATACAAGTCCCCTTTATGCTTGAGACATTTAGTAAGGTTTAGGTTAAGACGACCACTCATGGAGCAGCACTAGTCAATTTGAGATAAGCGACTTTCAGCTCATGAATATACTTAAGGAAATTAATTTTGGCAGAATAGAGTAAACCACACAAAAAGGAAGGAAATACAACAAAGTTTGACCTAATTAAATGTTGTATATGTAAATGAAATCAGCAGGGAAAACTATTTAGTTAGATTTTGACTTTTTTGGTATAGTTCATTAAGTATCTGTGAATAAATGAACAATGAACAGTACGGTTTTCTGGTGGCTAATTCCATCCTCAAATCAAAGTAGATAAAAAAGGGAATTATTCAATTTCGCAGTATAGCATGTACAGTAAACTAGCTGACTGAAACGTCAGTAAGTTGTATAGAAATATGAAATGTATCACTTCAAAATGATCCAGCATAATGAAACCGAATAAAATCAGTTGCTTCAGTTGGTCAATGTATGCATAAACAAAAGTGCAAAACTAAGTGATTACAGAATAATGAGCTTTAAAAGAATAACAGCAATTTATAATGGATTTCTTAGAAGAACATATATTTTCATTCAATGAAGAAATATTACAATAACTTTTTTGTACCAGTATAACGGTATTTGAGTTAGTAATATTATTATAATTGCTTCACAAAGGGCTGAAGTATCTGAACCACAACCATCCAAATGTATTCAAAGAATTGTGGATTAAAATGTATAAATAATGACTGTAATCCATTGAGCAAGAGGTGACTCCAGTGACTTGGTCGACTACTGGATGATATTTTATCGTTTCAAGCTGGAAGTTCTTGCTTGTAGTCTCAGCCAGAAAAAAATTTTCTAGGATGCGAACACATTCAACTGAAAAGTTTGGTTCCGCTGTTAGTCATCGTCTGATAAGTAAGATACTGATTTTTTACATTTGAAAAAGTCGAATTTGACCTCGTAGCTCAGTTGGTAGAGCATCGGGCCGGAAACCAAGTGGTCGCTGGTTTGAATCTGGCCGCGGTTCATTTCATCTACAATCATCACTCAGTATAGATTTTTTTTATCTAACATGCTATTCCTGTCCATGTAATGTATTGCATCTTATACTACGTATATATATAAGCCGGAAGTTATTTGTTCAGTCGTTAGTTCGGTTGGTTAAATGCTGTGGCTCAATGAACTAAGTAGTTGACTTTCAATCAATAAGTCATGGGTTCGAGCCTTGCTCCACCTGCCGAGGTTTGGGTAGCCAGGTAGTAAGTATCATTAGTCTGCACACAATAAGTTTGCCTCATTGCTTACTGCAGGAATGTGCACAAAGTTGATGAGTGCTATTTCATTTTTAGTTTTTTTTGGGATAAATTAATTGAAACTAATAGGTAACTTCCACTTTGATAAGCCGTTCCTCAGCTCATCTAACTGGCAAGCATTTATACAGAATTTCGCTTTCACTGTTATAACGATACTCTTAACTGAGTTATTTTTAACGATACTACAACCTTTCAGATGTTGTCAATGTTTACGCAATATACTTTGCAGCTTATAATGTTTTAAAACCAATTTCTAACTCTAAAGTGAATTCACTGCTCAAAATCAAAACGTTTTTTCTCGCATTATTCAAAGGTATCACACAAACAAGATAAAAGGCCATTAAAAACGCTAAGACATAAACAAAAGAATATTTTGGAAAAATTCTCAGAAGCAATTCGTTCAAATCTAACTAAAATTCAACGTTTGAAAATAAATGCTCTAGCTGTTATTGAAGTTCATCAACGTGATATTATTGAGAAGCTTTACAAAACTGGTTGCAGCGATGTAAATTCGTTTGATTGGTTAAGTCAACTTCGATTTTATTGGGAGAAGGTATGCTGAAGTTTGCATTTAAATTAGTAGTATCTATGCTTCAAAATGTTTTCTATAAGATGACAATTTCATACTTTATTCACGTGAATTAGATTTTGGTACAGTCAAATCGTAAGTCAATGAGATCGCTTAATATGATGGTTGCTTTTCGCATTATCAAAAGTGAAAATAATCTACTGAAGCAGAAAAGATTAAAAAAACATTGAACGAGAACATAAAGAGCATTCACGAAATGGTGGTAATAGATCAAAGATATATGCATTCTCATCGCCATACGACTCATTTAACCATGGAAAGAATATAACTACTGTTGTTTTTATTTGAATTGATTGAAATTCTTACTAATATAAAAAGCTGAAAGCTGTTCAAAGAACGAAGAGGAGAACAGGATATACGACATTATTGATGGATGGGGGTTAGTAGTGGAAGCGAGAACGTCCGTTTCGTCCTATTTGGGACTCATCAGCTGGATGCGCCTGCCTCCCAGTGAGTAATTTTTTCCCATTAAGACTATAATCCACGACCAGTCGATTGAACAACCAGAGTGTTATCCACTAGGCCACTGAGAAACGATAGCTACTCATTGTACGAGGCGTATAGTATAGCCATTGATGTCATAGGCTGCACATCCAATAAGTTCCACTATTATTATCATCAAATTTGAAAAGTACCGGCCATATTGAAGCATCCTCACTGAAGACCATATACCAATAGTCACCGACCTATTCTGTTCAATCAACTACTTAGATGTACAAACGACAGCATCAAAGAATATATGACTGCCTAAAATTTTACTGTCTACAAATGGTTTGAATATTTTAGTTCGATCACAAGTTTATTCATTCCCATATCAAATTGTAGTAGTTAAAATTTAATTTCACTTCCTCAGTGAATTTTATCTATAAGTATGATGTTTAACAGTTGCCTCCTTAATGAGAAGATTCACTAACCGTTGACATCTATGTTCACTTATGTTTCAGGAACTAATATTATTATTATTATTAGTCCCTTGGGTTCCTAGTGGAACATAGGGCTTCAGTAGCACGCCTCCAGTGACCTCTGTTCTCTGAGATCTTTTGAACCTGGTCCCACGACAGCCCAGAAGCTCTCATTTCCTGCTCGCACGACCTCCTCCATGTCACCCTTGGACGTCCAACTCGTCGCTTCCCATGGGGATTCCACTCGAGGGCCTGACGCGTGATGTCCTCAGTCGGCCTTCTCAGTGCATGGCCAATCCATCTCCACTTCTTCCTGCATATTTGTTGCGTGATAGGTTCTTGGTTGGTTCGTTCCCAGAGTTCCTTGTTGCTTATTTTTTTCTGGCCATCTGATCTTCAGCAGCGAGCGTAAGCAGTTGTTGATGAATGTCTGTAGTTTATTGGAAATGCCTTTCGTGACGCGCCAAGTCTCTGAGCCATACAAGAGCACTGACTTGACGTTGGTGTTGAAAATCCGTATCTTGTTCCGCATGCTGAGTGCAGAAGATCTCCACACTGGTTTCAGGCTAATGAACGCCTGTCTTGCTTTTCCGATTCTGACTTTGACGTCCTCGTCCGTCCCGCCTGTAGTTGAAACAGTGCTTCCTAGATAAGTGAAGGAGGTTACTTCCTTCAAGTTTCTCCCGTTGACGGTGATTGGAGTTTGTTGTTGTTGTTGATGGTGGTGGTGCGGTATCTTCATCACTTCTGTCTTCTCTATATTCACCTGAAGTCCCGTCTTCGCTGCCTCTTCTATCAACTTGTTAGTTTTTGCCTGCAGATCTTCAAGTTTATGTGACATTAGGCATAAGTCATCGGCGAAATCCAAGTCTTCTAGGTTCTTTTCCGTCGTCCAGTGTATCCCCCTCTTCTCGCTGCCTACTGTTTGCTGCATGATCCAGTCCACCACAATAAGGAATATCATGGGGGATAGTAGGCAACCTTGTTTCACTCCTGTCTTCACTTCAAAGGCATCACTGAGCTTCCCATTGTGGATTACTTGGCATGTAGCATCTTCATATAGTTGTTGAATGAGGCGGATAAAGGTTTGCGGTACTCCGTAGTATTGAAGCAGTTTCCAAATTACTTCTCGGTCGACGCTGTCAAAGGCCTTCTCAAAGTCGATGAAGTTGAGGTGGGGAGGTGATTGCCATTCTATGCTCTGTTCTATGATGATACGAAGCGTTGCAATTTGGTCTGCACATGATTTGTACTTCCTGAAGCCTGCCTGTTCCGGTCGTAGTTTTGAATCCAGTGCGTCTTTAAGCCTCTCCAGGATGATGCGGCTTAATATTTTACTTGGGGTGGACAGGAGAGTGATTCCGCGCCAGTTCTTGCAAGCACTGAGGTCTCCCTTCTTCGGCAGTTTGACAAGGTAACCCTTCTTCCAATCGTCAGGTACCTTCTCTTCCTTCCACACCTTCTGCAATAGTGGTGTGGTGTGAGCATGTCCGCTGTTGTCTCTGCATCTGTTTTCAGTGCTTCTGGCGGTATTCCATCTGGTCCTGCTGCTTTCCCGCATTTCAGTAGCTTTATGGCGTTCAGGACTTCCATTTTCGTTGGGGGATTAATGTTCACTTGTAGTTCAGCGGCTGCAGGTGGTATTTCTGGACGAAGTGCAGGTGGTGGTCGATTCAAGAGCTTCTTGAAGTGGTCGGCCCATCGTTTCCTCTGTTTCTCTTCTTTTGTAATTAAATTTCCTTCTTCATCTTTTATTGGTTTCATCTGTGTTGGTCTCTTCCCTGATAGCAACCTGGTTATTTGATACAATGTCGTCAGGTCTCTCTTACCTGCAGCCTGTTCTGCTTCACTTGCCAGTGTTTCGTAGAAGTGTCTTTTGTCTTTGCGTGCACTCTTCTTCACTTCTTTGTCCAGTGTTTTATACATTGTGCTCAGTTCCTCTTGTCGTTGAGCATCCTTGCACTGGTTTATCTTCTGCTTCACCATCCTCCTCTCCTCTATCAGCTTCCAGGTATCCGTCGAGATCCATTCCTTGTCTTCTTTCTTCTTCCTTCCTAATACTGTTGTGCAGGTTTCTTTCCACATAGCTTTCAAAGACTTCCAGTGTTCTTCCACACAGGTTTCTTCAGGGATCTTCCTCGATGTCTCCCATTTTGTCTTGATGGCTGCCTTGAAGATCTCCTTTGTAGTTTCATCCTTCAGTTTCCGAGTGTTGTACTTGGGTTGAGGTCTATCACCAGCTTCCTTGAAGGCTTTTAACTTGATTTGGAAGGTTCCTTGCACTAGATAGTGGTCTGAACCTACATCTGCTCCTCTTCTTGACCTTGTGTTAAGTAGACTGCGTCTCCATTTTCTTGAGATTGAGATAAAGTCGATTTGATTTTTAGTGTGTCCATCTGGTGAAATCCATGTCGCTTTGTGGATATCTTTGTGCCTGAACACACTGCCTCCAATCACCAAATCGTTGAATGCGCAGAATTCTGCAAACAATTCTCCATTCTCATTCATTTCACCTAGTGCCTCTCGACCCATGGTTAGTTCTCTTCCCGTGTTGTCCCCTCCCAGTTTGGCATTCATGTCGCCCATCAGAATTTTGATATCGCCAACTGACGTCTTGTCCAGTGTTGATTGAAGTTGTCTGTAGAAATCCTCCTTTTTCTCTTGCTCTGCATTATTTGTAGGTGCATAACATTGTATGATTGTGACCTTTCTTCCTTTTGAGTTGAATCTTGCTGTCATGATCCTGGAGGAGATTGGTTCCCACTGCATGAGAGCCTTCGATGCTCTTGAGGACATCATGATAGCCACTCCATAACTCAGTGTGCTCGTGGTTGTCGTCTGGGTGACCGGAGTAGATTATTGATTCTCCAGTTGACAGTTTGGAGAGTCCACTCCCATTCCATCTGCTTTCGCAAATCCCAAGCACTTCGATGTGATACCTTCTCATCTCCCTTGCAATCTGGGCTGCCTTACTGGGTTCAAACATGGTGCGGACATTCCATGTCCCCACGTTTACTTTCGCTTTCATCGAGAGAAGACACATCGGCCAATTGGCTTCCCGAAGGCTTTCACCAACTGGCGTCATTTCGCCTCTCCGATTCCAGCGGGGAATAAGTTTGTTTTCATTTTTTATATTTTGTTTGTGCTTTGAAGTTTCTTTAGCGGTTAGATTTGTTTTACGGGGTAGGGTTGCTAGCCCTATGCCCAACCTTCCCTCTTTACCCGGGCTTAGGACCGGCTAGTAACTAGTAAACTAGTTAACCAGGCGAGGTTCAGGAACTAATATGGGTGAAAGAATAACAAAACAACTAACTGGATTTAATTTAATTCACAACGCCATATTCTAGAAAAACTGACGCTAGTTTTTTTATCTTCAGCGTTCAACTGACGATTCGCATTTTATTTTTTGTCATCTGTCAAACTTTGATGTTATTGATGGATAGTGGAGAACAGTGGAATCCATGATTTGCTTTTCGTCCTGTTTAGTACTCCTAAGTTAAATGTACCTCCACCCCATTGGGCGATGTTCTTCCCATTAAAACTCGAACTCGGCCCAGTCAACAACGGGATAATACAAGCAACATCAATTTTCATACTTTTATAATATTTGATGTGAAGCCATGATTTCCAACCGATTCTGAAGCAGAAACAGTTAAAAGTAGCTCGGTTATACAACGAACATACGCAACTGATCATGGCGTATTTGTAGTAGTATATCTTTTCTAAATCCAATATTTATAAATAGTGACATCATTGGAACCGTTGGAGTTTGTTCCTGGTGTTGCCTGGGCTTCATACTCTTCCCAATGAATCTTAAATGATAACTATTTCCGAAGCAGACTCTTCGGAGTACTTCCAGTTCACTAGAGTTTATATTATTGATTAAACAATCGAATGAACTATAGTATGACCACAACAGCGTCCAAATGTTTTGAGTTCAGTTGTAGAATACACAGTGGCTTTAAATCACCTTGAAAGAACCTTACTATACTTCCAAATTCCAGTTTAAATGGAGCGCGATCTTTGGAATTTTACAGTAGGCCTAAAAACTAATTATTACTTACAACATGGTATGAAGATGTTTTATAAGGGGTTATCCAAGACTTATTGATTAGATACAACATACGCTGACAAATGCTGAACAAAATATTTCATTTTATTTCAATTTCAATTTCTAAACAGGATCCAGATGACTGCTTTGTCCGTCAAACAAATACATCTTTTCGCTATGGTTATGAGTATTTGGGTAATTCAGGACGCTTAGTCATCACACCTCTTACTGATCGATGCTATATTACATTGACAACTGCGTTACATTTACACAGAGGTGGTTCACCTAAAGGACCTGCTGGTACCGGTAAGACAGAGACAGTAAAAGATTTAGGCAAAGCGCTTGGTGATTATGTTATTGTTGTCAATTGTTCAGAAGGCTTAGATTATAAATCAATGGGACGTATGTTTGCAGGTCTCGCTCAAACTGGTGCATGGGGATGCTTTGACGAATTCAATCGGTAAGTTGGTAGCCTACTAATTCTATCATTAATTATCCAATGTCACTGTTGAAAAATACACAAGCAAGATAGTAGTGATTTTACTGCTTCACTAAGTTATCTTTACTTGTGTTTATCTCTAAAATGTAAATATCAGGGGAAAAACTGTAACCTAATTACATTTTCACTTTCTCATCTATATTCTGACAGTATTAATATTGAAGTTCTATCAGTGGTTGCTCAACAAATTCTATCAATTCTCTCAGCATTAGCATTAGCTGACCAAACTGGCAATCAGAATTCTAAAACAAGATTCATGTTTGAAGGTCGAATGATTCAGCTAGTATGGTCATGTGGTATATTCATCACAATGAATCCTGGTTATGCTGGACGTACAGAATTACCTGATAACTTAAAATCAATGTTCAGACCAATTGCAATGGTTGTTCCAGACTCAACAATGATTGCAGAAATCACATTGTTTGCAGAAGGGTTTGGTTCTACAAAGGTAATAAAGAAATGGAACATTTTAATCGATAGCAAACTAATCATTTACATTGGATTCTATATTCTCATATTATTGGTTACTTCTCGTAGACTATTTAAAAGATAAGTAAAATTTACCACCCGTATACGGCATATTGCCATGTAAGCTTTATGTTGCGTGACTGACGTTTTCAGTATGTGTGAAATGTGTAATTTTGAGAGTAATTTTAATTAATCTCTTCATGTGTTGTGATATTTTCCATTTAGAGTTCTACATTAAGCTTACATTGTAACATCCAAGGTGCCACCAGTGCACCTGTTAAAGAACGACAGTCTTATTATTATCATTATTATTAGAAAAGACAATAAGAAGACGTAAACTGTTTGAACGGTGTAATGTAGTTGTGTAACACATTTCGGACAATCTAATCATACACGAATTTGTCACAGGTAATTATCTGAAAAGAAGTTAAGTGGGAAGGTTAATTAAAAGTCAAATAACAATGAAAATCAATAGAACGGAAATAATAGAGTTGAATTCACCAGTGATGATTTAATGTGATAACAAGGCCTCCACAAATTTAAGGGTCTATCCTCATCACCCTTTTTAAGTAGGTCTAAAAAAAGCAGCAACGACAGGTCACAGAAGTGAACGTTACAACTTTCTTTAGACCTACTTGGAAAAAGTGTGGAGGACGGATCCTAAAGTTTTTCGAGACCTTGTTATCACATTAAACCACCTCTGGTGAATTCAACTTTAAAACCAAGTTCGATGTACTATTATTTCCGTTTTATTGATTTTCACTGTTATTTCGTCTTTAGTTCAGTAATCCTACTCGACCTCATTTCATATTCTCATCCCTTATTTCTTTATAATTTTTAAATACCTATGACAAGTGTGTCTGTGATCATATTATTCGAAATGTGTTACGTAAATACAATACACGGTCCAGACTATTTACATCTCATTATTTTATAAGGGGAACTAATTGCTTGAATCTATTTTTATCTCAGTATCATTATAAGTATTCTTAATGTGAATTTAAAGGCCTAAGTTATTAGACATCTTTCCCACAAACGAATCCCTAAGGTCATTTTGAGTGTGATCTAAGGATCAGAGACTGAAGTTAGGACATTAGTCGAGGCTCGTTTGTTCTTTATGACTTTAATATCAAACGTCAACACGCTAACTAGTTTGCAAAACTTGAAAAGTTATACTTGTTCGAATGTATCTGAACTAACATGAAATAGCATTATTTTACGGAACTTCAGTATCCAGTTGATATTTTCCATGCTACTTCACGCTTTTTGGCCATTTACTCAGTCATAATATACATCAGAATAAACTTGATATTTCATTTCTACTACTGGAAAGAATCTTCCTCGGAAGGTCAAGAAGTTACGACAAGTTACATTATACTATTTTATGTATTCTAGAAAACCGCTATGATATAACGCAAGTAAGAAACCTTTCTACAACGTGCAATCGTATTAACGACCTTATTCCAGAAGATATTTCCGATACAGTACAAAATTTATAATCTAAAATATTATATCAAATTTCCTCCTTGTGCAATATTTTAAAGTAAAATAATTATGAGATCTTGATAATGTTAGTAGTAGCAAAATAATATTTAACGATCAGCTGTCGTTAGGTTTTTCCTCTAGCCTGCACTTAGTTGTTGTATAAAGTGAATAGCAAATTTCGGCTGCGAAAATCCCCTGAACTCTTATAAGAATTCGGATTTCGTGCTGACTGTTTCAGGAATAATTATAAAAGATATCGTTGAATACTTTAGAGAGTATTTTGGTTCACCATGATGTTTTCTCACCATTTCATTATGAATTTGCAAAGTGACAAGCTGAAAACACTTTTTAGTACGCGAAAATATGCATCTACATGAAGTTCGTTTTAGTTTTCACTGCCATTGCAGTTTCAACAAACATTAGTATACAATTTATTGTTTGTCGTTCAAGTAAACGGAAAGCTATCAAAGAAAGCGTTCATGATGAAAGACAAGTGCCATTTTAATGTCCATAGAGTATCTTGAGAACAAATTGAATATAAATATACATGGTTTTGATCGAAAACGTAATCATAGCATTGCTCCAGCTTGATGAAATCATCCTTTGAGCAACATTGATATCAGGCAAAGGGTAGTAGGCAAGACAGGCAAGTCGATTGGTGAGATTGGGAAACCTAGTCGACTGAGGTGGTTTCGACGTATAGTGTGGATGTCGAGTCACCGCGTAACTCAACGTGCCATGCTAGCGGAAGCTGGATTAGGTTGGAAGAAGTTTCAGGGTTACCAGACCAAAACGTAGCATCAGCGCATGAAGTCTCTTCCTGTTCATCTGAGCCATGTGGGAAGATGTAGAGTGCGTACCTGGACTCCCTGAGAGGAAAGGAATTAGTGGTTGAGGATTCTTGGTGACATGCCTGAGAATCGATCACAGTGACACAGATGCATTCACTCCTTGACGCCTTCTAAGGCTAATGATATCGTCTAGAAGGACGATGAAAGCTTCACGATTAAACAACCCATCTCAGAGAACACAGTAAAGCCAAGACCATCCACCTGAGCTACAAATATTCCCCACTATTTTAAAGCTCAAATATTTGCACTAGTCGTTACTTTTAAGTTGTTGTCTACTTTAATATCATTTCTTTTCTATCCATCTCTTCCTTGTTTGCTACTGTGAAGTATGGTAACTTGAACCACTGTACTTGTGTGTGAGGTCCCACATTGATTCTGCCAGTCAGTCTCAGTCAATGTTATCAGAAATGTCCAAATCTATGGGAGTTTAATGTTGAAAACCCCAGAGGACAAGATCATCGTCATCATCACAACATCATATTGAAAATGACTAAACAGATGGAGATGATATACTTATTTCAACGCATATACCAAGTTTAAAGGTTTCTGATTCTTCACCGTTAATTAAAACTGGAATAACATATATGTAACTGAATTTGAAAGCACTTAATCCTTTTCTGTTACCACATTCACTTTACTAAAATAACATTTTCGTTTCCAGCTAAAGCTATAGTTAGCGGATTAATTATTCATGCTAATTTTCTTTAAAAAAAACCTAGTTCTCTTAAAGGGTTACTGAAGATCGAAGACCACTGAACAGCATGCTGTATACTGATTTAAGGCTTCCAAGGAATTTGTAGAGCCATCCTTGAAAGTATCTTCGATTGAGTCAGTTTTCAGTCTTTCTTTTGGTATTTATAATTTCGTGGTAAATAACGGAACATGAAGTCTTAGAATCCGCTCAAGTAGCTGATTCACATTTGAGTAATTTATATGATAAAGGTCATCCTAAGAATCCCAATCACTTTTCTATATTTTATAGAAAACTACCCTCCTGGACGATGTAACGAAACCTGATTGGTTAGTTGCTAGGTTGATCCTTAACTTCCCTCTTATATTACTCGATCCTTTAAGTTCAATCTACTTATGTACACCACTGGTGAACTTGGTTACGAATTGAAGAAGATACTGTCCGATGTATAAATCAGCCTTATCTACTTAAGCGGCACCGCTGATCAGCGTGAGAAATCTAAAGTTACTCGTATCTGCCAGTAAGTATATTTCAAACAGCTTTCGAAAATGAAGTTTTGTATATATCTTCTTTTGACAGGTTTTGGCGAAGAAAGTATACACCTTATACAATTTAACAGTACAACAATTAAGTAAACAGGATCATTATGATTTTGGTCTACGCGCTTTAGTGTCTGTACTACGTTATGCCGGTAGAAAGAAACGCGCCAATCCAAATATGCCAGATGAAGAATTATTATTGTTATCACTGAATGATATGAATTTAGCTAAGCTAACGTCAGCTGATTTACCGTTGTTCAAAGGAATTATAACTGATTTATTTCCAAATATTGAACCGCCTACAATGGATTACTCAAAGGTAAGTCGACAGCTGTGAAATATGATGATGCATGTAGTAGGACTCAAACAAACTTATATATGTTCAATGCTACAGCTGATAATTAACATGCCCACTTACGTTCTGCTGTTCTTAAAATCGAGTTAGGTATTTGAAGTGACTGACTGGACAATAATAGACACGTGAAATGAGAATAAGCCAATGCAGTACTTGGACTGCATATGAATAACGACTATCCTCCTTCAGACCTGGTACTTCACTTGGGAGCGAAAACCAGAAGACAAGTACAGCCTGTGACTGTGAGGAAGACAACTTTATTTGACAGGAAACATCATTTTCACACAGTTTTCCGAAAGAAAATGCAACCACTAAGTCACAAGTTGGATATTTATTTTCAATGGTCAGCAACCTTACGAAAGTAAGGTTGCAATCCAAACTTCTAACTTGGAAGCTTGTGACCTTGAATGTTGATTTCAATTTCGAGTGCTCCCTATCAGCATTTTACTGTGAATATCCAGTATTGAAAAGTTTTGAGAAAGAACTGACAGTTATTCAAGGCTTCCGAATGTTAACTGATCTTTTAACGGATTTTTAAAGTTGAATAGTGAATGTACCATTACTAAAAGTTGTAAAACACTTCCCATAATAATTCATGGTTGGCTATTTATGTTGACAACTAGGTGGTACTTCTGATATTCACGACAGTTGCAGTTATTAAAACTGTATTCCGAAAGGATTACACTGAATTACATAAGCCTCTGTATTAGTAACTTTCACTAATTTTCCAGAGTTGGTGTAAACGTTATTCAAAATAATAATCAATTAGTATAAATGATACCAGATAGTGACAACCAGTTGCTTACATCTCTCAGATGCTAAAAAAATCAACCAGGCTTTGGTATTACGGCTGTGAAGGTTGTTTTTCAAAAAACAGAGGAAGGTAGTCGATGTCTCAACAGTTCTAGCGTAGTCATTAGAGTAACTCATTTTTTCAAGCCCATGGTTTTTAGCGCAATGTAAACAAAGTTGTCGTATATTTTGAGTGACTTTCTTCTGTATGGTTCAGAAACTTGGCGCGTTACGAAAAGCGTTTCCAACAAACTACAGTAATTCATTAAAAGCTGCCTATGCTCGATACTGAAAATCACATGGCCAGAACAATAAGAATAAGTAACAAGGAAATCTCTCCGGCGGGCAACGAATCAACTAACAACCTATCGCCCAACAAATACGCAGAAGAAAGTGTAGATGGATTGAGCATACACTGAGAAGACCATTCGGAGACGTCACGCAACAGGCCAGTTTCTCGAGTAGGATCCAAATGGGATACGACGAGTTGAGTGTCCCAGTTGAGGATGACATGGAGGAGATGGTGTGAGGAAGAAGTGAAAGCTTGTGGGCAGTCGTGGAGCCAGGTTGAAAAGACTGGATAGAAGAGAATGAAATGGAGACGTGCTACTGAAGCCCTATGTTCCACTAGGAACTCAAAAGACAACTAATAAAATAATAACAATTGAGTGACTTTAAAGGCCACCCTAGCAACAACTGAAATAACCAATCAGGTTTCTATATTTCGGCTCGAAATGCAGATTTTCATAATATATAGAAATCTGATTGGTTAATTTGGCTTTTGTTAGGCTGGCCTTTAAAGTTACTCCATATTTTGACGATGAATGTTTTTAATATAGGGTAACTACGGGACGAAGTGCACGTCAGGTCAACAGGCGAATAGAGACAGGGAATCAACAACAAACGAGTTTTTTCGTTCATATCATTCATTCCTGTTTGTCTGTCATTGTGATGGGAAGGATGACTTGAAACTATTTCATCAACGAATTTCAGGAAAAGCCGAGACAAACAGATTTAACAAAAGCTTCATATCTGTTTATTGCGGCTCAAAACTGTTGTCAATTAATTTCCGCCAATTTTAATGAAGGATAATTTCGATTGTTAGAATCAAGCTTATTCTGTAGCGAACCACAATCTTATTTATTCTGAAGATGAAAAAATGGATTTTATTCGAATACTGTTGAAAAGTAAGCAGTATCCGCATCATACGTTAATCCTGGAAGCGGTGTTCGAGTCCATCCTGGCAAAAAGCAGTCTTAATAATAGTGATAATAGTAGTAATATTTTCTTCGTGTAATCATCAAACACGTCAAAATTTGGTGGCTGTATTCACTTCTATACCAGATCTGTTTATCTGGTGGGAAACGCAAAGACACTATATTATAGACTGAAAGACATTTCAGAGCACAAATAACTGCACGTAATCATACCAATGTAGTCACGCGATCTCCAGAACTTGAGTTTTTAACTATATCACTTCCTGTTTATTGGAATGATTATGGATGATAAACTTGGAGTGACTCTAAAGGCCACCCTAGCAACGACTAAAATAAATAACTAGTTTTTTATATATTTTGCTTGAAGCAGTAGATTTTCATAAAATGAAGAAGTCCAGTTGATTATTTCAGTAGTTGTTGAGGTGGCTTTAAGGGTCATTTAAAAATGTTTCTCATAAATAGAATCTTATCAATGCGTTCTACACCACATATAAGTAAATTGCACTGGCTCGACATCCTACTTATTAGGTCTAAGAACGATACTACTGGTTATTCAAGAGACGCTTGACATATAGATGAATCAGTGTCGCATCTCTATAGCCCAACTAAAACTTCATCTGCTACTCAATTAGAGAGACCCTAGAAGCCACCTTAGCAATCAGCAAAATAACTAATCAAAACTCTGTATTTTATACAAATTTGCTTTTGCAGCCGAGATAAAAAAAAATCTAATTGTTTATTTCAATTGTTGCTAAGGTGGCCTTTAAAGTCACTGCTCAAATGAATTCACTCTCTCAATACATCGGTAAATTGTTGTAATTATAAAAGTAAACTTGTTTTTGTATCTCTGGCTGAACTAAAAAGGAGTGATAACTTTGAACACACCCACGTTATAGCACTTATTTATGTACTTCATTAGTGTTTGGATTTGAGGGAAGACTGAAAAAGGAATGCTGTGATTACTAGCAGTGACAGACTGTTGAAGTATACCACTGGAATATTTTTGGATTTTATATTCTACTATATGCTGTGCAATAATGAATAAGTTATTGCTTACTTTTATTGTAGTAATTTGAAGATATTTCATCAAAACTCAATCCAGTTTCACAATTATTTTAAATCCTGCAGTGTATTAGAAATCTTCTTGGTCCCGTATTACTGAAATGATCCTAACATCGTTACACCTCTCATTTAAATTTGTTGCGAAACAGGCACATTAGCTTGATAAGACTCAGGATAACTGGTTGGAGACATTACTGATAAATTACTTGAAATGAATAGGGCCTTCAGAAAATGATGACACTAACCATGCTGCTCAGCAATAATGTTTAACTTTATCAGAACAGCGACAACTTTACTTTTAAATTAACCTATGTATGTCACTGAAGGCTGCTTTTGAAAGAAAACAACCAAGTAAATTACCATAACTAACGTCCAGGCGATACCGAGGCATCCGCATAGGAGCCCATATTCCAATAGAGGCCGAACAAAAATAGTAATAACTACTACCGGTTGTACAAGAGGTGGCTATTGTGCCTTCGTGGCCTAGTGGATAACGCCTTGGCGTTTGGAGCGACGCGTACTAGGTTCCAGTGTCAGTGGGAACAACATCACTTACTGGGGTGCAGGTAATCCAGCTGATGACTCCCAAATAGAACGAAAAGCGCGTCCTGCTATCCCCAAACAAGTTAATTAGAAAATATATTGTCTAAGTACTCTAAGACATGTATGACATGTCTGTATGTCGAAGAAATGTAGTAAATGTACTTTCTAATCTAGTTTGCTTATTTTTTAATAGTTTAAGACTACAAGCAGAAGGTATCAAAAACGTTACATTAGACTGTATTTGGAAACACGAATCCATTGACCTAAATACTGTGATTTTGCAGTGATATATAGATGTAGTTGCGAATCCAGTTGTCAGAAGACCAACATAACAATACTTACGTCTATTATTTTACTTGTACTCTGACTTTAAACAAATAAGACTACTTTCAACGGCATAAACTCTGAAGGAGAGATTTTCCGTATTTCTAGCGACTAAAAGATAAGAGGCAACAAAATCAGGTTAACTGATAAAAGAAGAAAATAAATCGGGAGAAAACAATCAAAACTAGTACTTGATACTTATAACAAATCGTTCAAATGAAGGACATCTTTTGTAAACCTAAGTCACTTCTGAAGGGAAAAACAATATATCACTAAAGTGATAAGAAGTGAATAAACTCGAAATATTATCGAATACTATCACAAGATGAATTTTAATTTGTGACCGAACAAATAGTTATTAGAATCGTCTCGTCTTTGGTGGAATAACCATGTGAGCAATGTTGATGTCAGGCAAAGGGTAGTAGGCAAGACAGGCAAGTCGATTGGTGAGATTGGGAAACCTAGTCGACTGAGGTGGTTTCGACGTATAGTGTGGATGTCGAGTCACCGCGTAACTCAACGTGCCATGCTAGCGGAAGCTGGATTAGGTTGGAAGAAGTTTCAGGGTTACCAGACCAAAACGTAGCATCAGCGCATGAAGTCTCTTCCTGTTCATCTGAGCCATGTGGGAAGATGTAGAGTGCGTACCTGGACTCCCTGAGAGGAAAGGAATTAGTGGTTGAGGATTCTTGGTGACATGCCTGAGAATCGATCACAGTGACACAGATGCATTCACTCCTTGACGCCTTCTAAGGCTAATGATATCGTCTAGAAGGACGATGAAAGCTTCACGATTAAACAACCCATCTCAGAGAACACAGTAAAGCCAAGACCATCCACCTGAGCTACAAATATTCCCCACTATTTTAAAGCTCAAATATTTGCACTAGTCGTTACTTTTAAGTTGTTGTCTACTTTAATATCATTTCTTTTCTATCCATCTCTTCCTTGTTTGCTACTGTGAAGTATGGTAACTTGAACCACTGTACTTGTGTGTGAGGTCCCACATTGATTCTGTCAGCCAGTCAAAACTTTAACAATACTACGCTTATAATCCGCAGTAATGCAGCTACATTGTACTATCCTACGAAATTATCTTTTCAGTGAATATTTTGTGATAGTTACCACCACTTTGCTATACGTTAAAGTCAGAATCAGTAGATGTGAAAGTGAACAGGTTAAAAATCTATATTGGGATCTAGGAATGACGTTAAATTCTATAACTTCGTACTAATGGATAAACGGGAAATATTTCAATTACTAACATCATGGTGAAAAAAGTCTCTGGATAATTCAATCAAAGAGCGTCTGATGCATGTTATCAAAGCATTTTAAAATATAGTTATAGATGCTAAATTTGCTCATTGGCAACCGACAACTCCATCACATTAAAATACTAATCAAAATTAATACCAATAACTGTTTTAAAATTATTTGCACAGATTAAAAATGCTTTACAAACAGAATGTGATAAACTCAATCTACGCATGACACCATTTACATTGAACAAAGTGATACAACTTTATGAAACTAAAAGTTCTAGGCATTCAGTTATGATCGTTGGTAAAACTTTGTCAGGCAAATCAACAACGTGGCGTTTACTTAAAGCGGTTCATAATTCACTCGCCAAAGAATCGAATTCTGAATATGAACGTGTTACAGAATATCCATTGAATCCAAAGGCGTTATCTTTGGGTGAATTGTATGGTGAATTTGATTTATCTACAAATGAATGGACTGATGGTGTACTCTCAAGTATAATGCGTCAGACATGTGCAGGTTAGTCGTACTGTTTATTCATATTAAAAAATGACGAAAGTAAATGTTTGTGATGACACAGATTCGTTGGTTTTAGCGTATTTCTTTGACAGCTATGGAGCATTTAAAAAAGATTCATTGCTGAAGGCTTAAAACTACCACCCTGTTTCGCATTCGCACAAGACTCATCAGAATGACTTGTAGGTGACATGCTTCAGCTGTTTTTTGTCGAACTAACTGAAGTAACTTTAGAAAATAAAAAAGTTTTGATTTGCATGAATGCAAACAGAAGATAAAACCCTAATACAAAATGATTTTAATCAGCCATCTGTTTGTCATCAGCTGACCTCTCTACCGAATAAGTTGCATGATCCAACTGTTGATATGGTTTTAATTCCTGTACCGATACCCCAATAAATAACAAATCACCTTTCCATATCAGTTCTACTTGACTGAAGATAAGAATAGGCATCTAGCATATTAATGACCAAATTACTACAGATTGCTCAATCACACTGCAACCTAGGTAAAGCTATAAATGACTGGATTTATATAGAGATGTGACTTACTCATTGTGTATAACGTTAATCTGGTATCTCAGAGATCACTTTTTGAGTCTCTGTACATCTAGGTTCTTTTCAACTCATCTCTTTACACTTAAAGATGTGTGTTGAATCTTTTTAATTTGACGTGATTTACCTATGGTTTTCATGAATATGATTAAGTTTCGAAAACAATCAAAACTGTTAAGATTTTGTAACTCAGTTACTCAGAAGTAGTGCATGTTGAACTTAAATATTATGGTGACGAAGACTAACTTGCTACTTATTTATGTAGAAGGAATTATTTTTGGTCTGAATCAACATTTAAACAGAGGGTGATATTTGACAAGAGATATTGACCATGGATAACTAACTGAGTACATTTCATAGGGTAACATTATCACAACAAGTGTTTGATAAATAACTACGAACGCGACTGACTATAGTCACTAACAAACACATGGTGAACGAGACTCCATACACTTACTAGACTAATATTTTATCAACAAGATATCTTCGAATTAGGGCTAATATTTCATTTCATTTGAATAGAAAGCAACTTCAGCAAAAAGAATAAAGTATATTACTAGAAATGTGCTTTAATTTTTTCCTTGACATGAATTTCAAAGATGGCAACAAGGCATTAATATGCAAAAGAAATATGAACGAATCAAAACGAACAGGTTTGTGGGATAGAGTAATGTCATTTTACTCCATAGATGTTCATAAACTATACACAACCTAAAATCACATACCTCAGTAAAGATAAATGAGAATTTATATCAGGATAATATTCATCATGGAATGCCATCAGTTAGAGAAACCCTTGAAAACCTTACAACACTTACAACTGCTTCGTCCTAGTATAAGACTTTTCAGCATTACGCAACCATAAATCAACGAAGATCAAACTCAGGAATTCCAGGTGTTGCAGCAAACACATTGAATATCCAACCAATGAGTCGGAGTTCAATAGCCCATAGATTCCTAATTCTGTCAACTTGCGGTATAACGCGATTTTGCCTTGAGGTCATCGGTGGACGTCCACTCCACTTTCGACTTGGATAATCCCATCGATCACGGCTTATCATTAGGAATTCAACGGCTCTCCAGTCAATGTCAGTCTGTGATGAATACTACCTCAAAAATAAAATTACTGTATATTTCTCATTAGTGACATGCTTTGAGATATTCTGAAGTTCTGATGAGAAACCGTGACCTGTGAGGCCACCTAACCGAAGACCTTGGTGGATAGTCACGCTGTATCGCGAATTGGCAGAAGTTGGAAATTGCTAACCACTAAACTCTGACCTAGTGGCTGAATTGTTGACACATTCACTACAAGATTTCTAGTCCCGAAGTTCGATTCGTGGTGGTGTCGTGAGTGCACACCACTGAGGAGTCCTACATTGGGATGAAGCAGGCGTTCAGTGCTTCTTGATTTACAGTGGTTATCCATCTAACGTCACTACATGGAAAATATAAAAAAATTCACATAAACATGAAAATAAATAATAATTTATAGATGATTAGATAGAAAGTAATTCGTGACGTATAAAAACACCAAACAAACAAGCATCGGACAGATAGGGGTCGATAAACAACTGAAGAACTATCTAACCCTATGAATTAACATAAAACATCAAGATAAATATGATCAAAACTTATTAAAAAGAAAGGAAGACATGATATAAGTAAAATGAATCGACATACAAGACCAAAAGAAGATTAATCACAGTCTCTTACAGTATACAAAGGTCAGGTTCAAAATATTTGATTATCAGGTCTTCGGAAAGTGTAGTTAACTTGGAAATTCTTGTTTATTCATTATCTAGAATTGTTGATCTAATCACATATAAATTGTTAATCTTGACCAACGTATCTAATTTTAGGTTGCATACAACTTATTAAAGATATCCATGAAATAAACTGACGTCATTTTCTTCTAAAAATCTATTCATTCTTTGTCAAAGGAAGTGATTGTATGATACAATAAATGTGGTTTTTGAGATGCACCAACTTTCTAAACAATAATACAGTCGTTATTAATTATTGGTGCTTTTAATTTCCTGTTGCTATTCAAATTTGAATAGACCGACCTCTGTAAACATCTTAGCGTCTGCTCGGATGCCTCGATATTACCTGGCATAAGCATATAAGTCTATATCCCAACAGAGGTCAATGAATTCGATCCAGTGTAACGTAGGGAAATTAAAAGCACTAAGAATTAATAATAACTGATACTCGTTGCTCAAGTGGTAGCTATTGTGCTCTAAGGGCCCAGTGGATAACTCTTTGGAGTTTGAAGTGATGGGTGCTGGATTCCATTTTCAGTAGGAAAAACATCACTCAATGAGATGCAGATACATGAAGCGGACGAATTCCAGATAGAAGGAAATGCTCACCCTGGATTTCAATGCAAACCATCATTAAGCAAATTAAAAAAATAATGCAGTCAGATAGAAAGCAAAGATGAAACGTCTTAGGAGCCGATTGAAACAACTTGAAAATTATGTTTACGTTAATAATTCTCTACAGATGAAAATAATTTGATACGGGATTCATATGTGTTCATGAGAAGCTTAGAATGTTACAAAGATCAAGCCAAAGTATAACACCGAGATTATTGAAAATCAAAGGGAAACCTAAACTACAATAGATGTCCTTGTTCCACTTCTAATCATGAATCTACCACATGAAAACCAGTCTGGCGAACCATAGCCATGCCATACAGTCTCAGTCCATATCAAGGTACGATGGAAAATCAGGAAGCCAACTACTGTACATTCAAGTGCAGAACCCTAGGATTATATAACAATGGTACTAAGAACTACCGGTTACACACTTTCAATGCCGTAATGCTATAAACTTCACTGTGCCATTGTAATAGGAATTCTTGGACCATTTATTTTAGTGGTATATTTGTGATAAATAACAGACTATTGTAATTTTCCCTCCCAGATGATTCAACATCATTAAAATGGATCATATTTGATGGACCAGTTGATACTTTATGGATTGAAAGTATGAACAGTGTAATGGACGATAATAAAATTTTAACTCTAATCAACGGAGAAAGAATTTCAATGCCTGAACAGGTAGGTTTTCTGAATGATATCAAAGGCCATCCCGGTAGCTGCCAAAACAACCAGTCAGTTTTCACTTTTGCGTCTATGACGGCAGTTTTTCATAAAACAAGGAAATATAATTGGCTAGTTCAGTAGTTGCTAAGGTGGCCGTTAAGGTCACTCGGTTGTTTTCTTTAGTGAGTCATTTGTATAAAAATTAGTCGTATTGTGAAACACTTCTGACTTCATTCTGGATAAATTCTTCAACATAAAACGTGTAGATGGTTGTTTACAGTAATATTTTTCTATTGGGTTGAATGATGTAACTATGAGAAATCACAATTACAAGAAGAATGAATTATTTAACTGTTGGAAACTTACTTAAGATTGATCTATGGCGAAGAAAGCAGTCAGTGACATTAATACAATAATCTTTGCTAAACTCAGAACAAAATACGATAAAAGGTACTTAATAATCAATGAAGCAAATTCCTTATTACAATTGACTTGGTTGCGGCTATCAGGGGAATCTAGGACATGCCTTTCTTCATATTTGGGAATCGTCACCCTGATGCACATAAACCCCAGTGAGTTATGGTGTTCCCACTGGGACTCGGACCCCGTACCCATCCCTTTAAGTCCCAAAGTTTTACCCACTTGGCCACTGAGGCATGATGGCGGCCTTTTGTACTATGACTGCTGGTTATTGTTGTTATTTGCTGATATATGTAATTCCCCGTCGCTACACTAAATCTAATTAATTCACCTCCGTTGGCATATGGGCTCTTTTGTGGATGACTCTATATTGCTTGAATCACAGCAGGGATACTATTAATTAATAGGATCCAGGTAGACCCGGTTGGTGAGTTCCAGTTAGGACGAAACCTGCGTCTTCCGTTCCACTGCTACCCACAACGAAACCAGTCATAACTGAAAGTATTCAGACAATATCGAAGCATCTAGATAGCAGCCCATATTCCAGCAGAGGTCGACCAATTCTACCCAGGATAACAACGGGGAATTACAACTATCAACAAAATAATCAAGTATTTATTTATGACCTTACAATAACATGCAAGACAAAGTAATATGGTTGTGAGTAATTCATTAAATACCAAAATAAATAATCTAAGGTGTCAGTGTACGAAAAATAAAACGTTTATATTCCACATTAGGTTAGATACTCGACATTTCTATCAGTCAGTTACATTAAATGTTTAGCTTTTACTCTTTCTGATTATGATTTTCGCTGTAACGATGTCCCTACCTAAAACAGCGAAACATTGCGATGTGACAATTTAGTTGCTATAAAGTGCAGAAGTTTGTTGTCTAACGTCGTTTCTTGTGGGATTCACTGAAATTCTTTCCGCTGAATATTCCGAATTAGTCAGTATCCAATAGCAGCCAAGATATTGCACTGCTACTCCTGTTTTCATTTATCATCATTCGTCACAACTTAGCAAACAGGACCAGCTCAGGTATCTACCAAACAGTCAATCTAAATGAAAGGAAACCCTCGATGCAACCGAAAAGATCATTCATCGATTTCTTCAAGACAATTCATGTAAAATAAACCAAACTACTGTACTTAACTAGTCAATACAATGGGAATCTTTCTCTCCCTCCATTAAAATCTAAAAACGTAACGATAGCAAAGAACACTCTTTCAGTTGGAGCGAGTCAACCAGTAACTTAAAGTGCTCCCCCCCAATATGTAGAGGTCAACCATCAATGAGATTGAGATAATAGTCATCAACTCATTCTAACAGAAAGGGGCAAGAAATCACAATGAAGCGACCTCATTGTACTACAATCAAACATAAGAAATTAATCAGTCTCACAGTCAAACATCCAGTAGGGGAAACTAGAGGCAAGAATTTAATCAATTAGGTTACAATCAAGAAACGTAGCACGTTATAAATATCCATGCTAAAACATTTACTCGGCCTCCCTTTGAAGCTCTAGTGCACTGATGACCGCACCCAGCATGACACTGGAACATTTGCCAGCTAGAACTCTATCTCAGATAACAAATCACTTTTATTCGCCACAACATTTCGATTTATCAAGGAAGTCGGATGTAAATTACTATTTTTCTTTGGTGAATATTGCATGCAATAATACAATTTTATTTACTGGATGATGCACGTAGCACAATTTACTGTTTATATTCATATCACGGTAATCAAACAACCTTTAAACCTAATTTCGACAGACCCACTGCTTTTCATTCTTTTTCTTATATGGCAGCAGAATTTAAAATGTACACCGAATCGGTAACGAACGGTTATAATCGCATGCAACATTCACTTATTTGATCAAGAAAGATCAGATAATTGGCCATTCTCTTCACTAAATTATACTTTCCTTTAGAGTTTTCACGTTACTTCACTCTATTGTGTGATTTTTATCAATACATGACCATGGTTTTCTGTACATTACTTTTCTCGATGTGTCATTTTAAATTTAGCTAGGCTGATGTAATCTAGTCACAATAGAGATCAAAATTGGTTACGTTTTCTCGTGTGCCTGAAACCCAATGATTTTATGACACTTGTTAAATTAGATTATACCATCTGGTGTTTTCGATAGGATCCTTAGATCGATATCTATCTGTAACTGAATTTTTGCGTCTCAGTCTCGCCCTAATTCTAGCCTCAACAATATTACCACGGAAAGTTTGTGGTGTTATTTCTTTCCAGTGATAGCATTAGATAATGAAAATTAATAAGATAGAACTCAGAGAAGAACATTTTCTTTTCGACGAATCATTTTCAAAAGCTGGTAACAAGATTTTGTAAATAAACAAGGAAATGAATAATCTCTCTTAAGGAGATTATGACTAAGGCTTTATTTGGAGATTGAATGTATCTCTTGAACACAAAAGGAGAATTGTAGTAAGGTATTGCCAGAGCTTCTGCTGTGTTTACGTGGTGAATGCGTACTGGCTCCGAAATGTTTGCCTTCACTTGATAAATGACTTTGAAAGAAGGCTCTTGTGGAGCACAGTGATCAGATATAACCAAATGCTCAAGATACAAGCTGTTGATGGTTTAACATTGTCCTCATGTCAGCTATTCAGGATAGTGTATGGACATGCATTTGGATAGAACACGCTTTGTGTGGCCTACGTAACCTACTTTACAAGAGCAGGTAAACTTGCAAACACATATAAAGGTGGCCTAAGGCGGTAATTTATCCTTTATACACCTTTGAATCAGTTGTTTATTGAGCCACAGAAGCGGCGTTTTCGGTGTACAGTTTCTTAGATAGACAAACAGACAAAACTAACGTAGAACCTCACTCAAATGCACCAATGGTTCAAGTCTCCACACTTCACACTAGTATGCAAAGAACAAGTGGATAGGAAAGACTGGTATCAAAATAGATAAAGGTGTATGGGCGTAGAGGAGACTTATAAGTTAAGGTTGGTCAAACCGTTCAGGCTTCAGAAGAAATCAAAGAGTGAATATATCTGCGCGGTTGTAACTGATTTTCAGCCGATTCATCAAGAGTTCTAAATCGCTTATTCCTATCGTCTCACAGATTCTACTCGGGTAGTCTACACCTTCAAACATGACTCAGAAAAAGATTCAGGGACTTCATAGACTTGATCCAGCCATCCTGGACCCCCTTCCAACCAAATCTAACTTACCCTAGTATTATGCGTCAAAGTAGGTGGTTCGTTAATCACAGCACACATCTAAGCCACCTCAGTTGAGGAAGACTCATAACCTCATCGACCTCTATCCCTTTTCTTGCCTAGTACCTTTTGCCTGACGTGGTGATTCCATCATATCCAAGCAATGCAGTGAAAACATTTGTGATCAAAAACTTATAGTTTCATCAAATCTTCCGCTTTTAATGGTCATGTCTCACAGCCATACAACAGGACAGAACCGATCCCAGCGTAGTATACACATCCTTTGATAGATAGTCGGATATCTTACCAGCTGGTGCCACAGATCACGCAAGTTGGAAAATACCAAACGGGACTTTTTCATCCCAGCTGAGATTTCAACATCGACTAGCCCGTTTGAACTGATACACCTTCCAAAGTAATTGAAGTGGTCGATATGTCCCACCTCTTCACTCTCTATCCTCAAACTGGGAGTAGTTGCAGAAGAGCCATGAAGTATCACCTTACATTTGACAGGTGCAAAATATATCCCAAACACACTCAGATATCTGCTCAGTGTGTTCAGAATACCCTGCATTTTGTCAGGTCATCCACGAACATTCCTTAACACAGCTTCGTGAGTTCAAATAGATCGCCCTGATTAGCGTTAAATACTTGCTTGGTACTATTTTAATGGCCAGGCAATGACACAAAACAACATGGTCGATGGAGTAGAATGCCAACTTCAGGTCAAGAAATATGGTAATCATTGACCGCGTGTAGGTACACCTGTGTTCCAGAACCTGTCGAAGGGTGAAAATCTGGCCGTATAGTCAATTATGATCATTGTATTCGGTACTAACCATCCCCTATGTTTTCTCAGATTTTTCGAAGTTACTTATGAAACTTGATTGTGGTTGCAGGCAGTCAGGAGAAAGCTCTGAACCCAATTTTTATGTTTGTCAGCAGTCGTCAACATGACGCATCTGCAAGTGCTAGAGAACTGACGTCCACTCAGAGACCCAAACCTCCGTCACTGATTGCTACCACCAGTGACGTTACTAATGAACTATCTAAACCATGGTTGACTTTCTGTACAACCTAATGCGACACACAACTGATGGGTATCAATAAGTATGAAAGCCGCTTCAAGTGGTGCTTCTTAACTTTGCTTTCAGCAACTAAACATCAATTACTACACAGAAGTGCTAAGTCTCCAAGCTTTTCGACTACATTGGAAAGTGGTCATCAAAATCTAGGTATAGACGGGATGAAACTACTCTCCTAATACACTCCAGTAACCACTGAATATATTTATAGGTAACTGTCACCAATTAAAGCTGGAAGTAGATATACGTACTCTATTTCTAGAGTCACTAGAAACTTCAAATGTGTTCCACTGTTTATTTTTAAGGAATACAGAGTTCGTCTTTTAATTACTAAGGCAACTGGAAGATTATTAACGTCTGTTTCTAAATAGTCAACACGTGAAAGAATGAATTCAACAGAAGAACTCAATTTATACCTTAAATTTTAGATATGACACTCTTTTCTTCCATATTCTTCATTCGTTTATTCATATATGCACTAAATTCTCTTTGACATGATGGAGCATATTGTCTAGAATGTCAATAATAGCTTCATGATTAAACCATCCAGCCCAGATAACACAACACTATCAAAAACTAATTCTCTTTAAATATGTTATTTTTCTGCTTTGTTGATTGTCGCTATTTCGCTGTTGCTAAGTACGACAGCTTGTAATTTGTTTGTTTCCAAATTGTTTTTTTTCTAAATAATTCCACATCTTACTTCTTTTATTTTTCTTCCTAGAGCTCATTTAGAGTAGACTGTCAGACCAGTGACCCAGAGAATACTTTCTCAAATCCTGTTACAACCGACGTTTCCACATTAGTTATCGCCTCATTTCCCAGGATCAGCCTTTAAAATTCTGGCTATTCCAAATAAACTCATCATCACGAGATTTCTTGTTTTATTTTACCTTAAAGAAGTGTGGAAGCTTTGATTATGTACTAACCTTACATCTGATGAAATTAAGCCATATTTTAGTCAGTTCATTGATCTTCATCCAATGATATTAAAAACAAATAAGAATTCAACTCAGCTGTTTTATAAATTAGTTTAAAAATCACCATTAGGTCATAAAACAAAAGACGTATGGCGAAAAGTCACTCTTTTTTGTGAAATCATTCTCAAGCTGTACAGCCGCATATAAATACTCTATTCAGACAGTAACATGAGGACATTTTACGGCTCTCTCTTAGAACGTTTGATTGATTATGACCACCCGGTAAATGAAGAAAACAACTTCAGTGTCATTTACAGAGTTCATGCAAATCTCGTGAAAGTTGTACACTTAAAACTTCTTCAAAATGCAGAAGCCATGACAATTAATATTTTGAGGTCTGAACTCTGCCTTCAAAATAAATTTGTCCAGTCACCTGAGTTACAATGGACGTAACCTATAAGAATATTTTTACCTTCGAAAATCTTTTCATTCAGTTCTTATCACATGACATTTCTCTACTCCCATAATTCTGATTTCTCTTTACATTCACAGTGTTACTTTATTTAGCTTAGTAACCAAATACTGGTTCCGTCTTGATAAGTCTTCTTCTCATTATTATTTCAAACACTACGTAATTCCTTTTTTCTGGTTTCTTGATTTATAATCACATCTGAACTTCGTTTAAAATATTTCATGAAATATTCCTTTTCTGTTAGTGTAAATAGTATAGTTACATGCGATTGTACAGCTTAAGAATGATATCGCTGAAAAAAGTGACTCTTCGCTATACGTCGTTTGTTTTATCCCTTACAAAGGTTTATTTATTAGGTTATGAACCACACTCTACCTGTCATCCATATATTAGTAATGCTACTTGGTTCCGCATAACTACTCTAGTTGTTAAGACCTGAGGTTCAATGGTATAAAACGATGACTATCAACCATTGAGTCATTGGTTCTAGCTCGCTCCGCCTATCAGGATTTGGGCAGCCTGGTACTATCACTAGCCCTCAGACACCAGATATGAGGGCACTGACAACTACACGGATGTGCACAAGGTGACTAAGTCCGTTTCCTTCCATCCTTACTTTAATTATTGTAGTGTTTCAATCTGTAGTCATCTGATTGTCAGTTGTGTTCAGTCTAATGAACCACACTGCGTATATTTGAACATAACCTTGAATATTTTCAGTTTACCATCAATTTGTTTTTTTAATTTTCACTTTTATCCAGGTCTCCTTACTTTTCGAAGTGGAAGATTTGTCTGTGGCCTCTCCGGCAACTGTATCACGTTGTGGTATGGTGTATAATGATGTTAATGATTTAGGATGGTGGCCTTTAGTTGAATCATGGTTATCTAAAAAGAAAGATAAGACACTAGTTGAACAAACAAGACGTTTTTTCACTAAATACATTGATAATCTCTACGATCATATCAGATTAAATTGTAATGTTGTCATTTCAATGAGTCTAGCTAATACAATTATTTCACTGTGTAAACTGTATGATTGTCTGGCGACTCCTGAAGTTTGGGTAAGTACAACAGTATTGCGTAACCATTCTCGCCTTGTTCTTAATTAAAGGGTCTACACTAAAATAACAAATTAGCACTAATTAAACTTATTTTTTAAGGGAAAAATCACAAAGTACTCAACTTATTTGTATATAGTTTGACATACTATCCTGTTGGTCGCATCTACACTACAGATGGAAACGATGTTGCCCCACTCACCTCTCTCAAACTTACAAACGACTACAAAATATAATTAAGTGGAACAAATTTCACTTCTAACCTTCGAATAACTTTCTTCTGTAATATGTGAAAAATAAGCTGACACAGTGAGTTAAATCAACGTGCATATACCAGTTTACTTGCTCTTGGGGAGCGGAATACACCGGTTGCACCATGTGCCCGCTATCAAAACTTACTCGAGACCACTGTGCTGCCTGCCTACCAAAGGGACAATGGAAATGGATCTTCAACACGGTGACAGAACACCGCGTAAACTCAGGTCATACAGCTCCCTCCTAAGACTCTTTCAAATCCCTTTGCAAGTTTCATCAAGTTACTTAAAAGAAGTCAGATCAAGTTTAGGACAAAGAATAAGAAACTCAAATTGTTTTCATTTTTTAAATGCTTTAGAAAGTATCTTTAGCAAACCAAATATCTCTTCATTTGTTCTTAAAGATAGAAAATAGTACAAATCATGTTGAAAGAACATACATAGTGGGTGCTACTGATCAGAATGGACATAAGTAGTATATGTTCAGAGGGCTGCAGAAATCACAAGCAATTACCAGCGATGGGTAAATATTCTGCCCAGAGAAACTAAAGAGACAATGTGGGCGTATTAGAGAAAATCGAAATAGAAGCAGAAGAGGAAATGAAGCATGTTGTGCAAATGACTGTTTTAGTGGAAAGTGTACGACATATCATCACTACTGTTCAAGATATCAGTAATAAACATTCCTTCATGCATCTCAGTCTTATCGTTTCCCACACATATACATGATGTATATGAGGCTGTTGTTTCATATGTTACTCGTGAAATACGTAAATTAAGTTCATTTATTTCCACATAGTTTCATTCAGTTTGTCGGAATTGCATTATCATTTACTCTTAAAATTATGATGTTAAAATGTTAGTGTGAGTAAACTTTAAGCGATTAAATATTATGATCCAGAAAAAGATAAGCTTCTTGGTATGAATGAAATGACTCTCAGAAGAGTCATTCTCTTTGTCTTCATACTACCCTGTTATGATAATGTTGGCAAATTTAAAGTGGTTTTCAAATGACTTCATTTGTGATGATGTTAAATAGTTTTGTTATGAATTCATTCGGTTAACAACGTCATGAATCTGTTCAACAACCAGTCTTAAGCCTCGATAATTTAAGTATACTTAAAACATGCTTAATCGTTGGGTTTATCAAGTCATTTCTCACATTAAAAAGCCGGTAACTTAAAAAGGCGCCGACATAAAAAGTATTTAAATAAGACGATCTTGAAAAACCAACCAGGTTGGTGATGACGATCGAGCTATGAACCAGATTTTCAGTGACAACATTCAAACATTCAAACGGCAATCAAACACACTACTTTTCAGAAAAGAAAGCCTATATAGCACATTAGTTGGCATATAATTCCCAGTCCATAAAAGTTTATGGTTGAGGATTTCCTTTTTAAGTTAAGTACATACAAGTTTTCTATTGAAAATTTTGTTATCAGTCTACCCATGGACAACTGGAATACATCAGAACACAGTAACTATAGGTTCTATGCTGACTAGGGCTGTTTGAGATTAGGTGGTCTGCACTTCCTTGGTAATCATATCCAGGTTCAGCTTTATGTTATTGGTTATAGTTTCCGGTCGTTGATTGAACCGAATTGACTAGTCTGTATTAGCATACGGGTTGCTGTGCCTATGTCTCTATATTCCCTGTAGCTTCAATTTGATTGTAATGAAGGATAGTGTCTAGCAGTGGAATATAAAACGCATATTTCATGCTATTCGGGAGTTGTCGGCTGGATGTTCCTTATTGTGAATGTCTTTGAACCACATTTCTATTGGTTTACAACCACTGCCTTCCGAGACCTCAAAGATTTCATTCACGAAACCTAAATGACTTGGTCTAACAGAAACTGGTTTCATAGTATGATTTTATGTTTTCTTTAGACCACCGTTAGTTTTTCACAACTTCATCCTCAGACTACAATGGTATTCTACTTAATTTGAGTATTATGAATAGATTTTTAACTTATCTCTTAGTTGAATATATACAGACCATTTTTTTCAAATAAACAATTTCCACTCAACAACAATATATGTTATTTGACTTTCAGGCAGATCCCACTGACGTAGATTACTACCCACGTTTATTGGAAATGACATTTCAATTCTGTATGATATGGTCGGTTGCATGTATGGTTGATGAAGATGGTAGAAAAAAAGTTGATGCATATATTAGGGAAATTGAAGGAAGCTTTCCTAATAAGGATTCGATTTACGAATATTACGTAGATCCTAAATCAAGATCGTGGGTACACTGGGAGGAAAAATTAAAATCTGGTTGGAAATACTCACCAGAGTATGTTTATTGTTTTGTTATTCTATATTTCATGCAGATGATTACCGATTCAGTTTGTAATATCACACAACATTTGCTTTTGAAACTCTGCATGGCACTGGCATATGAGTTACTTTTTGTTTGATAAACGCCTATGATTACTTAAACTCAAGGAAAATTTAAGTTTTACCATTCAAATTGTGATAAAATTCCTACAGAAGTAGATAACGTCGTACTCCGGAGTCTACTACAGAAACATCATGAGTAAAAGTCAACAAACTCGATGTATACCAGTAATTTTTGAGCCTGATTTTTGAGAAAAAACTACACAATAAATAATATATTCACAAACGATTCATATCAAGCATATGGAACGCTCTCAAGCATTTTTAATCGCCTAATGGGAATAAATACCTACGAGGTACAGCAGTCTTGATACCCAGCAACCTTGTGCACATTCGTGAAGTAGGCAGTGACCCACACCTATTGAATGAGGGCTATTGATACTACTACCTCAGTGCCCAAACCTCGGTGGCTGGAGCGGTGTTCAGGACCATCACTCCATTGGTTGAAGGTCAACTCCCTAAACCGATGAGTCATACCTCCAATCCTGACGCACTAACACGCTGAACTAAACATACTAGACAAAAAATTCATTCGCAGCAAGACGACAAACAAATTTCATGCTCATAAAGTCAACTAGGACAGTGACAAGCGTGTGGGGTTTCCTACTGGCCGACTGGTTATTGATGCCAACGGTGTGCAAATACCTTAGTAACACCTCCTTACTGAAGTTAGGAATCAGACGACATTGAAACATTTCCCTGTAACCACTGTTCTTTCTGAAGAAAACATCTTTGAAATTATATTTAACTACTCTATGTTTATGATTTGACTATCTAAGATAGCCGTAGTTTAGCAGACTAGTATTTATACTGGGTGATGATTGAAGGTGAGATGAAAATCTGGACCACGGCCGGATTGGCTGGTCGCTGATTCGAATCCGGCCGCGGTCCAGATTTTCATTTTACCTTCAATCATCACCCAGTACAAATACTGTGTGTTTCATTATCGTTTTGTTATTGCTACGTCTTCGCACTGTCTTGTGAATTCACCGTGAACGAAAACAGAAATAGACAAGGTATAAGTGTTAAACGATTATATAAACAAAAACTGTCACCAATTTGTGTACGAATTGAAAACCAAAACTGTACGATATCATATTTCTGCCATCCTCAAGACACTCGTTCAATAGCCTTATCTATCTCACTATCAAGCCTATAGAAATTTGGATTACATTTTTTGAGGAGACATTTGGTCAAACCCACAGACATTACTTTGAGCATGATCAATTGCTCAAGGTTTTACATATGTCCATAATTCCGAAAGTCAAAGAAATCAAGAATGAAGTTACACTAGGGCACAATTTATTGTCCGCTAGTTTGTATATGCTGATATGAAGCCATGACGATGACTCGACCTTCCTAAACTATAATAGCATTTAATTCAAAGTAATTTAGTGGTCATTATGTCACATCACTGGGTCGACGTCTTGCCGATGTTGAGATGCTCTAAAGGCTATCCAAACAACAGCTGAAATAGCCAATCAGGTTACAATATTTTGGTTCGGAGGATAGTTTATCATTAAATAAAGAAACATGGTTGACTGTCCCATTAGTAGGTATGGACGACTTAAAGTCCACCCTAGCAATAATCGAAATGACCGGTTAGGCTTCTCTAGTTTGTCTGGAAAGGCAGATTTTCACCAAAGAGAGAAGTCTAATTGGTTAGTACAGTTGTTGCTAGGGTGACCTTTAAAGTCATTTCCGCTGTTACCGAGCTTAATTTCGGTTTGGTTTCTTTTTGGGCTCTATGACCAGCGGACTGAGAAATGCCAAACACCGTACCTTACTAGTATTATTTACTGCGTTTCTATGTTCTGGTTGATTCTGCTGACACTAATGAAGTGACTTTAAGGGGCACCATAACAACGGCGGGTTAACCAATCATGGTTTTGTATTTTATTAAAAAATAACTCAGCCCAAATAATACCAGAAAAAGATTGGTTATTCCAGCAGTTCCTTGGGTGACCTTCAAAGTCACTCACCAAGAAATATCGCGAATGTACAAGGCCATAAAAGCGTAGGTGGCCTAATCAGAAGAGCCAATCAGGTCTCCCTCTTTTTAGAAGGGAGTTTTTTCATCAGATGCAGAGTTCTAATTGGTTACTTAACTAGATGTTAGGGTAGTCTTCAGAGTAACTCAATCAGAACGTCAAGGAATGAGAGCAAAGATGAATACGTAAACAACATTCGTTACTGATTGTTTGTTTCTAACATTCATCCTGGCTACGGAAACAACATGTCATTCGATCGATGGTGGTTTAGTATCCTCTGAGCTCTGATATTTTCCTTATGAAGTTACTGCTGAAGATGTCATCAAAATTAGTGATATAGCGTCCACGAAAAAATATCAGAGCTCAGAGGACAGCAAACTACCATCATCATCCTGTTCTGCAAATCTTTTCCATCATTTCAATACCATTTGTTCACAGGAAAGAAGATAGTTTACGAGTTTGCCCGCTTTTCACTTTTATAACTTAATTTTAAATTCATGTACCCTGCACGCTAAAATTGACTCTAAAGGCCGCTCCACCAACTAGTAAAATAACCAATTAGTTTGCTCCAATTTATGAAAAGCTATCTTCAAAGGCAAAATAGAGAAACCTTACTGGTTAATTTGGCGGTTGCTATGGTGGTCTTTAGAGATACTCGTAACCAAATTCAAACACTTCAGATTTAACTGGTTGACCTTCCCATTTTAATTTGACGCGTAAACTTGAACTTATAAGCCATGACGAGTATCTGCGATTGTAACTACTGTGCCAATGAAAGAATTCCCAGTCCTGGTCACGAAAAATGAAAAAAATTCTCATTGTTTACTTTTATCTTGGTCTGTTTTCTAGATGCGTCACACAGTGAAACGGTATTATTTACTAGATAACGTTTCAAACATCTGATGAGCATAGGAAAATAAAACTATAATCTACCACACTTTTCATGCTTTACTCATGCATTACTTAATCTATAATGAATAAAACGTGAATTCTCCAAGTTGTTGTCCTCCAAATCTCAGCAAATCATCCCTTCTTTCCTGATAGACTGCGTCAAAGATGGTCGAATTCTGTAGCTCCTGGCATATGAATCATTTCATTTCTTCTTGGTACCTAGAAACTCATGTATGATGAGTTAGTAGAAGTTATGAAATTGACTTAGTTACTCAAGATTTTCAGAAATCAAATGATTCTTATTTTGATTTACTAACTTTTAACAACTTGATTCATTGAAAATGTATTTACAATTAAACTTTTTATTGTATTACCTAAATCATTTCAAACTGAAATTAGCCAGATGAATAGCTATGGATCCAGAGAAAGAATATCGATGGTCAACCAGTAGCGTCTGACTTTTGGCGGTAAACTAATCCCTTCAAGGACACTCACACTTTTCGCGACGAGCACTTTCTTCGCACTCGGAAAATACAATGAGTGACTCTAAAGGCCACTCTGCCAACCAGTAAAATAACCAATCAGGTTTTTTCATTTTATGAAAATCAACCTTTCCAGCCGAAAGAGAGCAGCCTAATTGGTTACTTCAGTCGTTTCTAGCATGATCTTTGGAGACACGCATTACAGTTGTTTGTGTATTTCACATACGGGTTGAGAACTCCCATGAAGTTCACTCAGGACTAACAAAATAACTTTTGTAAACCATACCAACTGAACTTCAGATACAGGAGTATTTTGTTCTTGTTGTCCGACTAGAGTACAAAAAACTATATAAAGAATTAAAAATTGGAATCTTTATTCAAAAAATAAAATCTCAACACCGCATTTGTGAATGATTTGAGTGAAATGAATTATGAAGCTAAGATTCTACAGTTTTCTTTTTTAATAATATGAAGATCATGCTAGTGTGCATCTCCCTTGATCAACTCGGAACTAGAACAGCCTCAACAGTTTTAATATATGAATGGAGTACCTAACTGGTATTATATTCTATTTTCTATGTGTCAATCATGTTGCTGTTATATCCAAAACAGTGGTCACTAGGTCCCAGTCTAAGCGACGCGCGAACTTCAGAATTTCAAAATAAAAGTATTGAGGCTTAGAAATAAGGCGGTACTATAAAAAAGAAGTTAACTAGGTTCAAAATTACTACCCTCAACTGTGGTACTTCTATGGGGAAAATCACGAAATCGATTACGTGGAAAGCTAACAAGATCCAAATAATTAATATGCGAAACTAGGATCTCACTTCTCTGACAAACATACCAGCCAAATAAAGTGACTTTAAAGACCACCCTAGCAACAACTGAAATAGCCGAGTAGACTTCTGCATTTTATGAAAATTCGCCTTTCCAGCCGAAATGAATAAACCTAATTGATTATTTCGATCGTTGCCAGGGTGGTAATAATGTCACCCTCCCAAATGACTGGAACAAGTTTATGTAGAAAATGAGTCAGAGATAGAGACAACTAACCAAGATTAAGGTTATAATGCAAAGGCCAGACAGGCATATGTGAAGAGCGACTTTAAAGACGAGCCTAGAAACTACTAAAATAATCAATCAAGTTTTGTTATTTTGACTGAGAGGATAGTTTTTCATAAATCAAAGAAGTATAATTGGTTTTCTTGACAGTTGTTACGGTGATCTTTAGGACAACTCTTAGCTAATGAGAATCAAACAAGAAGTAAATGTCAATTTATCAGAAAGAGTGGGTGGATAATGGGACAGCGTTACAAATAGGCTTATTGGGAGGTGAAGACAAAAATAGCGGTAGACAGAAGTGACATATTCGACAGTTGTTTTATCTTTCTCTCCCTCTCTCTTTCCTAACGCTACTGATTGTCACACTAACTTATGTAGAGAAATCACCTATGAGCTGTGATATAAGTGTATAGGAGAATCCACAATTTCTGGAAATTAGCAATCTACCTTAGTAATATAGGCGACTTTAAAGGCCACTCTGGGAACTACTGAATAACCAATATTCCAGCCAGGAAGCCAGTTTGTCATGAAATAAAGAGGCCTAATTGTTTGACTCAGCACTTGTTAGGGTAGCTTTTAAAGTCGCTTGGTAATACTACAAAATAATGAAAATAAAGATTCTTAATAAGAGTCATTAGTTATTGATTGGATATTTTTATCATTTCTTTGCGATTTCAGTCTGTAATACAAAGATTAATATGATAAAGTATAGCAGCTTATTCCAAAACTATTCAAACCCACCGACACAGAACAGCGTAGAAATTTACTCTAAATTGCAACGATTCAAGTTGACTTTTTTCAATATGTCATGAAAGTCAAAAAAAATCAACAATACCAGATATTTATGAAATGTACAAGTTATTTAGGAATTTTAAGATGATTCTGATCAGGTTTATTTTTGATTTATGCTTATTTGAAAAACCATTTGTAAACTTAGTGAAAACTTGCTAATTATGTTTTGAGTTTAACCACTAGAAGAAAGATTTATGTACTCAGTAGCCTTGTGCACATTCGAGCAGTAGGCAGTAAGTCACGCTTTTTTTGTGTGAGGGCTAGTGATACTGCATCGCTTCCCAATCCGCGGTGGATAGAGGGAGCCTCGAATTCATGACCCATCGGTTGGAGGTCATGTCCCTATTCCAATGAACTACAGCTCCACAATAACGGTAACTACCATGAAGTGTAAAATATCTGATAGCTGTTTAATGCAGTCTGAATTCTTCATATGTCAATCCCATCATTTTATTCGAACAAACAATGAACCAGAACATAGCAGTTGGCTTTATTTCAAACTCATATTCAGTAAGTCAATACTAGTCTGCCAACCATAAAAGTGAAAAAACCAGACTTGGATTACTTCGATTATTGAAATCTACCGATGAAAAACTCAGGATAGAGTGGAACATACATTGTGTTCTTTAGTTCGTTTTGCTTTGACCAATAGTGTAACCTAACAGTATACGAGCGACACGGACCTAATGCGCAACGAATCGCCTCTAAACGCCAATCAGAACGTTAACCACAATAACAGCAATACCACCGACACGTGAAGACAAAAAGAAAAGACGGTCTGTTGACAGCCTGCTTTTACTGTAAAAACAACAGTCAAGAACAGTTGACGACGACGCTAAACCTATAATTTTCTAAATGACCTTGACAACACTAAATCCCTATTTAGTTTAAAACAGTTAACCAATGAGAGTCCAGACCTCAGAGCAGTGGGAAAACAAAAGCTAGCAACAGTGTAAAAACAGCGACGATGAGTAGTTTTAAGGTTGTAGACAAATATTAGTCAAAATTCATGCAAAATTTGAGGTATACAGCAAGTTTTCAATGGTTACTTCATTGATATTGACACGGATATTTAACACTACTTTTCGGATAAATAGTTAAAGTGATCATACACGTGTTGAATTGTTGATTTTTAATTGCATTTCAGCATACCATTTCACAAAATACTTATACCAACTGTAGACACAGTTCGATACAACTTTCTTCTAGATTGTACAGTGAAACAAAAATATCCTGCTTTACTTGTTGGATCAGTTGGAACTGGGAAAACATCACTGGCCTTAAATCTTTTACGAAATTTGGATTCAACAGAATGGACTAATCTTACAATTTATATATCTGCACAAGTTAGTCAGAAAAGTGTATCATCCAATGATTATTTCACATGGGTTTCAGTTTATTATTCTACCTTCTACTGCCGCATTCACAACTGTATGGTTTGCTGCATGTTCGTAGAAGTGGTGGTTTTTCCATCCTCATTTGACTTTACTGAGAGTGGTCCCACCACCGGAAACTCCTCGGCCTACCTAGAAAAAGTAGACAACATATTCTACTTAGGTGAAGATGCTGATAAGAACAGTCTTCTGGACACCGTAAACGACAGACAATTTGAAAAAGTTTCAAGTATGTTACTCGTCATCCAGAAGCAAATTGTTGCTCCGAGATTGGTATGGGTTATTACATTCCCTGATAACAGGGAGTAAAGTGGTTGAATACCTAGACATTCTCACGTACTCAGGAAGTTGGGTTAATTAGTGACCGATTAAAAATAAGTGTGGATACTAAAAGCTTACCAATGGCCTCATGTAATGTACAAAAGTTTTCTCTGTCCTCCTTTGTTGCTGTGAAACATGGCTTTTGAAGTTGGAGAACATGGGAAGATTTTAGGTATTTGGGAAACGTTACTATCGCAGTACTGGTTGTGGGTCTTGGCAAACACAACACCACTCTCGTAATGTGGAAGTTAATCGTAGAATCTTAAGCGAAAGACGTTGGTCAGTTCATTAGTTGGTAAGGGTTCATTGATTCAGGCGACCAGGACATGTGTTACGCATGCCTAGTCATTGTTTACCTCGTCATGCAATGTTAGATTTAATGGGTTTAGGATTGAGAAAGGCTAATGGCAATCATACTAAGACGTGGCCGACCACTTCAAGAAGCTCTTGAATCGACCACCACCACCATCTGCACTTCGTCCAGAAATACCACCTACAGCCGCTGAATTACAAGTGAACACAAATCCTCCAACAAAAATGGAAGTCCTGAACGCCATCAAGCTACTGAAATGTGGGAAAGCAGCAGGACCAGATGGGATCCCACCAGAAGCACTGAGGACAGACGCAGAGACAACAGAGGACATGCTCACACCACTATTGCAGAAGGTGTGGAAGGAAGAGAAGGTATCTGGCGATTGGAAGAATGGTCACCTTGTCAAACTTCCAAAGAAAAGCGACCTCAGTGTTTGCAGGAACTGGCGCGGAATCACTCTCCTGTCCACCCAAAGCAAGAGAGAGAGACTAAAGGATGCACTGGATTCAAAACTACGACCGGAACAGGCAGGCTGACTGGATTCAGGAAGTACAAATCATGTTCGCACCAAATTGTAACTCTACTCTACGTATCATCATATAACAGAGCATAGAATGGCAGTCAACTTAACTCTACCTCAACTTCATTGACTTTGAGAAAGCCTTCAACAGCGTCGACCGACAAGTAATTTGGAAACTGCTTCAATACTACGGAATACCGTAAACTTTTATCCGCCTCATTCTACAACTATATGAAGACACCACATGCCAAGTAATTAACAATGGGAAGCTCAGTGATGCCTTTGGAGTGGAAATGAAGACAGGAGTGAAAGGAGGTTGCCTACTATCCCCCATGGTATTCCTGATTGTGGTTGACTTGGAGTGTTTGTGTCAATAATTTTCATATGTGTACCTTCAGCTCAAAAATGCTTAAATAACAAAAAAGGAAACTGGACTGAACAAAACTCAACCTTAGCCTTATCAATATTCTTTCTCAAAATTTTTAGACAACTTCAAGTAATGTCCAAGATATAATTGAAGGTCGGGTAGAAAAGCGTACAAAAGATACATTTGTACCAGTCGGAGGTGGGAAAATGCTTACTTTCATGGATGAGTTTAATATGCCAGCCAAAGATAGTTCTGGTTCTCAGCCGCCATTGGAATTGATTCGTCAATGGCTTGAATATGGATTTTGGTATGATCGTTTAAAGCAGACTAGAAAGAAAATCAAAGGTATGCAACTTATGGTAGCAATGGGTATCCCAGGGGGTGGAAGAATGGTAATATCTCGACGTCTTCAAGCACATTTCCATCAAATTGTTGTCACATTTCCAACGGTATGTATTTTTTGTAAAAATGTGTTCTCGATATTACATTTGCCTTTTACCAAATATAATATTAGTGAAGAATTTGCAGCAGAATAAAGAACGGATAAGCAAACTGATGCGATTTTAAAATATTTTTCCTAAATATATTTCTGGGTTTACTGTTTCATTTACAGCCTTTATGCTTGACATTTCATTGTGGCCAAATTAATAATAAAGGACCTTCTTGCAACGTTCCTGTTTATATAAATACTTCTGAATTTTTAGAACATATTCTGCTCAGTGAGAGCAATGTCTTTACTTTTGGATAGTTATTTAAAGCAGAACTTGTTAGAATCTCAATATTTTTCTGAATAGTATTCCAGTACGATTAAATGTTAAACCTGATCAGCAAGATTATCTGCTTCTATAAGAAATTCAGTGTCTCAGTGTTTTCAAGTTTATTGCTGTGTTGTGACAACGATGAATCTACCGGCTACCTTAAGGTCTTATGGAATTGTATCGGTAGTACCAGGAACATTGTTATGAATTACCTGGTGGTAGCTAGCGCTGGAATCAAAAATACGCGTTTCGTCACATTTGACAGTCGTCAGCTGGATATACTTGTACTCCAGTGAGTAATGTTGTTCCCCCTGAGACTGAAACCCCTTACCCAGATGACGAGTCCCAAATAGGATAAAACGCGCTTACTGGATTGGAATGCTAGCCACATTCAGGCAGATCATAACAATGAACATTCAGGCCTTATCGAAGCCTTTCTATAGGAACTCGTGTGCCAACAGAGGTCTGTCATTATTCACTATTCAGTACAAAAAAAGAAGAATTAAATGCGTCAACAAATAATATCAGAAACAGTTTTTTTGGATTCTACTAGGAAGGTTATTACTTCTGTTTCACTGTCAAGTAACGTGTGTGAACCGGATCATTTTGCCATATTTAGAAAAAGTGGTATATAATTTGTATTTTAGATGCAAGAAGGTACATGGATGGAATTTTAAGAGGATCATTTATCGCTTAAAGAAGGTTGCAGTATTTATGATTAGAGCAATAATGATAAACATATAAGAGTAAAAACGATGGATTCATAATTTTGTTAGCTATCGAAAAGTTGTTTATTGTTTAGACTGCAATCTGGCTGACGAGCACAGCTGATCAATATGAGTGGTTTCCAACTGTTTATGTCAGTCAGTAATATATTTCGTTAAAATTTCGTGCTGATAGCGAACTCATTGATTGGATAAAAAACCATGTAGTAAGGTGAATTCCGTAGGTTCATCATACAGTATAATTTTTCATACTTGTCTCTGTAATTTCTCTTGTAAACCTTATAGTGATGAAATAATGATCACATGATCAGTGGAATCCAGGACGCTTGTTTCATCCTATTTGGGACTCCTCAGTTCGATATCCCTACCTCCCAGTAAGTGGTATTATTTCCACTGAGATTCCGACCCAGGATAGACTGCTTTAAACACTAGAGTGTTATCCAGTAGGCTTAGTGAAACAACCAGTCGTGGGTTTGAGTCTCACCGCGGCAAACATCACTCACTGGGAGCCAGGTACATACTAGTGATGAATAACAAACGAACGTGCGTCTTAGATTCCACTACTGGTCACTATCCATCATTACCGTCAAATTAAAACTACGGGGAATATCGAGGCATATGCACAAGAATCCATATGCTAATAGAGACTAACTATTTGGGTCCAATCAGTAACGGGGAGCTGGATTCAGAAAGAACAAATCATGTGCAGACCAAATTGCAACGCTTAGCATCATCATAGAACAGAGGATACAATGGGAGTCAACCCTCTACCTCAACTTCATCGACTTTGAAAAGGCCTTTGACAGCGTCGACTGAGAAGTAATTTGGAAACTGCTTCATTACTACGGAGTACCGCAAACCTTTATCTGCCTCATTCAACAACTATATGAAGATGTCACATGCCAAGTAATTCACAATGGGAAGCTCAGTGATGCTTTTGAAGTGAGGACAGGAAGGAGTGAAACAAGGTTGCCTACTATCACCCATGATATTCCTGATTGTGGTCGACTGGACCGGATCATGCAACAAACAGTGAGGAGTGAGAAGAGGGAGATACGGTGGACCGCGGAAAAGAACCTAGAAGATCTGGATTTCGCCGATGACTTGTATCTAATGTCACACAAACTTGAAGATCTACAAAGGAAAACTAACAAGTTGACAAAAGAGACAGAGCAGGGCAGCGAAGACGCGACTTCAGGTGAATATAGAGAAGACAGAAGTGATGAAGATACCGCACCACCACCAACAACAACAACAACGACAAACTCCAATCACCATCAACGGGAGGAACTTAAAGGAAGTTACCTCTTTCACCTATCTAGGAAGCACTGTTTCAACTACATGTGGCACAGACGAGGATGTCAAAGTCAGAATCGGAAAAGCAAGACAGGCGTTCATTAACCTGAAACCAGTGTGGAGATCTGCTTAACTGCACTCAGCATAAAGCGTGAACAATATCCGGATTTTCAACACCAACGTCAAGTCAGTGCTTCTGTATGGCTCAGAGACTTGGCGCGTTACGAAAGGCATTTCCAATAAACTACAGACATTCATCAACAACTGCCTACGCTGGCTCCTTACTGAAGCTTAGATGGACAGAATAATAAGAATAAGCAACAAGGAACTCTGGCTGGCTGTCATCGAACCAACCAAGAACCTATTACTCAACAAATATGCACTAGAATGAAGTGGAAATGGATATGGCAAGCACTGAGAAGACCATTCGGAGACATCAGACACCAGGCCAGTTTCTAAATGGGAAACGACGAGTTGGGCGTCCCAGATGAGGGTGACGTGGAGGAGATGGTGTGAGGAAGAAATGAGAGCTTGTGGGCAGTCGTGGAGCCAGGTTGAAGAGACTGGATAGAAGAGAGTGAAATGGAGACATGCAACTGAAGCTCTATGTTCCACTAGGAACCCAAGGGACAAATAAATAAATGTATATATTGTGGTGGAGAATTACAAGCAACAAGATAATGAAAAAACAACATTATCACTTTTCATTCTTTTATATCTCTCTGTCAAACAAGCCATTAATAACTTAACTGGTTGATCTGTTATTTCAGAACTCTAAGACATACCTTAACTTGTATCGTGCTTAAAGAATGCAGTCTCTATATATAACAGAGACTCTATTATAATTAGAATATGTTAAAAGTCTCCTTTACTCAGTTTGAACCAAACAGAATTTCTAAGTAGTGTACTTGACGGCTAACAGTAGGATCTGGAACGCTGATTTCTTCATTAGCTGAATGTACAAGCACCCCAGTGAGTGGTGCGGCTGTAGTACCACACTAGCCTAGTGAACTACGCTTTGGAATTTGAGGCGATTAGTCCTGGGTTCGAGTCCCAGTGGGAACAACGTCATTCATTCTAGCTGGCGAGTTTTAAACTAAAAGAAGCTCATGTGCTGGACTCTACTGCTAGCCACCATGTAGACCAACCAGTATTAAGACCTCAGCATACAAACTCATCTGCCATCAAAAGTCAAGCAATTCGATACAGTATAACAGAAAGAAATTGCAAGTTCCAATATACAATATGAAGTTCTCAGTGTTTTTTAGTTTGGTTCATGTCATCACTTTATTTTCAATATTCTCAGAGTTAGTAGGTAGCAATGTAAATCTGTGTTAAGGATGCGTTTAACAAGCAGAACATGTGGGTATTTCACAAGCTGTTGGTTGGGACTAGTTATCTAAGTAATCAGTTTCCTAGTAGAAAGTCTTTCATTGATTTAACTTAGTAATGGCTACTACCTGTAGTCCCATTCATAGGTAGGCATTTTCAGGAAGCAATTATTTTAAACTTTCAATGTATTGAATAACACAACTATTAATAGTGTGAAATTTAAGTGTTCTCAATCAATATTTTTCCAGGAAGCAAATCTCAAAAGAATTTATGGAACGATGATAAGTCAAAAATTACAAGAATTCGAAGATGAAGTTAAGTCAATGGCTGAAAATTTAACTCAAGCCTCCATTGATTTATACTATTCAGTCGTGGCCAAATTTCTACCGACTCCAACTAAAATACACTATTTATTCAATTTGAGAGATATTTCCAAGGTAAGTATTTCCTAACTTACCCACTATACATACATGAAACCTGTTTTGTGTTCATTTATTAAAGACTCTTTTCATGAAAAAAACGGTATCCTTTATCGAAAACAAGTTTCCTTCACACAAATCCTCATCAGTTCAAGTTTTCACATTCAACAGCATAGCACAGATAGACAAAACCAACAGACTTAGAAATATAAGGGAGAGGTATTTGGAGAAAGGAAACGAATATACAGGAACAAGATATTCCAACTTTTTAGCGAAAATGGGGACTTAGCTACATCAGTAGAATCATAGAAGACAAGCAGTTTAACGTCGCATTACGTAATTAAATCTAGAAGAAATATATGAAATGCAAAACAACACTGTGTTAATATAGGTGTTAGTTTTTTCCCCACTGGAAAAAAGGGATAAAAGTTGCCTAGGAGTTCAACTAACAAATAAATCAACCACCATGTGTGTTAAGTCTTACTGATTAAAATAACACCTTTAACCGGTATCCAGTTACGACATTCTAAATAACTGCATTTTAGGTTCTATTAGCTTAGAGTTTCGCTTGTTTCATGACAATTTTTACGGAGACAGGACATAGAAGTTGCTGTTATGCCTCTTTTAATTATTTGTCTGTGAGCTATAGCTCAGTGGTTTAGGGAGATAACTATCAACCACTGGGTCACAGGTTCAAACCCTGCTCTACCTACCGAGGATTAGGAGGCCAGGTAGTATCATTAGCTCTCACACAATAGATGTGGCTTATCGTCTACTGTACGGAAGTGTAAAAGGCTGTTGAGTGCATTGTGTTTCGTTTTCCTACTCATCACTTCTGATGAACAAATAAGTTTCACTAATCTCAGTTCGCATATATGAGAAATAATGCACAGACAAGATTATTCTGACGTTCTCATTATGGTTCAAATCATTCAAATATGCCTCCTTATCGACTTATTGTTTTCTTCTCTTCGGCATTTTAGATCTTTCAAGGTTTACTTCGATCGAGTAAAAATTACATTGATACTCGTAATTCGATGCTTCGTTTATGGATTCATGAAGGATTACGTGTATTCTCTGACCGACTGGTAGATGATAAGGATAGAACTACGTATATTGATCTGGTTGGCGACTCACTGGCTAATTACTTTGATCAAACTTATCATAGTTTATGTCCTGCTAAACAGTCTCCTATATTTGTGGATTTCATGAATGCAGAAAATGCATATGAGGATGTTACAAATTTAGACAGACTACGCAAATTTATGGCAGAAACCTTAGTAGAATATAATGAATCTCCTGGTATGGTACGCGTAGACTTAGTAATGTTCCGTGATGCAATAGAACATAGTAAGTGATTTTGTGTAGTATACTTATTGGTTTATTGTATAAGACATTCTTGTGTCACCGATGCAGTACACTTTTCTCTTGACTGAATATTTGTAAACAAGTTAATTATGTAATAGTGTATAGTGTAATTTAACAGTAAAATAGTTAATGAATTCGAAGAATTGAATTACTACCTCGTAGAGTCTATGAAGCTGTTCATAAACTGGTACTTCTGACCAATAAAAAACAAAACTAAATTACTGAACGGAATTTATTTGTTGAGCTTCATAACTTATCAGTCAAATATGAATTAGGTTTTACACAGTAATAGATTATAGTACTCAGCCATTCCGATTGAAAATAAAGCCAAACTTATTGATTTATGCCTTAAAACTACGTTACTTACAAAATCATGCAATTATAGCTTTGAAAATTCAGAAGAGACTAAATTTATCAATACTGTGCTCCTTTTAGTGAGCAAAACTTGCGTTGGAGAAACGTATACTAGCTGAATGAACCCCCACCCCGACCAAACTTAGGCTTACATTTCTGTTGATTCTTCATCCTAAACCGAAAGCTAATCCAAAACCAGCTGGTGATACCTTGAATACTGTTATTATTAACATTATTCAGATGCAATAACTATTTCGTTTCAAAATATTCTTCTGGGAGGGACTTTGTTGACAAGTTACAGGCTAAGGATTCCACACTGTATCACACATATTGCTTGGAATAAAACTATTATTATTACTATGGTGCCATCTGTTACCAGTATCTATAATATAACAAAGAGATCGATAAAATCAACGTGGAACATTGCACAGAAGTCTATTGGTTTAAGTTGACACACTTCACAGTATCATTCAAAGAATAAGTGGGTAGAAAAAGAGTGATGTCAATGTGGAGAGGAGAAGCGATTTGAAAATCAACGTTGGTGAATATGTTCAAGCTTTCGAAGATGTTAGTGAGTGAATACATCTGCGCCATTGCGATCAACGTTAAGCTGTTTCATCAATGGTCTTCAACCATGGACTCTTATTGTCTTAGAGACCCCAATCAGGCAGTCTATGCCTCTCTATGTGGCTGACACCGACAGTGAGGGACTTTATTGATCGATGCCACTTCTTGGTCTAGCTATCTTGAGCCTTCTTCTAATCCGACCCTACCTTGGTTGCATTTGGATGTCATTTTAAACACAACTGACTACTAATCATCTTTACAGAATAGCTACTTTCTTCACTTATGCATACATGCAATTATTAGTTTGACTATTCAGGATAACCGTGGTTTGATAGAGTTTTGTTGATAATGAGTGATGATTGAACGTGGTCATATTTTTATTATTCTGTTTTAGCATGCAAAATAGTTCGCGTAATCAATCAACCACGAGGTAATATGCTGCTTATCGGGATTGGAGGTAGTGGTCGACAAAGTTTAAGTCGCTTAGCAGCATATATATGCGAATTTAAAACATTTCAAGTTGAAGTTACAAAACATTATCGCAAACAAGAATTTCGAGAAGGTAAGCCCAATGTACTACAATACAAAAGCATACATTTAAAAATTGTCTCGTTTTTTTCAAATGTAAAATTCTAGGTGGAACTCACTAATTACTCACTGATTTGTAAAGTCATTTCAGTAAGATCTAATGGTTATGTATGTTGATTCTGTGAACAAAGATTCAGTAATCAATCTCTCTCTCTACCTAATTGTATTGAACTTAAGTTCAGTGGCTTTATCCCTCTCTATTGTGTGGTTGTGTTGATGCATGCATTGCAATAGCCGACTTTTTTCCAGATTGTTGATCCTATTCGGTTGTCATTCTATATTTAGCTAAGTTCCTATGTTCCACCGTTCTAACTGACTCCGACCGGCTAGTTTGACCTATGTATTTGACCTCACAGTCTACATGGAATTTGATACATTAGATTGTTTTGCCGAATTGGTTCTATCGGATCCTTAAGTCGACAAAACTTATCTCTGAGTGAGTTTGTAGGATTAAATGCTACCCTAATTCCAGCTTTTTTGAGGATGCTACGTAAAGTTTCTTATGTACCTTCCAAATAGGGAGGCTGTGAACTCCTTTCTACTCGTGTTGTTGCTACTACTCGTACTCATGTTATTGTTCTTATTGCCTTTGTTGTGTGTTTGTGGGAATTCCTTAATGAACTGTAGACGATAGCTATTAATTATTAGCGCTTTTTTCAATGTTTTTCAATCCCTTGTTTAGGTCGTTGCACTGACTAGTCAGTTTTCTATCTCTATCATATTGACACTTGACTAAACCTGGCATAACCGATTTTAGCTGAGATGGCCTGAAGTCTAGATACCTGTTGGAATGTGTCGGATTTCCGTGAACAGTAGTATCCCAACCACCGTCTGTTCTTCGTTGTATCCTGCAATCCAACATAAGTAATTCTTCTTGTTCATTTTCTCCCTCGTAAGTGAACTGGATTGCGCCTACTGCTGAGTTTATATGTGTAAGGAAATTGTCGATATGTTCCGATTTCAACACAGTAAATGTGTCATCTACATATAGCCACCATATTTTTGGTGCAGGACTAAGCGTTTGTGAAACCGTTTTCCCAACTATCCATAAATATACTTGCTGCCGTTGGGGATAATGGCGATCCCATTGCTACTCCTTCTGTCTGTTTGTATATTATGTCCTGGAGCATGAAGACTGTGGAGATCAGGCACAACTGTACGCCTAATATAATTGCACCAACCGATATCTTAGTTCTGTAAGTTCTGAGTCAATATTTAGTTGACTTCTGACTGCCTCCAGTTCCATATTGATTAGTATATATAGTATATATATATGATTATGAGCAGTAATGTATGCTCGAAACGTCATCAAGTAAATAATACTGCATCACTGTGTTATAAATCAAATAAACAAATCTTATGTGGAATTAAATCCTACCACAGTGCCCAAGCTTTACATTTATATTAATACTTCAAAAATAAAGCCTCAGATCCTCTTACCTCACAATTTGAGCTTAACCATGAGTGTTAAAGTTATCCACGAAATACACTGTAGTAACTGAGAAAAATATTATATCGGAAAGAGTAATCCCGTTCTTCGTGTCCTTCAAAATGCACATCAACTAGCAGTGAAGCTTCATGATATATCTTCGTCCATATCAATGCATGTAGACAACTGCGGACATGAATTTGACTGAGAAAATGTGAAAATCCTGAATAGAGGAAACACAAAGAATGTTAGAAAAGTTTTAGAAGCTTGGCATTCAGGTCAAACAGCAACCAAACAGACATATTGACATTGGCCCAATCTATCAACCATTCACTCACAAGGCCATCAGGACAAACTACTGGGCAAACTGTAGAGGAAACCTTATCACTCACTTCTTTCTGAAGTTTGTGCTGCTGATGTTGTCTAGAATGACAATGAAATCCTCACGATTAAACCATCCAGCTTAAAAAAAACACAACACTATCAAAGTAGTTCTCTTGAAAGTTACACATGGACCTTGCTGATCAGTATCGATAAGTTCATAGGTTTTCTATGAAATGATTTATCGTATTTTCAGGTGTTCTGTTTTGTTCTAAAATAAAATTCTCTTTCCTTATTTTCTCTTGATAATAGATCTTAAGAAAATGTACTTTCAAGCTGGTGTTGAAAATAAACCTACAGTGTTTTTATTTACTGATGCACAAGTGTTAGATGAATCATTTTTAGAAGATATTAATAATATGTTAAGTTCAGGTGAAGTACCAATTTTATATAAACCAGAGGAATTTGAAGAAGTTCGACAAGAATTAGTTGAAGCTGCTAAACGTGATGGTGTTGATGAATCGACTCAAGTAAGTTTATAATAATTAGTGAAAATATCCTCCTTTATTTCTGATTGGCGGTACGACACTTTTTAATTTACCCAAGTACTTGAAATGTTAAATGCTTGGTGGCTCATTTACTGCTGTTGGAACTATCAGTGTCACTGATAGACTGCAGTTGTTGTCATTTTATGTAAAAAATACATTTTATTACAAAAAGACATGAAGTAAATAATTAACAAGGCAGACATTGTCTTCTAATAAAGATCTTTTCAATAATTATTACTGTCAAATTACTTAACAACTCAACTTAAGCCATTCAGATGTTGTTGTGTTAGCATAAGTATTAGGACACATTTGTGACACATTGATTGGTTACTGGAGAGCAATCTGTTTCATGTCATATAGTCCCAATTACCAACTAGATTCTGTCGCTCATTTTACAATGTGGTCGGCAAGGTAGGGAGGCTCACCATCGTGATGTACTTTGATGGAAGTTAGTTGACTGGAAGCAATCGGCGAGAAATCAGTCCCTTAGAAGTTGTAGATACGCCTTGCTGAGAAGTGCCAGCAAGCATAAAACGTAGGTCCAGGGCTTCCTACCGATTACCTCCAACTAATTAACATTCATAAAATTACACCACTATGGTGAACTTCTTAGCTCGTTGACGACGTTGCAAAATGATCCATTGGATTTGATCAGCACTCAGGACTATACAGCATGAAAGTAATTCTTCTCCAATAACCAATGCATGGATTTTATCTGGTTCTATGAGAAGTCGATTGTTGTAACATGATGATGTTGCTGACTGCAGCACTGGGTGACGTGGGTTTGGTTCTCAAAGGCGACATCAGTTTCCTCGAGGTAGCAGATATACCTTGCTAAAGGGTGCCAACATATTTGATATCCTAAAGTTAGTTGCTTCAGTCCAAAGTCAGTAGAAGATGACTTGAATCTTCTTTACTTGATTCACCCCGCAGAACATAATAGACAGACAAGCATTTAATGTGAAACTGAAAACAACATTCACTGATTTTCTTCACTGCCCTTCAAAGCACCAAAGAAAGAACGAAATAAAAACTGAGCTAGGATAGAAAATGACAACGAAGGGCGGACATTAAATCACTAAGTAAAGAAGAGACGATTCAGGAAAGAAAACTTTCTCAACGATGTCATTTTCAAACGGCATAGTCCGTTACTGAATAATAAATTTTATTTGTATCATAAGAGTTCAAAACTAAAATAAAAAAGGGGGTGCTATACAGACTCAAAGAAGTTACGTAGTAACCTAAAAGACGATGCAAGTAAATAGAAAGATATGAAATTCAACTAGGTGGAAATGTGTAGTAGATTTGAAATGTGGTAACTGAGTATCCTGCTGATAGATCTCAAGAAAGTGAGAATGAAATAAGGGCTATAATAAAGGCGATAACAGTAAGCCGATCATTTATAATGAAATAAGAGAAGTGGATTAGGAGACATGATAAGAGATGAAAAATGCATCTTCTGAACACAGAAAGGAAGCTTGAATATGGAGAATAACCAATGCCTTTGTTGCTCACAAGTTTTGAAAAACTTCACTTGACTTTGTTGATATAATCAACAGGAAACTCTGGTAGAGTTGTGCAGCCAAGGTTGAGTATATGTTCAAGCATCGAAATAGTGAGTGGCTCGTATTCTTCCTTGGAAAATGCCTACGTAAATAGCTTCTCAGGGGCCAGTAAAAACATATTGAAGTGGCTCAAGATGGCAGCTCGTCTTTAGTGCATTATGGAATCATTTGTCGACAAAAGGTTATTTATTATTTATAAGTAAAGAATGACATTCTGTTCTACTTAAACAATTGCTTCTTTAGAATTTCAGCTGCTGTATCAACTCTGGAATCAATATTAATCATTAAAATCTTTGTACTTCTATATACTCAAAATTTGAATAGATACTGATTTTGCATGAAAGTTTTCATATTGACTGGTCACAGGAGAGCAACCAATTTCGTGTTGTCTGGTTATGAGTGCACACTGAATCCTACCGATCATATTTACAATGTGGCCACCAAACTAGGAGGCCCAGGATCGCAGTACACATTTGCAGATGTTGGTTGGAGGCAATTAGTAAGAAGATCTGGACCTATGTTTCCTGCTTGTTGAGCCTCCTACCTTGGTGACCATGTTGTTAATATGATCGATAGAATACAGTCTGTAACCCAGTCCTACAGAATGACAGTCACCGCCCGAGGAGCTCAATAGTAGCATTACTGATTATGACGCTGTGTGACGTGTGTTCGGACCTCGGGTGGTGCATCAGTCTCGTTGAGTTTGCAGATACGCCTTGCTGGCGAGTGTCGACAAGGACGAAACCTAGGTCCAGGGCTTTTTGTCAGCTGCCTCCAGCCAACCAACTAACTATCATTTATCATAAATTTTATCGTCTGTGCAATTTTTCCCTGATATACAATAACAAAGAATAAATTAAATTCTTTTTTCTGATCAATGGAGTTGAGTTACGGAAACAGGTGTACTGTCCATTTTGTTTCGGCTTTCTACAGACCAATCTTCGGACAGAACCATTAAGATAAAGATTTATTTGGAACGAAATAAATAATGAGAAGATTATCGGGTTTAGGAGGAAAACTGAAATCAAATGACTTCGTGACATATTAATGATCAGCTCAATTACACTCTACAACTTCCAACTGTTATTGTTCCGACCCGATAGCCTCAGTCTATACAACTTAGAATCGAATTACAGTATGAGTAGATCAAGCAATCGACTTTTGTGCTGAATTTATTCTGCTACAATAAATTACTAGTTGAAGAAATCAGATGGCTCGATATATGACCAATTGTTTTGAAGTGCTTGCATTAGTTTCTAGTGATTTTATGAAACCAGTTAGTCAATATCCCATTGCAGTCCTATTTATTTTCCACTTCTCTTTCTTCTTTTGGGTTCTACCTTCCATTTTTATCCTTTTTCTGATCAAAGTATAGTATGCTAATGTACTGGTTTCATACGCTAAAGTTCATGCTGTCAGTTTCAAGGGCGATTTTAAAGGCCACTCTAGCAATGATCGAGGTAACTAAACAGGTTTCTTTATTTCGGCTGAAAAGGCAGATAAACACACAAATCAGAAGAGTAATTGGTTATTTGAGTTATTGCTAGGGTGGCATTTAAAGTAACTCGACTTTAAAGACCACCCTAGCAACTGATGAAACATCGAATCCCATGTCTCTACTCTGAAAAATTGTCTTCCCAGACAAAATACCGCAACCGGATTGGTTACTTTGGCAGCTGTTAGAGGAGCCTTTAAAGTTGCCTCTAAAGTCACTGCAGTCTCAATGAGGCTATTTTTGAAATTTACCATTGATTCTTCAGTCTGTTATGTCCTTCGTGTAGTCTTTTACCTTAAGAACATATTTAACTCAGTTTTTATCTGCATAATTCATGAAAAACTGGTCAAACAATAGTACTATGCAATTACTTTAAGCCATGCTATTGGTCCGTTAACCATTTTTTTATATTCCTGTCTCATCCTTATCTGTTTAGTCAATATTCCGTTTCTTCATCGAAAGAGTTCGAGCTAATCTGCATATTGTTTTGTGTATGAGTCCCATTGGTGAACCATTCCGTCATCGTATTCGAAAGTTTCCAGCATTTGTCAATTGTACTACAATCGATTGGTTCAGTGAATGGCCACTCGAAGCTTTATTAGAAGTGGCTGAGAAATATTTGGCTTCGATTGATATCAATATTAATGAATCAGATGTGAGTTTATGTTCTGATGATAATACTATCGATATACTGCAGAAATGAGTGATTGAAATGACAAAATATATTTCTGTTCGTACAGTCCAGTGAACAAGTAGTTGCTCCCTAGCTAGCTATTGGAACATTGAAGCGAAATTCTTTTATCGTTACCACATTCTTCTGATATTTGTCATTTATGACTAAAACAAGTTGTTTATCACAATTATTAGCAGCCTAAATTAGAAATTGCTTCGTGTTTTCTCTCTGATGAGTTCCTTTTCAATATTCACTGATGTGGGCAACACGTCTAGTTATTTTATGAAGGTAAATTTTGCTGAATTATTGAAGTTATTAACAGCGACTCTAGAAACAACTGAGATAACCAATTAGATTTCTTTATTTTTCTAGAAAGGCAGATTGGCATAAAAGATAGTTTATTTAGTTGGTTATTTCAATTGTTCAATTTTGAAGTTTGTAGGGATTTATTTCTTGATTTCAGGTTGGTATTCATCGTAGACTGACAGCAGTTGGAGAAGCATTGGAAACCTGGGAGCACTTGAAAGCTGTTTTGTCCTGCTATATGACTCTTCAGCAGTGTGCACCCATGACTCCGTTATTGATCAGACTGAAGACCTTAAGGTCTTGTGATGAACACGTTAACCATTCAGCCATTAGAGTAGAGTTCAATGGCCCACAGTTTCATAACTCTGTCAGTTCGCGATATAGCATGACTATTCAGCAAATTTTTCAGTTGGCATCCGCTTCGCGTTTGACTAGAATGACACCATAAGTCACGGTTTCTCATCGGAACTTCGGGACACCCAGCTCGAAGCATGCTCCCAGGTTTTCAGTGTTTCTTCAGCTGGTATCAGTTCGTGACTAATACTATCTTGAATTAAATAACATCTGCGTAAATCGAAAACTGTATGAGGTTTCCTTTTGTTTTTAACTCATTTATTCTAGCCTCAAATGCTTGTGAAGAAACAGGTATGTTGATTATTACTTTTTGGAATTATTTAACATATCTTACTTATTTGTCCAATGGTGTTTGGGAATGATATACGAGACGTAGATTTCACCTCGATTTGCAACTCATCAGGCAGTCAATCAGTTATTATCAACGCGGGAAATGGCATTGCTTCGCGACACCACATATCAACGCATCAAAGCAAAAGATACCAAGATGGGAGATTGATTGTCAGAAAAAGAAATGAAGAATAGATAAAACACAAACGGATTTTAATATTCTAACTAAGACTAAGGTAATCGGCGGATGCATCTCCGCTACTGAGCTATTTCTGAGAAGTCTGCATTTCCCTACATTGCTGAAACCAACAATCAGCGACTTCATGAAATGATTCCTTGTTTTGTCTGACCGCATTTAACCTTTTTCTAGATAGAACCTACTTCGGCTAAAACTGAGCACCGGAAGAGATGGTGACTAGTATACATGATCCGTGTCCTGGTTATCTATGTTGGTGAAGGTTTATTAGCTAACCAGTTGACGCACATCTACTTAGAACTTAATGTCCGACCTATGTGCTAGTAGCGTGATGGTTCCATACCATACAATCTATGCTACAAAGGTAGAATACCTGAGTTGAAATTAACCAATAAGACTACAGCATTTTTGTACTATTAGTATTCACATTAATTCTTTCTAAGTTCAATACTTACTGAAACTCAGTTTGTAACTGGTTGAATTTCGTAATCGCTTATGTGCACTTTCGCCTTGTCTATTGTTTTTCGTTTCAAAATACACAATAGGCCAAAATGAAGATAAGTGCGGCAAAGATATTCGCTAATATGCATCGATCAGTCACTGATATGGCAGTGGTTATGCTAGCCGAAATGAAACGCCATAACTACATTACGCCAACTAATTATTTAGAACTAGTATCTGGCTATAAATTGTAAGTTTTTATTTTGGTACTTTTTCGATGACTTGTATTTATTGTAGTCTACTTGGTGTCTAGTCTTGAAATTCAGGATGCGTGTGTTCATCCCATTCGGGACTTGTCAGCTGGATGTACCTCCACTCCAGTGAGTGATGCTGTGGACAACATTTCGGTATTTGGAGTGATGGGTAATGGGTTCAAATCCCTTTGGGAACAACACTAAGGGGTGGAGATACATCCAGCTGACGAGTCCTGTATAGGATGAAATGTTCTCCCTGGATTGTACTGCTAGCCACCAGCCAGACTATAATAAAGTGAATATACAGGTGGTATTGTGGAATCAGCATCGGAGCTTATGTACCAACAGAGACTGAGCATCTCTATCCAATATAGCGGTTGACGTTCGTTACCCGTCACACTTCTCCCCCCTTATTTATTTATTATTTAGGGTGGAAGAAAGAAATTGGAAACGAAAAATGATTGGCTGATTCTTCTGTTTAAAATTTCGATAACGCTATTAGAAGACGAAGATTATCTGAAAAATGTGATGTATTTGCGCAATACATTTCGAACAATCTGATCACACACTTACTTGTCAAGTCAATTTATATATGAAAATTAAAGGTCAAATATAGTGAATATGAAAAGGTTGTGACACTAGTCTTGGTAACATAATCAGATAAGGGTTACCAAGGTAAATTAAGTGAAACAACAAACTGTTTTTGTACACACAGCGGGGGATTAAGTTTACGAATGGCTAACGCTTCGGCAAACTTCAGTATACGCCCCTGATTATTCCTGTATATTATCTTAAACGCTGTTTTCGTATTAACCCTGTGATTCATTTCAATAATATGTTTTGCTATAGATGACGATGGATGTCTGTCACCTGCACTTATCAAAGTTTGTGTGTTAAACTGTTTTTCTAGCCATTTGGGGATGTGTTCACCCACCCTAGTCTGCATTGAACGATTACTCCTCCCGATGTATGTGTGCCCACACATACATGTAAATTGGTAAACGCAGTTGGATGTGATGTAATCATTTGTGCGAGGTTGAGGTTTGTGGTGAAGCAGGTGTTTTGTCGTCTCAACAATTATAAGCTGAGCTGCATAGTATGTTTTACTGATAACAGATTTTAATCTCTGCTTCAATATCATACTACATACCTCTAACGAAGACAATTAATATTCTTTGTGACCACATATCTTCGAATTATCCTTCTTTCCCTATTCCTTCAACCTATTTGAAAGAACTGCTTTTATTATGTACTGATAAGGTTCATTTCACTTTCGAAGGTGAACACTTTCGGCAAATTGATGGTGTAGCCACGGGGAGTCCATTAGGACCGTTATTAGCTGATGTATATATGTCCCATACTGAACTAATGGCCCAAGATTTAATCACCAATGTCACACTTTATAGGAGGTATGTGGATGATATCCTTGTAATATGTGACACAGATGAGCTTCTGTATGGATACCTTGATACTACTGCTGATCCATGATGTAACACTGATCTCGGTGACTAACAGAGGACTCCAGTACTGGCGTTTTGTTCTATTTGGTACTCGGCTGAGTGGATAACGTTGTGCCAGTTTAAGCGATGGGTACTTAGTTCGATCTACAGTGGGACCCATATCACTCACTGAGGTGCTGCTGCATCCAGCTGACGAGTCCCGAATAGGACGAAGCGCGCGTCCTGATAGTCGACGAGATCAATATGTACTGAGTGTAATTTATAGCTGTAAATGAGGTTTTCAAAAGGAATCTAACTCTTAAAATTATTGATCAAAAGTCTGCCCATAATGATTAGTTCTTATTTTGGTAATAATTTGAACAAGATTACTGCCCGTTATCACATCAACGGTCGGAATGTTTTCCCAATAATTTACTGAGACAAAAGCTTACCATTGTTTGTAAACTTCTCATATGAAATATATTTATAATACATTATTCCATTCGACAATACAGAATCTTCTCATCGACATACTCAAATCCTTGTAGGAATACAGTGCTAGCTGTAATTTTGAGGATAATTTTGGTGAGAAACTGATTACTCTGCCTTGGTAGTTCTGACTAACATTAAGGTGGTCTTCGAAAACAGATAATGAGTGTTCACATTCATATGGGCAAGTTTTACAATGTATCTCTGTGTTTGCCACGAAATTGCCACCATGTACTCTGCATTTCGAAACATTTTATTAAGAGTGGATTTGCTGTTCAAGGTATGACCTCGGGGAAACTATTTTATTTTAGGTGTGATTAAGAGACAGCATTTATTTAATTTCCTATGCTTCTAAGAAGTTGTAGTGTCTCGATATTCTTGTTGTTATCAAATAACAACAGTAAATTGGCTTATAAATGCTGTGTAAGTATTTAATACTTTGCGCTTAAGGTAGAAAACAAGTAATTATGGCGACGTTTTCAATCATACTTAACAGTTTCAGAAAGTATCCTTAGTTCAGTTCTTACATTTTTTTTCTATTTTATTCAGTTGCACTAATGACCATTCCAAAGGTTAACTTTAGGTTAGAATAGGCTGCCTTTAACAACCTTTTTATTTCATCTTATACATAGAGTTCCGATGACTAGCATAAATAATGTCACCTGAAATTTTTCGTGGCCGAAGATAATTCACTGAGGTCAGTTGAAGCGATATTTTGTAAACAATCATCTCTCCATATATTTGGATATTTGGATAGGTACTTTTAACTGATATGCATCAAGATTAAAGGCTAAATGAATGTGATCAGTTATAGCTACTATTAGATATAGCTGACCACACACATTTAAATGAATAAACACGATAGGATGTGACTTTATCTTTCACCTGTTCACAGAGCTTTGATTGGTATATACGCTTCGACTTTTCAATTATCCGAACCTTAGCTGCATAATAGGTAGTTATCATTCTCTGCCCTACACTTCTTAACAATCTACTATTCTGTAATACATTCATTCGGCTGATAATTGAAGTAGTTGAATATGGATAATCACTTCTGATTTATTTAAAAGATTAAAATAAGTCATTCAAACCACATTTTGGATGGCCCAGAGAAGGGCCTTTGTTCCTTCACTTCCTGTCATGAAGTAGAAATTCACTTCTGGTGCAGTTTGTCTTCATCGAAAATGTGAAAGTGAGTTGGGTACAGCTGTGGGAGTCAAAGATGCAAATTACCTGTTTTTTACGAAAATCCCTCTAATTGTCATTGACATTATCTTGCTGCTAGGGGCTGCCTCCACATGCAGGGCATTCTATACAAAAACTGCTTAGGTGTGGATTGCAGAATATATGGAATGTAGCATGACAACGGCATGTTATCTATGTGCTGGCATGTGGAATGGAGGTTGGTGCTTCCTCACGTCCCTATTCAGTAACCTAATACCTGCAGCATGTTCATCACTCATTAAAAGGAGCATGCAAATCGAAGTTTCTACTGACTGTCATTCAGAAGAATTCATTGTAAGAGACATCACGGCGGTATTCCTTGTTTCCCCACATCCTATAATGTGTAACTGCGGATTTCGCGTGAAATACAACTCGTCATACAGGCACATAATTAAGTACTGCATGCAAAGAAATATCCCCTGAGACGCAGTTAACGTTTCGCTCCGTTGGCTGATGTGGGGGAATTAGCAGCACAACTTACCAGTGCAAAACTATATTCCACAATCAACCACATCCCTCGTCCCATCAAGAAGCCAACTTTAGATGGCAGTTTTACCATTCTTCAACGATGAACACCGATTCCGCACTGTCCTCCGGTTTGTAAGGCAAATTTTAGGTGGTAGGACACCCATTCCGGTAGACACAAGTCCAGAACATCTCGCAGGACACAGTGTTTCAGGTGGTCCCGAAGAAGAAATGGAAGTGACAGCTGTAGTTGTGAGTACGATCACGGTGGCAGACGGTGGGAGACCAATAACTCCATTTGGAACAGTTTTGCAGTCACCTATAACAGAAATTACTCATGTAGGAAATAACTTAACCGTGGACTAGAAGCCAGTGCCGACCATCGAAGAGGGGCTATGGAGTTGGTCACTCGGAACTCTGAGGAGATGAACCATGTAGATGTAAACGAAGAGGAGGATTATATCTACAGAGGAGTTTGTGAGGTATACTTCCAAAGTGATGAAACAACTTGCATTCCACATGGTCCTGCAACTTTTCATAACTGCCTACAACATCGTTTCAAGGGGAAGTTCCGTTATCGGTCAAATTACACTGAGCGAAGAGCGGATAACGCATATTGAACACATCTTGATTTTTCAATCATTTACCATAGTGTGCATAAACAAAATAAACAGCATTAAAATGTAATACGTAGCGACAAAAAGGCAGCCAATAGAGATGTTTTCAAGTCATGATCAGATCATGTTCAGGTTCTGATGTATGCATGTGCTGACATGAGAACCTGATTGGAGAAATTCGACGTTATACAAGAAATCTGATTGGCTCGTTTATGGCTTCACTTTCTGAGAGTTTTGTAAATACATATATGTCATGTATTTGCTTAATAAAAGTTGTCGCTGTTTTTGCGGTCACAGGCCTACTTTTGTCTTCTAATTTTGTGCGACTCAGTGGAGCAGAAGGCACCGAGGGAGGTCAGTCGTAAAGGCATTCAGTTGAGGTGTCTATTGAGTCTCAGTATCATTATACCCACGCACGCAACCACCACTTGGTCACAACAAAATGCAGCCGTCCCGAATATCAGCAATGACCTTGTGCTCTTCAATTCAGCTCCCGTCAACTTCCGCCCCCAAGAAGTATTATCATAAAGCAGAGAATTTCAGAGATGATTGTGAGTTAACAGCCACCGAGTTACTGTCCAGAAACCTTCTAAGAACTTTGCGAGCACGAACACCCGACAAGAACACTTCAGGGATATTCTACGAAATATATATTCAAAACAAACAGGACTGACCTTCTTGTCACTACACCACGCTCCATAAAGATCGATTCGTTTTCGGTTACAACACTTTCGATAGTATCGTCGCTCATCCTGAGAATAA